ACAGGGTAAAGAAGGGTACATACATGGCTCAGTCGCAAGAGATTTAGGAGGTAAGAAACAACACGAGACACAGTTAGCGGGTGGAGGTTCTTCGCATCGCGCACCAGTGTTTGAAGAGTTGTTGCCAGGTTTTCACCAAGGACCTCCAGGGTCTTTTCGTCACGAAGAGTGAGCACCGTTGCCAATTCCAGAACGAATATCATTGAAGGATCGTATTTGGGCTGGTTGGGATCAGCTCTGCTGTTGGCAGCCCTCGACGTTGGTGTCGGCCGTTCGGGTTTTACGACAATGACTGCTGGTGCGTTCTCCTCGGGAAGCAGGGACAGCAAAGCCTCCACGAGCATCTCCAATGAAGGCAGGGGAAGAGATCTGCGAGAGAGGTCAGCGTCATGGCCACAAGCCATTCAATGAAAGATGTTTACTGACTTGATATTTGTTAAAATTTCGGATATTGAGCACGCAGTCACACAATCCACTGTGCAGAGTGTGTTGTCAAGTTCTTCGTCCGAAGGCTCAGGAGGATCGTCTGCCGCATAGCTTGAGAGGTAAGATGTGAATGCAGACAAGATTCCCGTGTCGTTGTTGCGTCCATCCCGATCAACCACCTGTGATGGAGGCTGTAGCGGAATCGGAGAGATTTCAAGTTCGGACGTGAGTTTAGCATCAAATGGCGGGATGAGAGAGTTGATGAACAAGTTACTCAAGATGCGGACGATATGCTCCCAGCCTTGTTTGACAGTTGCCTCGTTTGTTAAGAGGACTCGGAAAAGCACCACAGTTGCCAGTTGTGCTCTGAAGTCTCGGCCAAATTTGACGGCTAGCTCGCTCACCATCACACTCTTCTGGCCTACCTGGACCTCTGTGTTGAGCGCTGTGCTCGGAGGTTTGCTGGTAGCCAAAGTGCTAATCGATGCAAGGGAGAAGACGATACGGTCAAACGCCTCAGTCAAGCCATAGCGGGCAGCGATCTGTGCACACTGGTCGAAGCCATTGACCACGCGAGAATACACTGCATCATCTGACGCAGACATGAAGACATATGACAGGGTCGCGATCACTGGTTTCCACGTAGCCGCGAACATTTCGGCATCATACATGTTGGTCTCTCCAACGATGATGTCTCCGGCAGACGAAGACTTCAGCAATAGTTCCTTCCAAGCATAGTCAAACGCATGCTTGTTTTCGTGCTCATCGGGCAAAATGATCTCGTTATTCTTGATAGAGTCGTAGATATCCTCGAGGAATTCCTCCGCAAAATCTCCACCCCCGTTTACACCTCGCAAGTTCCTTGCGAAGCCAGCGCAAGTCATACGGTTTTGCGACTTCACGTTGCGGTTGTAGAGTTCGGTGTTCAGCATGATGATGGCGTAGGTCAAGACGTATAGTGCATCTTTGTCGGCGATACCCTCCGGCTTTACCTTGTCAATGTAATGTTCGGCAAAAGTCGTCACAATTCGCTCAATAAGGGGCGATTCGCCGGGCAAACGGAATGAACTGAGTAGTTCCCGAAGGGCTTCAATCGCACTACGCCCCGAGAAGTCAAGGAGATCCACAAATGCGCCCAACAACTCCTCATTGCCACGTTTGGAGATGTACTCTCCGAGGACTTTCTTCGACAGGCGTGTAGTTCCCTTCAAGAAGCGAGCAACCAGAACGGGATTATTCGCGTCCTCAATAACACCATTGCTCACAAGGAAGGCAATTCCCTTCTTGGGGTCGTCATTGAACATCTGTGTTCCCTTGATAATGAGTTTCTTCGTGCGGCGTTGTTTTTTCAAGCTTTCTTGGGGAGGATAGTCTCCTTGTATTGGTTCATCATCCAGTCGGTCATGCATGAACTGCACATAGCCCAAAAGAGAATCGAGACATAATGGGGGTACATTTGTAGTGCTCCAAGTTGCAGAGTCTGGGAAAGCATTGCGAGAGAGCAACCCAATCATATCCTCGCACAGATCTGCTCGGTCCACGTCACAATCATAGTTGACGAAAAGCTCAACCATAAAGCTAGGTATGCGTGACAACATGCCAATGCTCTCTACCATTGCCTCTCGGGCCTCGGGCCTTCTCGCTCCACCTTCGAGTCCCAATTTCTGTCGATCTTGAACAGGAACCGGTGTGGCTCTTCCGCTGTTGGCCTGCGAAGCTGGTTGTTTCACCAACTTCGGTGATTGGGGAATGCCTTCATAGAGCGATGGGTCGATGCCAGGTTCTCGCGGTATTTCCACGCGAGGGTGCAGACAGGCCACTAAATATGAAATATAGAGTTCCTGCTGTAATTTCAAAACCGGCCGGCAAGTCGATAACAACGTGCCAGCCACTCTCAAGGAGCCAGTCAGAATAGCTACGTGTTCTGACCTGACTAGCTGGAAGAGGTATCGACAAAGATCGTCCTTGGCCAGGACAGCCAGACTGGGATGCCGAGCAATGGAGGGACCTGCTACCTCCAAGGCAACATCAATAATTCGGAGTGCCATCACACGCATGGCGTCGGTATGTTGCCGGTTATGAGGGTCCAACAGGTCAATCAAGACACGGAATAATTCTTTGATGGATGGTAAGGAATAGGGCTGAAGCTCGGTTTCAGGGTCATCATTCGGGCTCGGTGGTGCAGCTGCTGCCACGCTGCTATTTCCTGCCTGCTCGGGTGATCCCTCTCGACTGGTACTGTGACGTTCTGCGGCCGCTGTGTCTGCGCTGATGGCTGACAGGTGCTGCGATGTGACAGTGTCTCCATTGACTGACGGGTCCATCTTCAAACGAGATGGTGGGTCCTTTTTTGTATCTTCGCCCGCAAATGGATCCGGTCCTGCGGGCATATCTTGATCAAGATGCGACAGCCGCATGAAGATCACCTGGCACATTTTGACCATTGCCATTTCGGCGGATCTCCGCAGTACCTCTGACAAACGACCCTGGCAGCACATGCTCAAACCAGTTTCCATCATCTCGCAGACGCTCTCGTCGCCCAAAAGTTCGCCTTCGGGTCGTGAAAGTATGCCCTCCATCAACTTCAGAATCCTCAACAGCACTATCTCGTCCGCCGACGAGTCGCTAGCTTCGAATCGGCAGTGTGTAATGGCGGCCGAGAGTAGCTGCATCGCTATGGAGAGTCGTGGGGAATTCGGGTTGATAATATTGTACGAGAGGAACTTGGTAATGGAGACCAAGGCGATAGAGGTAATTGCGGCGGAGGTCGAAGAGGAGCGAACGACCTGTAGGAATGGATGAAGTAAAGCTGGGGTATCAAAAGTTCGGATGTCCTTGCAATCTTTCAGATCACTCCGCAGTCGTGTAAATGCCGATATCAATGGATTGTCCTGCATGCTCTTCCCCTTCTTCCCTCGCAGACCCCACCGATTAGCCAGGACATGATCTTCATCGGGGCGAGGTGTCGATTGACCAGTCCTGCGTGGATTTGGGCTAGAGGGGGCAGAGTTATCCCGCTCATAAACACGAGAGGCTCCATTGCCGCCCAAGATGGCGGAGACCGAAGAGTGAGCCCAGCGGGCATGCTTGCGCATGGACGAGGTGATGGTGATACATTCAGTGGTCACCAAAGCCACCGGGTCGATGGCAATTGAAAGTGAGGATGATTCCATGGTGGGATCGAGCATCACAAAAGATGCTCGCTGTTGTGACACCATTTTGAAGGTCGGAACGAAACAGCTGGTCTCTCGACCATCATACTGCTGCTTGCCATATCGAGCTTAGTGTCTTCCCCACCCATTCACCGCCTACGACAGGGGCTGTACTGCACATTACCACCTAATATGTATTACATTGATCTGATTGGATCAGAAACTGTACCGCTGGGGTATCAAGGTACGATCTGGTATTGGGCTGCATCCATGGATCCAAAATGTTTGATTTCGCCTTTGTTGACATCCTTCCATGCCAATCCAACATCAAGTGCCAATATGGCTAAATAATCACACTATAAGGAGTCTAAATGGGAGGTAAAAATGCAATAAGCATCTCAACCTACATCATGTATGCATGAATTGACCAACATATTAAGCCGGCGATCATCGATATAGTGGCTGATATATTTTCCGAGTAAACAAAGATGGAATTTCCGAATTGAGCGCGGACATTATTTTGAAACGAATTTTTTTCAAACTGTCCAGAACATAATAGCATTGTCCCTCAGACAGATCTAGTATTTATGTCTATTCTTATTATGAAACATGTTCATAGTATAAGTCAAGCATTAAGCTCGTGTACAACGATTTGAAACTATAAAGAGCAAACAAGGTGCGAAGAACCCCATATATTCAGCGAATCATGCAGATGTGACCCGTCACACTGGTCCTTGCAGCAGTTGGGGATCGCAACGATAGCAACGGTGTTGATAGCGTTGGCCGGACAAAACATAGTAGAGTAAACATTAAAAACAAGAGAGCAGGACAAGTGAAAATAGAGAATGTAATTCCTACAACCTAGGAGACCGGGGTGAGCTGGATATATTCAAGTCTTTCTTTTATTTTATTTTTACTATTCTTAGTGTTAGGCGCTAATACCCGCTCTTGGTCTATCGGGCTATCGCGATATCAACCCACCGCTTCTCTGTCCCCGCCTCAAAACAAACGCCTCCCCTCAATCTTACACTTCCTTTTACTTACCTTTTGGGCATTTTCCTTTCTTTTCTTTTTCGTTCACCCCACTGCACGTGTCTACTCTCTGAATCTATGAATTGAGTGGATATCTTCTGTATCTCAGCTTCTATGGAGGGGAGCGCGAATGTCGCAATCGCTTTACCAACAACAGGATAACACATCCTACATGCAATCTTCAACTGTCTTTCACTCAGCCTAGGAAAATTTCTCTCATTTAATTCCAAACCTTGCGCCCTTGTGTTTCCCGTCACTCGCTACCTTGCTACTGCATCGCTCCTTCTACGCCAAACTCCGGCGCATTTCATTTGTTTATCGCGCACGATAGCGCTTGCTCAACAGCTTCTCGCATTCCGTACTTGCATTGCAAGTGCACCACCGTTCATTATGGCGACTATCGCACCTCCCCCCGCAGCCCCTACACTGGCAGACCTGCCCCTCGAACATCTCAGCCTCTATCATGTCGTCGACTCATGTTTATCATCCATCCTCGTCTTCTATGGTTCCGTTTCCACCGCCAATGCGACTGTGAGCAGTTCCCGCATTCAAGCCCATATATTCACACCTGCCGGTTTTCAAAGTTACCCTCGAATTACGGTGTCCCCGGCCGCCCCCGTGTATGCTGCGGTCAACCATCTACCCCGTGAAAAACAAGGTGATGAGGTGTGTCGCGGACTTGCAGTCAGCATGCTGAGGTATTTTGCCGAGCTCTCTGAACCGGTTAAGCACCGTCTTACTGGGGCGGCTCGCCCTGGAAGACCGGGAGGAAAGGTCCCTAAGATGTTCGATGAGATGCATGCTGCGGATCTTGCCAACCGTATGACAAAGGTGGATGACTCATTGGAGATTATTCAGGATATTCGGAGCGCATATCAAGAGCGTAAGGTGCCATGGATTGACATTGATGTGGTGCTTCCTGCGGGTACTGTACAACCTTTCCACCGGCGAGAGAGTGCGGGATCAGACCTTGAGGGAACTCAAAATCCCCAGTACGGTCCATACACACCCCTGATAGAGGCGTTAGGAGATCCCATGTTTTTGCCAACATCTCGACTGAAGCGTGCGCCGTCTCAGCCGACCAATGTCAGCAAATCGCGCCTGTTCGCAAGAAGCCAGAAAGAAGCCCTTCGTCTCACCATGTGTGAGCTTGTGGACACCGAAGAGAGATATGTCGCCAAACTGTATTCTCTTGTCCATGAAGTGGCCGATGAATTTCGGCAAAAAGCTGTGGGTAGAGGGCCATCCAGTACCAGCCCCGACGAGGCAGCTTTGGCAGCGTTATTCCCACCATGTTTGAATGATATTCTGGAAGTCAACCTAGGCTTTCTCGATGTTATTCGGCAAGTGCTTGATGAAACAGAGAAAGATGCCATCACAGATATTGGTCAGGACACGGAGCTCCCTTCGAATCATCGGGGTTTGCCCAGAGATAGATCGGACCCGCTTGGAGCTCTGGCATTCGCGAAGGCCCTCTTTGAATGGCTACCACAATTTTCACAGCCGTACGGAGACTATATGCGAGCACATACAGGTTTTACGCAAACTCTCAATTTGTTCATGAAAGATAAGAACTCGAGCTTTTCGAAGAGAGTATACGAGACGGGAGAGCAGAGACTGCGATCTTTGTTGATGGAACCCGTTCAGCGACTCCCTCGATACAGTCTACTGATTGACACCATGACTAGCAATCTTCCCCTGGTCCATCCTGCCGTGCGAACTCTGCTGAAAGCACGAGACATCGTGAAGGATATCTGTGCGCTAGAGAATAATTCCCCATCGAGCCACGCCCAAAGCCTACAACGCCTGAAAGAGCTAGTCAACGGATGGCCAGCGAAGACATTCCCTGAAGGTCGGCTGGTTACCGCAGTCGACTTCAACGAAATTACCCCTCCTTACCGTTTAGACACACAGTCATCTGGCAACAGCACAGGGATCATGCTCCTTTATAAGAACTGCCTGGTCCTTCTAGCAAAGCCCGCCGAAAGTCGGGCCACAGCCCGTGGTGTGCTGGCTGATATCGACAATGCGGCCGCTTCAACCAGTGATATGTCCACGTCTTTACCGCAAGCAGAACTCCAGGTTGTGCAGGTACTAGACTTTCATAATGTGCGTTGTACGCAATCCACATGTGGTCGGATTTTGTTTGCTGTGCCAATTTCAGCCAAGTCCATAACAGATGCGATAGGCCCTGGGGCAGACCTGCTTGCATTGGAATTGGCTGGAACGTATGAAGGAAGAGCCAATCGACTGATCGAAGAAATATCCAAAGCGAAGATTGAGGGTCGATTCCCCGAGAGTGAAAGAGAAGGAGGCAAATGGACACTACGAAGCCCTCCCACCGGAGCTGCGAGTAACGTGGGAATACTGGCCTGCGTGTGCGAGGACGGTGAAAGCGCCGCGCTCGACCAGATTCAGTCATCCCCCATACGCGTTGTTTTTGATACATCCAAGGCGACCTGTGGTCAAATGTTGAAAGATTCCAATCTTGAGGTCATCATATCGATATCTCCTCCAAATGGAGATCAATACAGACTAGATATCGATTCTGTGGTTGGATCTGGGTCTACGGATTTGATCACAGTGGACACCTTCATTCCCACTCTTTCACGACGTCGTAAGTGACCCTCTCTTGACAATTATGTTTTCTTGCCACTGACATATAGGAACAAAGTTCAATATTTGCTCTCGCCTCTGCACAGCGCCCGGAATCCAGCATTGACGGACCCATTAGTTCATTCTAATTTTGAAATCCTTCGGTATATCGCCAGCAGCTTAATCACGCAAGTCAAGTCTTCGCGGGGCTTCCGGCCACCTTCGCCGACCAAACTGATCTCAAACTTGTTGGGGGGTAGCCGTGATAACGTGCCCACTCTCAAAGGGCCAGGATCTGCCACTCTTACCGGCGAATTCCCAAAAATGCCCCCGCCAAGAGGCACTCTGTCGAGATCAAACACTTTACCTTCAACATTCCCCGGAAAAGAGAAAGAGAAGGATAAGGACAAGGACAAAGAGAAGGAGAAAGAAGAAACCGGGAGCAAAATATCAGTTGTTGGGGCATCTGCCTCTAAGGGATTGGATACTCAGTTCGGGTTGCTGGAACAAACATTTGCAGCCTATGTACTTTCTCTGCAGTCCCGGAGTGGAAACATCCTGGGCCGAATGCTTCGGGTCAGAGATCATGTTGATCGGGCGCCAGTCAATGAGCTCTACAACATTTTGCTGGAAGACCCAAGCAGAATCCAGGCTGCTGCCGAAGTGCCAGTTGATACGCTTTTCGTCGCATTTGAAACATTTCTGGCGAACGCCTGGAGAAGAAGTATGGGCCCTATCTTGAGCTCCTCTTCTCTGAAATGGGTTCAGAGCCAGTTTGACACCATGATACCGCGAGATTTTGATGAGCAATTCCGGAAATTTGTGACAGACATGAGTCCACAAAATAGACGAGCTCTAGCTGCGATCATTCGACTACTTGCCGAGCTACTCGATGCATCTGGAAATGACGGAGATCGCGGTGCTTTGACGATGGCATTTGCGGAATTACTCACCGAAGATGGAGATCCCAGCCATCATGTCTCCCTTTTGGATCGACTGGTTGAAGACTTTGACAACCTCTTTGAAGAATTTATTCCTGGAGGTACCTCGGTGGAAGGAACACTGACCTGCGATCAATCGAAATCTCATACCAATGCCGGGTCGGTCGGTTCCAATTCTTCCTCTTTTCGGAAACGCTTTGGCTTTGGTATGCACAGGGATACCTCGAAAAATGAAGGCGAAAGCAAAGTCGCAGCAATTCTACGGACATTGAGCAAGAAGCAAAGCCCAGCCGGCTCAGAGCCCAATACACCCAAGGGCTCTCTGATGCGTTCAAAGTCGACTGACGTGGATGCTCGTCTGGGGTTCCTCCGTCCTACATCTCGTGATCGTCCTACATCTCGCGATCGCCCTACATCCCGTGATCGTCCGTACCGTCCGTACGGGTTCGCATCTGAGGAGCAAATCTCGAGGCCGGGCACCGGGTACGAAAAACCCCCTTCTCTATCTTCTTTCCGAGGGTTCTCTGAAGATGTCGTGCCAAGGAGTCGCAGAAAACGAAGGAGCTCTCTTTCGGATTTACGACCACCCACATCATCCTCGGATGCATCCAGTATCTCTCCGACTCAACAGCTCCGCCCGACGACCCCTTCCACCCACCCGCGAGAAGAAGTGGTAACGCCCACCAAGCAGTCCAGACCTCAGAGCAGTTACATACCAACGTCACCTATGCGCGGTCAATCACCAATGCGTGGTCAATCACCAATGCGTTCTAAGCCGCCAGCAAAATCTAGTTCACCGACGCGACTAGGATCGCCCATTCGCCGTCTGTCTCCGCCCCGTCCTTCTACGCCGAGCAGGAAGGAGAACATTGATCCCAGGACTCCACAGACGGAGCGTACGACCAAGTCCAGGAGCGGTGTGTCAGAATCGCCAGCAGAGGAGTCAAGGAGGAGATCCCACACGTCAGGCATCCCCCAGCGGACTCCGGGCCTTCGGGAGCGGCCAACCACTAACGGTTCCGATCCTAAGCGGCCACAATCTTCGTCTTCCTTGCAGAAACCGCAGAAACCGCGGATCCAAAGCCCACAAAAGGTTGGTCACATTGCATTTGTCTTGATAATGACTTTACTAACATTTCCTTAGTTACGTGATCGAGTTCAACTAGAAAAGAAGACTCAAAACTATACTCAATTGGGCCTGAAAGACGAGCTCACAGAGCTTGGTGATGAATTACGTTCTCTGAAGCTCACACCACCAAGGCAATCCAACGCAATGAACCTGGAGTTTGATTTTGACCGTACAGACACCAATCCACATTCTGCTACCACCACATCCCTTGAAGCTCGCATGCGCAATCTTGAAGCCCGATTTGAGACGCTTACCGGGGAATACAATGGCCGCACAACCGCTCTCGAGCGAGATCTGGAGTCGTCCTTGGTCCTCAGCGAGAAGCGCGTAAAGAAATTGGACGAGCTTTATCGCGAGGCAAGCGCCGAGAACGAGGCTCTCTATGATCGGTTTAATACCGAGCTCAGCAAGGTTGCAAAGGATGTCCGCTTGGGCCAAGCAGAAGACGCCTTGAAGTCTCAACTGGCAAGTGCTCTAGACGAGATCGGCCGAGTGAAGAAAGAAAACTTCCGCTTGAAACGAGAAGTCGGAGGTCTTCGAGCCCAGTCAGCTGCCGCCGCACTGCTCAAGGCGAGTGAGCAATGACCCAATATGCAGCATTCGAGGACTCGTCCCATCATTCATTCCTTTCCCACACTTGGGCATCTTACTCAACAACCTGACAGCTGTCACGTTTATCTTTTCCTTTTCACCTTGTATCTTGATACCGCACAAGCCTCTTCTACTTTCCTTTGAACACCTATTCATTTGCATACATATCATGAGCCTTTCTTACTTGTATTCATTCCTATTTCTTGTCACCCTTTACTGGCCTATCCGCACAGATAGCCATTGACCATGCATGCATAGCTCAGGACATCAAGTTTTTACAGGGCTTGCTTTTTTTGTTTGTCTAGGTGTTGTTGTCATGTACACTAAGCCTCTTCGGCATCTTTACCCACCGGCCAGCCCATCAGGCGTAGTGCCTCAGTGTCAATCATTTTGTACATCCACTGCCATTTCAGTTTCCAGTGACAGCGTAGATGTACCAATTCCACCTCGCTGAGAGAAGAATACTTAGCTGAATGACCAGATAGCCGATAGTCCAAAGTCGGCAATGCCAGCTGTTGCCAAACCTTCTGACCCGAGGGCTTTCCTGGCTTAGACACGATTCCTTCCCTTGATATCACAGGTAAGGTGAAGCGTAGCTGAGCAGGCGCTTCAGCAGACAAGAGGGCTTTGAGGTGCTCAAAAGTCCCGGGCATTTTCTGATCAGCAGCAGAATCCATATTCGTTCGCCCCTGCACCCTTGGATTAACCGCATCTTTGCGTAGCCTTTCCATATCAAATTTATGGAACGGGCGTATTGTAAGAGGAACACTTATCAATTGATCCCCCAGTTCACTGGGATCACGGTCGACTGGAACGAGACGAAGCCGCATCCAGTACCGGTTGTCCCATAAAACCCACGGAGTGAAACTGCCACTAGGCGAAACATTGATCTGCGTCACGGGGTCCCGATCTCTCATGAATGGTTGCCGGGATAGCAACCAGATATTATCACCCCCGGGACGTGGGTCATGGGACTTTCCAAGCGTGGAGGCTTCGTTCGTGAGACGCTGGAACAGAACCCCCGCTACCGTGAAGGCTTTTCTCCTTTTCTGGTCATTGGATGTGGCGCTTGCGCCATGAGGGCCATCTGGACCGGGGAACACATTGGAAACTAGCGGCTCATAGCTGCGTAGCGAGAAATGGCTATCGGGGAATGGAGAGACTAGTTCTGTGATGCGGCGGAGAACGATGGTCTGGATCTGGCGGGTTCGAGAGGCTGATAATGTTGCCAGTTGGGGGTCCATGGATGCTGGACTTGTGTCTAGAAATTGAATGACCGCTGACCCTGCCTTGGGGTTGAAATTTAGGATTCGGCATTGGGATGAGAGGAGGTAGTTGGAAAGCTCGTTTGACCTCTGGAAGAGGTCTTGGCTTGAACGAATTAGGGAGAGGATAGATTGTGATTCCAGCGCACGGGGTAGGGAGTTAGAGGTGCGAAGGCTGCGGATGGCGTTCCGGGGAGTGAGGGTTGGGTCGAAATTTGTTGGGTCGGAGACGTAGGGGACTTTGTTTTTGTGGCAGGTCTCCAGAAGACTTGTTTTGGTGAAAGAGAGTAGAGGTCGGCAGATGAATATGCCAGGGCTTGCCATGTTTACATTGGATGTGAGACTGGAGTGGGTTTTATCTGTCCGAGCGTTTGAGTCAGGAAAAGTGATGAATCCATGCTTCTGGTTATCGAATCGAACTTTGGGTTGCGGTTTTGTCGGTGGTTTTGTGGGAATTGATGTAGTTGACCAGCTCTCAGAAGCCCCGAAGAGACCATGGCATTCGGGGATTCGAGCAACTTCGGGGATGCCGCCAAGTCCTAACCCAGTTGCCCCAGTGGAGAGCCGCCAAATGGTGGTTTCGATGTTGTCATCTTGATGATGGCCTAAAAGCAATGTTTCAAGTTTGAACTCATGACAAGCTATGCCGAGGGCTTGGAAACGGAGCCGTCGAGCATGTGTCTCAAAGGCGGATGGCAGGGGACTCGATGCTCCGGACTTTGGCGAAGACAATTCATTCTGACTTGAAGTAATTCCAGACCAGTCCAAACTAAGGATATGGGTCCTGATTTCTGTTTAAGAATGGTTAAATAATCTTCCAAAAATGTGAATATTCCGACTTGGAACGTACCCATATCACGAAGCCAGCCAGCAACCTTTTGTGCTTCGATAGTGCTTTCTGGACGGGCACGATGATCTACCACAAAAGCAGTGACAGAGATGGCCCCAGCAACATCCGAAGATCGTTCCAGTTGCTTGCATAGGTATGCCAGAGCCATGGAGTCGGCGCCGCCACTGACAGCGATTCCTACCATCTCGCGCGTCAGCTATAAGCTCTCGAGATACAAATAACGAGTGTATAATTTTATTCAATCTTTAAAGCTTACCAAATCTCCGTGGAAGCTGCAGAGTGTCATTATCACCGGGTTTCTTTCCATATTTGGTGCTGCCATAATTGACTCGAGCCCGTCGCGATCCGGACCACGCTTGCTGGAAGCAACGCTGGAAGAGAAATGGCGAGATTGATATATTCCCGGCCATATCTATTCTCCCTGGAACCAAACATAGGCTCGAAAATTCAATATCATCATCGACCTATAGATTACTTCAAGCGCAGGAGAACCTCTGGGTGATATCGTCGGCTCGGCCAATCAATTTTCCCGAGAACGTGACCAATGTGGCCTTCACGCGAATACGTCCCCGAGATTCTGTAGAATATTTTTTTAAGTAATTACAGGTCATTTTTGAGATATTTGGGGGGAATATTTCAGTGTTCTGATGACAGGAGCGTAAGGGGTGGTTGCTGAGTTCCATATGTAGCTCGCATGTTTGATTATATACATTGCGGCAAACCAACATCATGGCACAGCGAGGGTCTGCACACAATTTATATCTCTAGATCTCAAAGGAATTAGGAAAAGCAGCCAAGTAAGCGCCCTCAATTTCCCGCCCCATACCCCCGACACCCTCAAAAATCACATCCGACTTCAGAGATCTGCCAAGGATTTCCACCCCATGTCGCAGCTCCTCCTTCAATCTCTCAGCATCCGAAATCTCCGACGCAGGAGTAGGGTTATTAAGCAGGTGGTAACAGTCTGCAAGCCGATCTGTCACTAGAGAGGCACGCAGTCGATGCAGTAGCATGAGAAGAGCGTAGCAGCTTTGCATAGCCGAGCAAGAAAAGTAAGGAATGGTTCTAGGATATATTGTGGACCTAGAAGAAGGGGCTGACCCAAGTGGATTCGGATACGGTAAATTGCGATATATTGTCGTTACCACGAGCGAAGACTTGAGGCAGATAATCGAGGATTCTTGCTCGGTGAACGGGAATGAGATCTCGCAGTCTGTCACCCACTGGGGGGCAGGCGTTTGGTGCGGGAAATTCTCGCTGTTGATTGCTGCAAGGTCGCAGTATTTGTCGAGAAACAGTGGGATGTCCATGAATGCTCGGAAGCGGTGTAGCCGAGTGCGAGCACTAGAACGGTCAATAAAATTCGGTTTGAGCTTGAAGATAGATCACTCACGCATAGATGAACATGCGGCTTATCATCCACATAGTTTGAGCGACGGATGCCTCTGAGTCTTCATCGAAAGTCGTTAAAATATGGCGGTCTGCTTCGCCTATCAAAGATACAAGATTCGAATCCACCTTGCGTATTCGGGTGCCAAAATCGGAGAGAACGGCTGTCTCATCCACACGTTCGATGTTCTGGACTATCTTGTTACACTCAAAAAGAGCTTCTTGTGCTTTCATCATTATGGGCCATGGCTTGTAACAGTGAGTAGATGATTGAAGACTTATGAAAGTAATTGAATGACTTACCTCTAGATATACATCAAATTTGGGATAAGGAGTAGTTATTCGTGGATCATTCAAAGAAACAATTGGTGGCTGTATATCGATCAGTCAAAGCCGGTCAGTGGGAGTGTTCATATGTTCTCTTACAGAAAGATGGAGGTTCGATGATAGATATGTGACCCAAATCTATAGGACCAGTGAGCAATAGCTTCGATAATAACATGTCTCTCTCACTAACTGTCATCCACCAAGCTCGCCTCTGTGCCTCAGAATACTCTGTCGTCGTCGAGGCAAGTCTATGAATGGAAATATCCATAGCAGTTGTGATAGCCTGGTTACCTCGAGCCCGCATTCTGGATATATTACCACGCTGGCAATACTCATAAAGGCTAAGGACCACAAGAGCCAGAACCGGGTGAAGCTGGGTTTGAACCTGCGGATGCAAGCCATTTTGTGCTCGAGAGGATTCTGTCTGAGACAAATTAGTGCTCAAAGCAGGCGACAAATCGTCGGTCTCAGTTTCCACAGCAGCCAGCGCCGCCTGGGCAAATAGCTGTGCGTAAGACCGCCTAAGCGTAAGGCTCGGTTCGGCCATTGGAAAGGTGTCTTCGGCGGTAGGTATGAGGACTAGCATTGCGGACAAAGCAAGACTCAGAGAAGATGTCGGCCAATAAGGCATATGGGACTTTTCTGCTTGAGAACTTTCTCCAAATGGTCTGATCACAGTAGGGCGATCTTCGTGCGGTGGTGCCACTGGAGGCGGCAACAAAGGTAAATATGGGTGGATATAAATATAGTAGGCATTGGCACTGTGTATCCGATTAGCAGTCGATCATGCTTTGAATCAATCTCTTTTGCACCAACATTTCCGCTTCGGATTGATAGGCACGTGTTGCCGATGACCCCACATCGTGCACAGGAACCGAGTCAAATGAGCTATCATCATGCGGGGTGAGTTGACCCCAGATCTGGTGGGATCCATCCACAATTGACAGAGAATCCGGGGAGAGATCGAGATTGTGGATCCCAGCGAATGGCGATACCAGACCGATCATGTTATCAAGGAATGGTTCTGGCCAATGATTAGATACTACGACGGACTTGTTATTAGGGAAGAGTTGAGCTACCAATTTCATCGGCGACATCTGACATTGAAGAAGGCAGTGAGTTGCCTGTAGTTGATCGTCGTTGCGTCTCCTCATACCGGGCTCCTCTGCGAGGACCACCCCGGCGACTGGCTTGATAAGTGCACTCTCTGTTTCTTCCAGAGCACTAATCGATGAATTAGCCAATGGGCACCAGAATGAGGGGTTGGACATACACTGCCACAGGGATGTTGGCCATCACAACGTGTTTTCGATGTTCGACTACAAAATATGAGCTCAAGGCAAGAATGAGCAGTCGACAAGGTATGCAGCGCACCATGGTAGACACGCAGCTTTCACCGGTGGTTTCATAACACGAGGCATATTGTCTAACTGTTTCAAAAATGCAGTTAGCAAATGATTATCTCTGCATAGGGACGTCACCACGGCACGTGATATCTATACCCTGATCGGATGAGGGTTGTTTTAGCGTGAGAAGATCTACCTTTATCCACTTGTTGCTTCTATTGTTTTGCGAGGAGACCAATAGGCTGTTGAAAGCACACATTATCCAAGGACAAGTTACCTCTGGCTCGGCGTTTGATTTTTTGACCAAACACCGAGTCAACTCGTCATTGGCAGAGGACACCCGCTATCGGCGATTAATCAATCTTTACTATGAATTTATATCTGAAATCTTAAAAAATATATAGTGCATTAATAATGAATTGGTAATATAACTTAGAAAAACAGTTTACATATAACAATTTATTTGCAACAACTCTTCCCAACATCGGGCGCTTGCGATGTATCGAGACGACAGAAACAGGAAGACGTTACAGGCACATCAGCCACAGCAACTGCTATCGCCAACTGCGGTCCAATAATTCGCGCCTCATCATGCCGACCAAGACGTATCAAACATTCATGGTAGCCCTGCAAAGCCCATACATTATTCGGATGCTGACGAGCACGGATAAGAGTGCTATCAAGACCCAGGTCAGCCTGGTAAACAGCCGCTGCATCCTCGACATGGCCCTGCTCTAGCAAAAGAGCAGCGTATGCATGGCGGGTGGGCTGCATCCAACTCCAGGGCTCACTGTAACCCAGCCCATCATCCAATTCAATCGAGCGACGTAGATGCTCGAAAGCCTCCGTGTAGTTTCCACGGCGGTACTCGATCTCGCCGTCCAACATTTCCGACGCCACCCCCAGAATATCGATGCACTTGTTGGGCCAGTCCAAGCGCGTATCTGGGACTCGATCCCGTGCTGCTCGATAGAGCTCTCGCTGGCGCTCTGCATCCGGCACGTTCCCTGTGGCTGCATATGCCACGCCCTTGGCGTAGTGCAGAACCGCTATCGTCATGCAGTACAGCTCTGGATCTGAGGGGATCGCAATCTCGATAATTTCATCCCACATGCCGAACCGTATCATGATGTGTGCGCGCACAGACATGAAGACTTCGATGTAGTCTGACAGGGCCGACAGCAGTTCTTTTGGCAAAGTCGCCTCCATGCGGTCCACGGCTTCAAATGCGGCTTGTTTCTGGCCCGCGAACATGGCTGCGTAGATGAGCGAGTGGTAGGTGTGCATGCGGTAGACTGAGTAGAAATTCATTGGGCCTTTCAGCGCGAGGTATTTCTCGTCTGCAATAGCGGCACGCTGATTTGCGCGGACGGCGCTTCGATAGTCTCCAACCAACACATCTAGATGGGACGGCATATGATTGATATGACCCGCGTCTGGAACAAGGTCGCGGAGGTGGTCTGCCGGTCGGAGGCCTAATTCTGGGAAGGGCGACATCTCAATAAGATGAATGTAGATGTGCAGGAGACCGGGGTGTTTAGAGGCATCTTTATGTTGGAGAGCTGTCTCTAGCACTCTCTTTGCTTCCATGGTACGAGTGCCTGGATTTGGTTTTCCGGTTACCATGTCCCACAACTTCCAGGGAGTGAGGCTGATCAAGGAATCAGCGTACAGAGTGACCACGTCCAAATCATCGCTAAACTTTTCATATGCCTCTTTCATTGCATCGGCATATGCAATATTTTGGATAGCATATTGATCCATGCTAGCAGGCTTATCACTTTGATAGCGGGCGGAGATTGCCTTGGCGAGGGCCTGTTCCACGGGGTTTCCATTTTTTGAAGAGAGGAAGCAAGCTTTGTTTGCAGCTCGATATGTATTTTCAACAACAGCTGCCAAATCGTTGCCGAGGAAATCCCAGGGTTGGTTATAATTGGGACCGAGAGAATATGCCAACCCCCAGTAGGCCATCACACATAATGGATCATACACAAGTGCCTGTTTGAAACAGACGATGGATTCCTTATGATTGAAGGAATATGCCCACACGAGACCACGGTCAAACCATATTTGAGCTTCAGGACTGGTGGTCGAGATGACCTTCCCGTATGACCCAAGATTATACGGATATTCCTGTGTTGATCCTTTTATCATTTTGAAGATATATGCCCACGTGGTGGCACCGTATGATGTCGGGAAGGTGAAGGAGAATATTGAAGAGTTCGGGTTTAGGCGGGGTTCCCGCTACTTGTACCCAACGACTTCGGACTTTTCATTCCATTTGATTTTATATTTTATGTTTTATGTTTTATGTGATACTATGAATTAGCGAACTATTGTGAACTATACTGTATACATTGCATCTTATTGGATCCCCAGTTGGTATGCAAATGCGATTAGGTTGTACTAGATTGTACTATTGATCCTGGTAGATCACCACCTTATGCACCTATTACACATATCTTATTTGCTTTGTTTTAATTTCTTGCGCTGGTTCCCCTTATATCTTATGAACAAGCAAGGTAGAGAAAAATATAGGCAAAATAGGAGTCTAGTGAAGTTCAGCCTCAATCAGCCCCTCTCCCTATTTTCCCCGTCGGATCAGCCCACACTTTTATATATATCGTTTTTTGCCATCATATGTTGTACCCAAAATAGGAAGGTCGACTCCTTAATTTCAGACATTAGTGCTCGAGTTCTCACTTTTGAAACCATCTAGTGTTCGCTAAGTTTATCACTTGGCCTATATTTTGCAGGGATATCTAGCCAAGGCCCCAATACAAGGTTAGACACGGCCAGGCAATGGCACACAAATACGGACCAACTTCCCATATATATAACACAACAAAATGAGGGCATGATTAATCCTGCTCGACTAGAGACATCTTAAAATACTACCTCGTTGACTCGTCGACATCCCATGGGATTGCAAAAAAGAATATTAGTCAGCACCATATAGGCAGTGACGTGACCGGACCTGAGTAAACTGGCCAAATGACAGCTGACGATGGGATTGGATCAATACCACGCATTTTACTCCGTATAATGCTAAGAAATCAACGAAGGTGCAAAAGAAGAAGCAATATCTCTCCAACTTTGTGGGAAATGCCTCATAATATAGATCCAATATAGATCAGAGACCAGGCTGACTATATGAGAAAAAGCAAATTATTCTGTCTAGTATCTCCTTTGAAAGCCTCGATAATACTAGTGTCGAAATGATCTCCAAGCCTAATTTTTGAACCAATGAGAGTAAAGTTGCACTTTTCCCATCACAGCGATCTGCGGGTGAGATATAAGGGAAAATAAGCAAAATGTGACATGTCTGCATATTGAGATATGTATTCCTATTTGAGACATACTGCAGATCCGAGACATTCCAAGCTCTTTCGTGGACTCTAGGCAGACGCTTATCTTGGGAGTTCTTTGTTTGGAACTCGGTACTCCGTACGGACTAACTATACTCTTCTATGTTGTAGTTCCTCGACCTCTCTCTTCTCTCTTCCTCATCCTCAACTGCGCATTCCTCCCTTCTAAACGCTGAGCTACAACCCAATCACCCAGCATGGCACTGTCAGCTTCACTTAAGACATTCCTACTGTACTGCGGTACCTTCATCGGTGAACGACTCGAAGCAGCTCCCTTCCAGACCTTCCTCATCTTGGCCTCTGCCTGGATCCTCTCTATTCCGGCTATTGTGTTCCTGATGACCCGCTACTCGCCCTTATTTAATTCCAAAAATGGCAAACCTCAACTGCGATGCCGCTCATGCGGAAGCACCGAAGTTTCCGAAATCCCTGCGGGGACCTCAATTCCAACCCCGAGTGAGAAGAGAGATTGAGTCACGGGGCGCAAAACGCCACATGGGACTAAGGGACTAGGTGGGAGAAACAGGAGTTCGTCCACGGGTTGGTCACAATGTGTCAGCCCTGCACTAAGCAGTCTGTTTTGGATTTACCGGTTAATAGCGATTGGTATTGGTTACTCTAATGCAGGCTTAGTTTAGCTTGTTTCTGCCTTCTTCCAGGCTAAGCTAATTTAAGAATGAGTTACATACCAAAAGCGGAATTTGCCGTGCAAATCATGCAGGGGTTCTATGTATGTCTTTGCTTCATGATTCAAGTTTTTACTCTATGCTTTGACCGTGCCATGTTATGACTCTTCCTGCTATACTTCGTACCTTGATTAGAAATAGGAAAATGCTGTAGAGCAAGTTTTGCTTTACGCAGTCCAAAACAAAAACTCCTTCATTGCCAGGCTTTCATTCCTTAAAATTACTATCTGTATACCATCAGGCCGTAAGCTTACTCGATCTACAAGCCACATTTAGGGCTATTCTCCAAACCGGTTTAACCGGGCACCATATGCGAAGGGAACACTGCTATCCTCGACGCCTTTCAACCAGTGCCAGTTGAATAGTCCAATCCCACAAAGGCAACTGTCTCATCTGTAGGATAAGAGAATACTACAACATAAGCCCTAACGGCGCCATGCGTCTCCCACCTATGTAGATGTAACCTCATGCATATCCAATTTTGAGCAAAAGCCGTCAGCAGAGGACATCGTCCGCATGACAAATGCCTCTTTGGGCACGGCAACCTCATCGAACCAGGTACCTGTTTCACTAACTACCTGCCTGTCTCACTGACTGCTCGAGCAGAAGCCCAAACTATAAGAACCCCAAGAAGGAACGTCGCAAAGAGGACTTCCAGAACAGACCAAGCAATCATCTTCAGAATCATCTAACATCCACTCAACCAAACACTTCTTCTTTTTCTTCTCCAAGATGCTCTCTACCACCATCATCACCAGCCTTATACTGGGTCTTTCCCAGATAACCGCCGGCATCGCACTGCCCTCAACCCAAGCCCCGTCAACGGGCTTCATCATCAACCACGTAGCCTCAGACTACTTCCCCGACTCAAAGGGCGACCTCAGCGCCTTCGACGTTGACGTCCGCTACGTGGGCTATTCCGCCGACACAGAGACATGGCTCGCAAGCCTGGACCCACACTCCGCCAGCAGCGATGAAGAAAAAGCGCGAATGCTGACGGAAGCCGCATACGCGAAGAAATACGACGAGAACGACGCCGACATGGCCGGCGACGTGGAGTCCTTGCTTGCGCACGTTGCGGGGAACGTCACTGTCGCCGAGAAGGGCATTGAGAAGCGGTCGAGCTTCAAGACTAGTGCTGCACATGCTGTGCTGTGGAGTGCGTGCGGGACTGTGTTCTCTTGTATCTCTGGTACGACTTGTCAGTTTGATCAGCAGATTGGGAAGGCACCGCGCAGTCATTGTGAGCAGCAGGGTGGATCGAATTGCTGTATTAGTTGGTCCACTTATAGCGTGCGGGCTGGGTTCTTCTCGACTACTTGGACGGCTTGTAATGAGGAGGTTCAGGCTGAGCAGAAGAGGAGTGCTTCTTGTGAGGGATATGGGACTGGGGATCAGGGTGGTGATGTTTGTCTTAGCGGTCGTGCTTCTGGATGTACTTAGATGGGTTGTTGAGGATCGGACGGCTGGGGGCGAGGGAAGGGAAGTGGGGGTGGAAATGGCTGTTTAATTGAGGGCCTGGAGGATTCTTAGATGGAGAGAGTGTAGTTGTTACATAAGGGACAGGGTGATGGTTGCTCAAGCTTAGGGTCATGATTATCGTTATCCATGTTTTCTATAGTCATGCAATGCAATTGTTGCCCTTTGGCCATCATAAGTGATCAAAGCGAAGAATTGAGTTTGATTTGATGGAATCGGGATGCATCAGGGAAATGGCATGTGGTTAGTACGCCAGTTTCTCTTGGGACTCTGTTTCGTGTAGCTACATAGTCAGTGAGGGCCCGTAAATAAAGGGCAATTACAACAGCATAGGCCTCGAAGGATCCATAAATTCGATTCTTCGCTAGTGTTGCCGGCGTTACCGTCAACATTAATACATGTGAATGCAAGCTGTGAGGCAAAAGCAAGGCCCAAAGCAAAAGCCAAGCACACCAGATGCGCTAACATCCGTAAGAAGAGAAATAGAAGATGCGATAGACATAAAAAAAGAAATATCAAATATCAAATATCTCGCCCATATGTACTAGAGACCCATGCATGTAGCATTGAAGTAGGCTGAATATTGAATGTACCCTTTGAGCCAGGAGAAAAAAGGAAGAAAAGAAAAAAGCCAACGAAAAGGGTCCCAGATGCTGTTGTTTTCATTACGTGATAGCAGAGCCTGCGACAGAGGCCGAGTTGGTCACGGAATGAATACTACCAGGAGGTGCATGTGAATTGCTATCCCCGTTCGGAACATGAGGCTCTTCCACGAGGACATGGTTTTCATCAATTCCCAGGAGAGACCGGGGCGGGTGAATCTCTTTCTTGCCGTTTGTCTTGTAGTGGAGAACCATGTCTCCCGAAGTGCGCCAGAGGTGCGTGCGAATGGTTGCTAGAGTCATGTTTGGTGGACAAAGCTGGTGGGAAACGATCAGTATGACTGACTATACAAAATGGGAGAAGAACTTACCATCTTCTGGCAGTATAGCTCGAGGTACTCCTCTGGTGGCATAACGGACTCCGCTGGTTCATCCGGGTTTGCAGGGTCAATGCGCTCTGCGACATAAGCAAGAACCTTCTTCGTTCGGAGCATGCGGTTGGCATTGAGACGAGAGCCGTTGTTATTGGTGTTCGGATTACCCGGAGGGGCACCGTTAGGAGCCGGTCTGCATGAATAACCGAGATTAGTTTCAACAACATACATTCCAGGGTAGAGAAGATCCGGAACATACGGTTCGGGCTTGACGACTGGTGGCAAGGTATCATCGAAGGGCTTCAACACAAAGGCGATCTTGACCTGCTCCTTGAAGGGGATTTGATTCTACAACCGATCATCAGTAAGAGGAAAAGCAAGAATATCAAGCGAAAAGACGACTCACCTTCAGAAGAAGTTCACCAAGCCAATGAGGAATTGATTTCTTGAGCCTTTCGAGGTCTTCGCCGATGCGACCCACGCTACCTCTGTACAGGTCTGAGGCCACAGCAGTATCGCCAGTTTCCTCCTGGATGAAGACTGCAGTCCGAGATGGAATATCCAGTCGCGGAGTTTCATCCTCAGTACTAGGCAAAAGAGCCGTCTCCAAATCCCGATCTGGATTTGTAGCCAGGAATTCTTCATAATCATCACGAATGCGGTCAACCACGCCACAGAGATTGGGCTCATACACCTTCTCTTCTTTGATAGAGGAGATCTCCGACTCTTCAGCCTTTTCTTCCAATATCTGAGGCTTCGTCTCCGTAGAATTTCGACCTAACTTCTTGGGGAAATTCATTTGGAACTTCTTTCCAAATAGTGACTTCTTCCGCTCTTCCTTATCGGGCTCTGCGGGGGATTGAGGAACCCCCGAATTTGAGGTTGCATCCGATGGAGACAGAAGAGACTTGTCGGTGTCTGTTTGTTGGGCCGCTAGAGGTCTCTTCGAGAAGTAGTCGCTTGAAGAAAAGGATGATGGTCCGCCATCGAGATGAGAATTTGTTGGCACTGAGGCATCAGGTGTGTCTGGTTCAAACCCTGGGAACGGAGAGTTACTCTGCATGGAAGTGCTCAAGTAGTTTGACGATGGTGTGCCAACATTGATGCTGCCAACATTGATGCTGCCAACGTTGATGCCAAAGCCGACGTTCGGGCTACCAGGGAAGTCTGAGTTGGGACGCAGACTAGTTCTCTGATGAGGATTCGATATAGGTATACCAACGCTGCGGGGGATATCATCGCCAGGTACCGATGTACTCAGCGGATTCAGTTGAGCATGTTCTTCTGCTCTCGCAATGGCAGCTTGGCGGTATTCGCTGTCTCGTCGGATTTCCTCGTCCACTACCGGAGCAAACAGCCAACGCAAAACCCATTTGCCAAGATTGACTGCGTGTTGTCAGTATGGCAAATAATATCCGCGAAGGTTGATAGCAGAGCAAAGGAAATAGTCGAGGAAAAAGGACACTCACTTCTTTGATCTTCTCTAAACTGATACAGATCAGATAGTGGTAGATCGGTCTCATCGGCATAAACTTCTGCGTCGAAGCAGCGATTGGGCTCCAGAATGACTGATAACCTGCCAGTACGCACGTCGATGGCACACCAATGTCCAATACTATCAACGGTGTTTACCTCTGACTCAACATCATCCATATGACGCTTGCCAAAGGATTGGACGGGGATACACTAGGTTTATGTTAGTGGATGTCTTATACTTGTCAGCTGAGATGTAACCAAATTACCTTCAGCAGGTCCCAGAGAACAACTTCTCCTGCTGAATCCTGAGTAAGTGTGCGCCTCCGATCATTCAACATCAAGCACTTTATCAAGCCGTGTTGGCCTTCAATGGTCTCTTCGGGCTGCGAATGAACTGGGATGGTTAGACCAATTGTCTCCAAGTTAGGCTCCGAGGAATTCAGTTTTGGGGCTGAGCCACCGAGAATCGATGTTGCTGATAACTGCAAAACAGCATTAGATGGAATCTTCTTGGGTCCCTTCTCTGGAGGGGTAGCGGGCACTGTAGCAGAGTCTATGGTACGTGCTGGGTCGGGCGGTGGCTCGATTCCAGCTGTAGTATCAACATCTCGCCAGCGATTGACGCTAGACTTGGGAGTCGCTGTCCAGATGTAGTCTCCCGCCGCCACAACTTTGACAACGCCGTCGTGTTCTTGTAGTGCGGCAACGGAGAGACCCTGGTCGGGATCGGCGGACCCTCGCATGTCGGTCTTCGCCACCAAGCCAGATCGGTCACTTGAATAGAAGACAGAGAGATCAGGGTGGTCCGAGTAAAGGGACCACACACTATCATTGTGCATGGTCAAGGTGTTCATGCATCGACCCGCCGTGAGAGACCAGATCTTGATCGTCTGGTCAGACGACCCCGTCATGATTGTATCGCCGGATTGGTTAATCATAATATCACGAATGTTGTCCGTATGGCCCACGAACTTCGTCACTAGCTTTCCAGACCTGGGATCCCATACTCGGACAACATTTTCAGGGCCACCGCTAGCGAGCACCGATGAGACCGCGCCTAGCGCATAGACAGACCCTTTATCCGTGGAGTCGTCCCCACCGGCATTGATGTTCAATATCTCCCCACCGCCATTTAAATCCCAAAGGTAAACCTTTTGATCGAGACCGCCCGAGGCAACCCAAGTAGCGTGGCTACCGGGGCTCGCCAGGGCCTTCACATAATCGGTATGTTTTCCAATGCGCTCCGGCACCTCAGTGGACTCGGAATGCGGGCGCCAGAGTCGCACGGTCGTGTCGGACGAGGCGGAAACGAGCGCGGAGTTGTCCTGTGCCAAGACTATGTCGTTGATCCAATGACTATGGGCTTGAACCTGGGTTTTGAAGCCGGTCGGACTAGGCTTTTGGCCAGGAGATGATGCTTCTTTAGGGGCAGACGAGGAGGGAAGAGGGAAGTCGAGATCCCAGGAACAGATGACGCCGTCGCGGCCCGCGGAGTAGCTAGGAGAGGGGACGTCATATTAGCATCCGTGCAACCCACGTGTAGGGGAGCCTGGTTTCCGGAAGATCACGGTCGCAAACGTGGCAACCGTCCAAATCTAGATCCTGGATCCCAGCATAATGAGGGAGAGATACTTACAGGATGGAGTTTTGGCGGTCGACGGTTAAGCCATTGACCCCCAACCGGTGCCCACCGGGTGCATCAGGCAGAGGGAGGACTAGTAGAGTGAGAGACACAGTCAGCGACCTGAGAGCAGATACATAGGATCCAACTTACCATAGGTGACCCTCTGGTGGCTCAGTTTGCGTGCCATACATGCAGCGTTGAGGGAGTGAAACCAATTGCGGAGATTCGAATGCGGAGCTTATCTGCCCTCAAGGCCGATCGCACGTTCAGTTTTGGTGGGGAAGGTAAACGTCACAGGGCCAACAAATCAAGAATAGAAGTTAAAAGGGCCAAGGAAAAAAAAGAAGCGAAGGGGAAAATACTCAAAATGAGGGGAAAGTTTACCAAAGTTGGAGGCGCCAGGGGCCGAGTGTTTATGCGGTTTATACTTGGTGCTTTGTTACTACTATACCTACGTAGGTAGTTAACTATCAAAACGATGCTGACCTCATTTAGATGGAATAACACAGATACACGTTCTAAAAAGATACGCAATATCGAGCTATACATTACTCTAGATCCACCAGGCTCCTCATTTCCGAGAGAAACAATCCTTCAACTCCACCAACCGGGTGGTGATTTGCCACGGCTTGATATATGAGGGAGATCCAAGACCCAACAGATTTGCGCTCGCGGTCTATGTTGTAGTCCAAAGCCGTGTTTCACGGTAGAACGCTCCGCTTGTCCCGTATGGAAGGAGACCCTAAACTCGCGTCGAACAAACCGATAGAGCAGCTTGGCTGCATCGCCAAGATGGGGCGCGAGTCGGGGCTCTGAGAAGGCTGCAGTTTGCATCTTTTCAAAGAGCGTCTCACACTCCGAAGTTATACGGGTCTTGATCTCCATTATTGCACATGCGATGAGACTGGGTTTGCTAAGAAGGCAGGCTCCGACATGTAGGTTATGTTGATGTCAACTTCATATTGAACGAGAGGTCGGGTGGTAGTCCGTTGTTGTCAAAATCAGGTAACTTTTATATAGACATGTCATAGTAAGGGTACTTGGTTCCTTGCAATTTCTGTTGGGATACACACCCAAATTGGTAGGAGATTATCGGGCTCGGATGAGACTTGATATTTGGAGGCTATTCACTCCTAGGCCCTTACTGGCTCAACTTACAGGTATGTTCTGGGCATTTTAGTATAGCCATATTGTATGATACCAGCCATTATCAAGGCATATTATACCTCATCCAGAGAGTCCTATAGTCCTCTGTATAAGCCAGTAAGGAATGTATACCTGAACGTCGCACGCTCTTCGTCATTGTTCGTCACTCTTCGTTTACATCCCGAGCCTCTCTCCCAAACCTCTACAATATATGTATCTACCGTTAATGCCCCTAAAAGCCAACATGCAAAAAAAGACAATGGACATCCCAATCTCCAAAATAAAACCGGCATACCCTCTTCCCTCAACCCCAACCCAAGAAGAACCCGCAATCCAATCCACAATCAACGCCCTAAACCTCTGCCCGCATCCAGAAGGCGGCTACTTCTGCGAGACGGATCGAGATCCGCGTCGAGTTGCAAACCCTTACCAACAGCCAATAATCTCAGTCACAGACACAGACACAGACACAGACACAGATCCCGAATCCCGTTCCGCAAGCTCCTCAATCCTCTACCTCCTCACACCGCAGCGTCCACTAGGCGCATTCCACCGCAATCAGAGTCGCACGGTGCACGTATGGCAAAGTGGGCGGGGGCGGTACGTTGTTATCCATGTGGACGAGGTAAGCCGAGATCACAGCCGGGGATGTAGTGCCGAGAAGGCCAAGGCGCGGGTTGAGACGTTCGTTGTTGGGCCTGGTGTTGAAGTTGGGGAGAGGGTGCAGTGGGTTGTTGAAGGGGGTAAGTATAAAGCATCTTTTTTGTTACCGGATGAGCCTGAGGGAGAGACTTCTTCGGGGTTGTTGATTAGTGAGGTATGTTTTGTGCATCTTATAGATCTACATCTTTGAAAATGGTAGAAGTGGCTAACAAGTTCCCCAAGGTTGTTTTCCCAGGCTTTGAGTTTGCAGACCATGATTTCCTGCGCAAAGAGCAGATGGAGGAACTCCTGACTGCTGAGGAAGTTCAGGAATTGAGCTGGATGCTTAAAGCCGAGCCAAACGGTCCTAGCAAGTAAAATCCACAGAATGATATGTATAATTGCCCAAAACAACTCGCTTTCCAGAATCTATGTTCTTCCTTCCATATAGCAAAAATATACAAACCACAAGACCAGGGAAAAATCCAATCAAAGACCTTTCTCCGCCTGCACCTCCCGACGCCCCTCAAGAGTATTCGAAGCATACTGATAACTCCCCAGGAAAACAGCCCCACCAATACCAATCCACGTCACACGGGGCGCAATACCACGCCAGAAAGCACCTGGCCCTTCACGCGCAATCCCGCGCACAATCTCCTTAACACGAACAGGCGCATCAACGCCCCCGTCTCCACGTCGCGCAAGCATAACCCGCGTCTTGATGACGTCCAGCGGGGTCGTCAGACCAGCCGCAATGGCGCCGGCAACACTGCCGAACATGGCGCTCGTCGAAGCGGGGATCTGCGTCTCGGCGAGAGATGAGGCCGTCTCCGCGGTTCGCAGGTACCGCTTGCCGTAGACTTCCTTCATCGACTCCCACATTGTGAATTGCAGCACGGTGAAGGGGATCTCGCGGGCGATTGTGATACCCGCGCCGCGGTAGAGTTCGCGGAAGACCTGGCTGTACCCGCGCTTCGCTGCTGGGGCTGAGGTAGATGTGTTTGTGCTTGGGGCCGCGTGCCGCAGGGACAGGATGTCCTTCAGGGCGAGGAGACTCGAGCCGCCGAAGAGGCCGGCTTGGGCGCGCTGCTTGATGACTTCTGTTGGGACGCGGACGGCGCATGCGGCGATTTCGCCGAGGGAGGAGGCGAGTGAATGTGTGAGGATTATGTGGGAGCGGGATTTGGGGGTGGCTTTGCTGTTGGCGGGTTGGGGTGGGAGCAGGGTGCGCTTGACGCCATCGTAGACGATGAAGAAGGAGGCGGCGGAGGGAGCAGAGCCAAAGAGGACGGATGGGAGGCCGGCGTAGATACCGCGGAAGGTTTGGCGTAGGGAGACTCGGGTTTGGGGTGCGGTGTGGTCGCGTGCTTTTTGGAGTCGGGTTTTGATGGTGTCGAGGGGGTAGAGGGAGCAGTCGACGGTCAGGCCTGCAATTGCGCCGGACTATATAGTTGCAGAGTTGTTAGAGGGATACTCCTGGGAAGAGCTTTGGAGAAGGTTACAATTAATGACCTCGTCCACAGGGAGGAGACCAATGGCTCCCCGTCAGGTTGTTGGGCCATTTTTGTATAGAATTGGATATGGAAATCGCCCTATCACAAGAGCATGGCCAATTGGGTGGAAGTAGGAAGGGGAGAACAGCAACGAAGTATGTTGTACAGAAGCGGGCTAACCGGAGAAGCTCCGCGGGCTGGCAGTTTCTTTTGCTCCGCGGTCAGGCCATCCGATATCGCCGATCTTCGCTACGTCAGGTCCAAAAGAATATATACTATGTTGTATGTTTGTACTGAAATGTATCTACTATTTAAGAGAATAAAGTTCTCTCGCACAAGCGCGAAGCCTTGACAAAAGAAAGCTTTGCAAAAAAAAAAAAAAAACACTCCGAAATCCCACACCAGGTCTATCAGTGACATCCATCGTCGAGCCAGAGAGAGTGCTCCGTTTTCTTCAAGATCACAAGGGAAACTCGAGCGCGATAAGATGTCACAGAGGTTCATTCAAGATTATCAACTCATCTCAAACATGGCCCGGGGAATGAGAGAAACCGCCAAAATCATCTACAGTACTCGTAGGGAATCACACAGTAAAACACGAAAGGGAAGGGGACAAAAGTGCCACCCCGTTCTCAAAGGATAAAGGGGATATATAGACACGAGGAAAAATTGATACAAAGAAAGGATATTATTTAGCCTTGGTAGCTTTGCTGGCCACGGCAGGGCTCTGGGCGGGGGGCTCGAGTACGTGGGTGTGGCCGGGGGCACTGATGGTTTCGCCAGTCTCGTCCTGTCGGCATGCATGAATGTTCCTTATCCAGTCATCCGACAGTACCTCGTCGAGTGTGGCTCGGTTTTTCGGGTTGGTCTTCAGCATGCGGCCAATGATATACCGGCTTTCCCGCGGCAAGATCCGGAGAAGTCGCCATGGGCCCTTGATGACTTCCTGGCGCTGTCCAGAATTCTGGGATGATGCTGGAACCGGCGGTGCCTCTTTGCTGGTCGTGCGGGTGGGCCGCTCATGGGGGCCGTTGCTGGTTTGGCTGATCTGCTTCTGAGCAGTATCGGGAGAGTGATCACCGTCCCTCTGCGCGGCCTCTGATTTGTTTGCGTCTCCGTTTTCATTTCCGGTTCCATTCTGCTCCGATCCAGACTGGTCGGAGGGTCCGCTCGAGCGGGGAGTCAGACGCTTATTGTCATGGCTTTGGTTGGGAAGATCGGGCGTCGACTTGGGCCGACGGCGTGAGTCGGGTTCGGCAACTGGGGTGCCTGGGGTCGGGCTGGAAACGAACAACTTGTATGAGTTGTCGGTCATCCGCGGTTGCTTCCATGGGAACCGGCGCAAGGTCATACAGCAGAAGATGATCGCCAGCGACCAAACATCCGTGGGGCGGGGGTCATATTTCTTCTCGTCGTAGACCTCGGGAGCAAGATAGGGATCTGAGCCAACGATACCTGCTCATGCAAATCAGTAACCAGGAACTGTGATCGAAAATAATAATAATACAAGAGTACATACCCGAAGCAGGGACAATGTCGTTCTCAAAAGGATAGCGGAATACGACTGCACTCCCGAAATCAATGAGTTTCATGATGCCACGGTCGTTTACCACCACGTTATCCAGTTTCAAATCCCGATGGGCCAGACCCATGCCATGGATATACGCCACACCGCTCAAAATCTGCTTGAAGGAGCAGGCAATCTCCTCCTTGCCCATTTTGCCCGTCATCACGATAGCGAACAGATCGAACGGCGCATATTCCATGACCTCATACCAGCGACTGCCTTCTTGGATGATATCCAAGGTCTCGATGATATTGCCATGGTGCAAGGTGGAGCCAATACAGAACTCTGCTGTCACCTTCTTGGAGTATTCCTTCAAGCTCTCCCAGTTGTGACGGTCTCGGAATTGCTTCACTGCAAAGGTGACACCGTCACTGTTGCGCTTCAAAAGACGCACGGAGCCACCAGCTCCAGATCCGAGCACCCTGCCCAGCTTTCCATACTTGGAATTCAGACCATGATCATCGGCAAAAGGAACATTGTCTGGAGCCATTTGATACGGAGTGGACTTTCCAGATGATCGACTCGACTTCTTAGGCATGGATGTCGGGGACTCGGATCGCTTATTGCGATGGCCCATCTTGAAGAACCGTTTCAGCTCAGACATAGAGCCATGATGCTGGTGGCCGTGGTTCTTGTCGCCCTCCTTCTTGGCACCACCAAATATGCTCCGCTTGTCACTAGATTTACTGAGGTCGCTTGCGCTGGTGGATCGGGGAGTCCCCGGACGAAATGATCGCTTGACATCCCGACCGCTGAAGATAAACCGGGGATCCAATTGGGCAAGGTTTTTGGACTGGGGTAGTCGCTTGTGGCGCGCATATGGATCATTAGGTTCGCCTACAGGGGTCATAGCCCCCGGCGGGGTAAGAGAATCTTTTGGAGTAGAAGGGGGCTTTCTTCTTGGGAGCCCCCGTCATTTCCAATGAAGAATTGCGCACGATGCCTCGGTAGTTCAATGGCATGAGGAGCTCGCTCTGAACCTTCACTTTTTCTGGTGGGCAGCTGATCGGTGGACAGGGGTCGGGAGGATGAGGGGGGTCGAGGCGTGCCGTTCTTGTCGGTCGATCCTACTGGAGGTGATGCTTCAGGGGTGAAATTAGTGTCCACGTGGGGTCGGCTGGTAGCTTTCAGAGAGGCACTGTCGCTGATTTTGCCTTCGCGAGAATGGGTTGCAGCTGGAGTAAGAGGGGGGGACTGCACAGCAGAGACCGGAGGAGACGCATGTGGAGAGGCAAAGGCACCGGTGCCACGTCCACTACGATCACTTGACTCTCGAGAGCCAACCTATGATGATCCAAAGTTAGTATGATGATGAGATTGGCACAGTCCACTTAGTCTCCGCTCAGAAACCGGCGCGCCGGATGAAGGGAAATAAATATCACTTGGAGCATGAAGAGATTGGAACACTCGGAAGAACATCCGACGGCAAATTAGAGATAGATATGACATACCCTGGAGGAAGGAAGAGACATGGGGTCAAAGGAGAAATTGCGCAGGCGCGACTCCTGAAGCTGTGCGCCCTGCATACTCATCGCCAGCGACCGTAATTGCTCCTCATCCGTACGTCGCTCTTGCTCTTCTGCCAGAGATTGCGGTTGCTCTGGTACAGGGGACAATTCGGATTGACCTGGTTCAATCTCCTCCGTGATGGATGAGAAACGGACTTGGGTAGGCTGAGCTCTTGACTTGGCGTCGGCGTCACCGGGCTCCGGGGCCTGTCCGGGGATCTTGGCGGGGTTGTGCATACTTTGGGATCCTGGAGGGATAGACAAGCGTCAGACGGTTGGCAGGAATTTAGGATACACCATCACAACCGATCAGCATGGCAGCCAAGACATACCTGAATCCTTGAGGTTGGGTGTTGAATCAGTCATTTCAGACGTCATAGTCTTCGACGCCGGCTCGGAACGTGGGACGCATGCCCCTCACGATGGGAGCTTTGGAGAATCCTAGATAGCGAACTGATGGCCAGTTCAAATGCTATCAAAGTCGCAGAATTGGAGGATTTGCTCCCAAACAGAGTCCAAGAAGTCAACGACTTATGCGAGAGGCAAATCTTTTCCCTTTTTAACTTTTTTTCTCCCGCCGAATGCGATCAAGAGCCGGGTCTGGTCAAGGAATCCGTGAATCCGGGTATCCCCCAAATGATAAAATGCGAGAGCAATAGAGGTTTGAGAGAAGAGGCAAAGAAGTAGAAAGAGAAAGCTGAGAAGAAGAGGGGAGTGAGAGTCTGGGCCTCAGGCAAACTTGAATTTCGGGGGCGAGTGGGGGGGGGAGAGGGAGAGAGAGAGAGATAGTAATGTTAAGAGGTTTTGCTCTTTTTTGACCTCATTTACTTTTCTTTTGGTTCTCTTTTATTATTCATTCTTTTTTCTATTTTATTAGAGATGACAATACATGTCAAATAGGCCCAAATTGGCAAATTTACCCAGATTTACCTTGGAAATGCCTTACCTCATAAGTCGGATGGTCGCGGAGAGATGAAGATGATGTCGACCCGTGCCGATTTCCCGGAGATGCTGACCAGGGCCCTTACGTGAACTTCCAAGCTTATTACGAAGTACGAAGTAGCAACTAGGTACATTAGTACCCTATGCAGGCCATGTGCAAATCGTACATGGGCTTACATGGCCTTGGATGATCTGGAACATTGCCTGAATGGGGTTAGTATATCTGGTGACTCCACTGGATCCCATTTCCATTTCCTCCGTACTCCGTACTTTGTACAGCCACATAGGGCCAGGCCATCTTTCTCCAGATTCTCCAGACCCCATGCCAAGTGGCATGTCTACGTTAATACTGTGACACATTGACACATTCTTGGCCTTGCCAAGGTCGGACTGAGTCACACATATGCCAAGTTCTCCGCTCCGCGCGTATTTGAAGTCTGTGACCTCATCTGTATAGTTCTTCCGGAGTCTTTCTCTTGGTTGTCCAGTCATCACCGAGATAACCTTGTGGACGATCCACAAGTATTTAAAAATCGGTGAGCGTCTCACCGTTGGATGGTGAGATGGGCATGTGGTCACATGCCAGCCTCACTTCAATCGCATTGTGGTGATTAGCCGGTCCACGGGTATTTGACTTTGATAAGTCACTCTTAAGTACTGCCCACAAAGATGCAAGTAACTTTCAATGCAAAATATCTCTTGGATTGCGATCAATAGATATGGCATACAATCTGGAAAAAAAAAATATCGGTATCGTACAACAGGGGGAAGAAAATACCCCCCAATTTCCCAGAAAACGCCCGGTAAAATGATCCAAATCAAAACAAGTAGGCCCCTTGGAGCACTGCTGGAATGACCAATAATTATACAAGTCTATTGTCCTTGTGGTGCTCAGGGGATGACCTGGATACCAATGGATTTAGCCTGGGACATGACACTCTTGCACAATCCCTCCAGGGACAGGCCTGATAACCGCGTCTCGGTGTGCTTGAGCTTGGCGATCTCATAAACATGCTTGAGGGAGATCTTGCCACAAACGTCGTGACCAGGGTTCATCGCACCACGCAGGCGGTTCTTCCGGGGTTCGACATTGGCCGCGTTGAGCAGGAGGTAGGTGGTGGTCGGAGTGCGGAGTTCAAAGGAGAAGGATCGGTCAGGGCGGACGGTGACACGCGCGGGGATTGGGACACCGGTGTTGATGTGAGCTGTGCGGGCGTTGAATTCCTAGGGAGGTAGTTAATATATATGAACTGTTCATCCACGTCAAGTAAACAAAGACCGACCTTGCAGAAGTCCATGGACTTAACACCTTTACTTCCCAGAGCCGGACCAACAGGCGGACTGGGACTGGCCTGGCCTGCTCCAACAATGAGCTTAACAAATTGATCCTTGGCCAATACGTTTCGTGCCATGATGAGAATATGTCGAGATTGTTTCCAAAAGGCCAAAAGCAGAGAAGATGAATTCGGAAGATTTGCAGATTTTCAGCCGACCACGCTGATTGGCCAAGGCGGGAAGCGAAAGAAGCCCAACGTCATAAGGTACATTTCTCTTCTTGTCTGGAGCTTCTTTGGTTTTGAATCAATTCATCTTACTCATTTTGATCTTGATATTCACGATATCTAGATCTACTTTCTATTCTCATCCCTTGGATCGATTATCTGGTGTATCTTCCTCTCATTTGGAGAGTCCCATTGACATCCGAACTAGAACTCTCCCGGGCCCCGCGCGTCGATCTCTCCTTCACCTCCCTTTTCTCTTTTCTTTCTTCTCCAGTTTTTACTAATTTCAAACTTATCGAAATCATGAACTGGCTAAAGTCGACGTACGTTCCGATCGACTCTTTTCTGTTGTGGTTACACTGACCGATTCCATGCCGACAGTCTCTCCGCCGTGGTGGGCACCGAAGAGCCTATCTATGGCCCAGAGGCTCTCCATTCTGTTGCGAAGCAGACTGAGACAACTCCCTTCTCCGACGTGAACAAGGAGATTCTGCGCTGGCGCGCATACTCTTACACCAATGTCGAAACCCAGACCTTCTACATCATGGCCGACAACGGGACCCTGGTTTTCGTGCAGGTTATTTACAGTAACATTGTGTAAGGAACACTCTCGGAGCTTGAAGCTTCTACTCTGGAAACAAACCCTACAGCAGCTGACTCTATTCTTGATCCCGATTACAGCGGAATCCACACCACCGCTCAGTTCAACGTGAAGGTTTTCGACGTCAGCGGAAAGGGCGACAACAAGTGGTACTCGGACCCGCTCCACAACTTCATGTTCGACGAGAACATGCTCTCCTTCGGCGCCGACAACCTGTCGCTGACCCTCAACGAGGAGGGTGACTCCTACACCATCAAGTCCACCGTCAACAGCGGCGCCCTGGTGGATATCAAGTTCTCCCGGACCGCACCCGGTTTCGTCGTCGGCAAGGACGGAACTTCATACTTCGGAACTGACGCCAAGAACCCATGGGGTTCCATGCGCCACGCTTTCTGGCCCCGCTGTGCTGTCGAGGGTACCATCGCCACCAAGGACCAGACCTACGATCTCGGCGGTCGTGGTGTCTTCATCATGGCCCTCCAGGGCATGAAGCCTCACCACGCTGGTAAGAAGCTCTGTACAGAAACCGACAAGCAGAACCACCCCATGCTAACGAAAACACAGCCGCCCGCTGGAACTTCATTAACTTCCAGACCCCCACCTACTCCGCCGTCATGATGGAGTACACCACTCCCCCCTCCTACGGCTCCACCACGGTCAATGTCGGTGGTATTGTCAAGGACGGCGAGGTCATCTACGCCGGCACAACCAACTCAGTGGCCCACACAGAATCCGGCCAAGACCAGGGCAGTGACTGGCCCGCTCCCAAGTCCATCAAGTGGGAGTGGAGCGGCAAGACAACCGACAACAAGGAGCTCACAGCCGAGGTGAACGGCGCCCTCGGCTCGCGACTGGATCGCATCGACGTCATGGCCGAGGTCCCAGGCTTCATTAAGAGCATTGCTGGCAGCGTTGCCGGTACTCGGCCATACATCTTCCAGGTGTGCACCCTCCCCCTCCCCCTTCTCTCTCTCTCCCCCCTCATTTCTTGCTTTATTACCAAAAGAATCACATCTAACTCTCTTGCACAGTATTCGCCCCAGGAGAAGCTTTCATTGAAGCTGAAGCTCGGCGACGAGGAGATCACCGAGGAGGGAACTATGTTCTCCGAGTCGACCTTCATATCGTAAAGGCCGTCCCCCGCCTAACTCGCGTACATAGGACCTCATTCTCCCCTGCTGGACCTAATTGTTGGCGTTTATTGTGATGATTTTTGTGATGCTACATTTATGTCTAGAGGATCGACTACTTCTTCCCTCAGATAATCCACAGACTGTATACATGATACTTAATGCTATTTTGACTATATCCTGAACATATCTTGGTAGATATCCACCGAGGTGGAGAGTACATACACTCGGGTTCATTGAGACTCGTAATATAGTGATACATGTAGGACGCGATGAGGTAGAAGTTACAAGTGATTATACAAGAAAGATCGGACGTTTCCAATGCAGATTCTCAAAAGAAGAGAAAAATGTACAAAGAAAGATGCAAAGCTGGATATATAGGACACTGTACAATTGAACTGGGAACAAGAAATAAACAATAGAACAAGAACACAAACCTTCTAGGAACTCCAAGAAGAAAAAAGTAAACAAAACAAGTACAGATCAGGTATCGACCATCAACTGCTCTCCTTCATCAAGAAGAGTCGTAACGCGCGAGAGATCAGAAATCATCTTACGGCCATGGCCGACCAGCAAGAGCTTCTCGGCATTGGCAGGGAGACCCAGGTATGTAGGGGGCTCACGCTCCGGCAGGTTGTTAACCCAGGCGACGAAGTCGCGCATGCTAGTTGTCTCTGGCAGTGTCAAAAGGTTGTCGTTCTCTACACCCGAGACGAGCTTGTAGCCGTCTTCGAAGGCGGCTGGTGTCAGGAAGCTATTGACCAGGTTCTCGAGCTGCTGGTAGTCTCCCGCGTCGTCGATTTTACCACCGTACATCTCTGCGACAAGAGTGCGGATCATCTCCCATGGAATCTTCTGCGGAGCAACGTTGGAACGACCTTGGGATACTGAATCGACCCAGTGGTCGATGATGAAGGCTGAGCATTCATACTGTGGGAAACATGTTAGCATACTATCAAGAATAAATGGATATATGTAGGGTACTTACGTCGCTGTCGTTGAACTCCCAGAAGCCCTTCCATCCAAGGCTTGGTGCATAGCGGAGTCTTTCTTGGACGACGGCGTGCAGGAAGCAGAGCAAGAGGTAGACACGGGCCTTTTCGACAGGAGCCTTGCTGGCTCTCACATTCAGCGAAGAGAGGGAATCCTTCATATTTGCACGCACACCCGCGGGCTGTTCGTACATCAGCACACGCGAGGCCCGGATCAAATTGACAGGGATCTTAGGGCTGGACTCCATAGACAAGAAGAGGCGGAATTCCTTGTGTGGCTTGAGGGAATCCAGTCTCTTTTCGAGACTCTGCAACCAAGCAGGCGCCAGGTGGACGTTCTTGACCAACACCCAGTTACCGACTGCAGCTGCGTTGCTGATGGCCTTGTCAGCGCTTTCGAGACCTTCGTTGGAGCCCATGGCGATGTTGGCGCAGGTTGCGCGTGTAGCTTCGACAAGAGCGTCGACCTTGTAACTGGCATCGAAGCCAGGGCTGGAGCTGAGCGCGATGGGCCTGGTTGCAGTGACTTGGTCAACTACATCCTTTAGGTCGGCACCACCCTCGAAGAGCTCGCGGCCGAACACCGCCTCGATGAAACGCTCGGCGGTGGGCACAAATCGGTCCATGCGGCAAATCTTGACAAGGAGCAACGACCGAAGGAGCTGGTCGAGTTGCGACACACTCTCATCCCACATGACCGGAACGACGTTCTCTGCAAGCTCCTCGCCGAAGAAGCGATCCCACTGTTCTTGGGTGACATTCGGAAGATGCTCTTTGAAGAGGGACATGTTGGCCAACTTTGTCAGCACTTGGTCGCGGGCGTCCACGGCAGTTGAAAGATCAGTGTCCTCCACTGTCTCATCCAGGACACGGTCAAGAATGGTCCTGTCCATGGGGAATGGAGTAGCTTGAGCAAGCAGGATGGCAAGGGTGATGCGATCCTTTTGAACGAGACCCAGCGAGGTTCGCTTGTAGGTGTTGATAAACAAGTCCCTAACAATAATCTGGACACGAGCAGAATGATCCTTCTCCTGAGCAAGGCGTTTGTTCTGGTAGAGAACAGAGTTGAAAATATCGACAAAGTACTGCAAAGAGAACTGGTAGAAGTGGTTAATGTGGTGAAGTTGTTCCAGAACCGCGAAGACGGCGCTGCATGAACGGGCAATGATGCTGTAGTTCTGCGTAACGTTATCCACCTCGAGCATAACGCCTTCGGTCTGGTCCATCTTCAGAGAAATATCGGCAGCCTCCTTCTTGAGAGTCTCAAGAGTTTCAATGACATTGTCATCATCGAGAATATTACCACGAGACTCGTTGAGAGCTTGCAAAAGACGCTTCTCGAGTTGTCGAAGGTGGACCTTGAACTCTCCTTGCATCTTGACGAGATTGTTGCGACGCTCATCGACATCGGGCCGCTCGAATTTCAGGACATCATTCAAGGACTGTGTTTGCAAGCTGCTCTGGGTGACAGTAAAGTTGACGAAGGTGGTACGACTGCAAATATCCGGCGGGAACGAGGCAGATGGATCGCGGGTCGATAGGAAGAGCTTGAAGGATGGCGAGAAATCAATTTCTTGCTTGCCCAATTGAATGAGGACACGGCCACCAGTCCTCTGGTATTCCTTGTTGAGAACGTGGTTGAGAATAGGGTCCAAGTGCTCGGCATCCTGGATAAGGATGGGGTTTCCGAAACGCAACGCGCTCTCCAATTGCTTGACAAAGGAATCGTCCAAAAAGCTCGTGACAGTAAGCTTGCGATCTTTGCTTTCCTTCTGTAGGAATTCTGTAATACGGCCAGATGGATCAACAATAAGTGGGTATCTGTTGAATCTCTTGAGGATGATGGCGTTCTCAGTGCAAAGGTCGTCAACGGGAAGAGAATGACTCTGCCAGGTCAGACGCTCATCGGCATTGGACAAGTATTCCGTGATGGGGTTGTGAGGCTTGAAGTGAATGCCAGAGGCCCCCAGTTGGTGGACCCAGTCCTCAGCCATCGCCTTACGGAATTGCTGATCGTACAGACCAGCATATGCAAGGAATGCAGCTGCAATGAGGACATCGCCAACGAGGGTGCTGATCTGAGTTTCGAATGACTTGCTTCCATCTTCCCAGCGCTCACGCTCAGAGGACAAACTATCAAGCAAACGAACACTGCGGTCGACCTTGAACTGAACTCGGTTCATCTCGGTCTTGATCGCCTGCGTCTCACTGATAAGGGCCGCGTACTCGGCTTTGTAGGTAGCAATGCTGCTTTCGAGGTCGTTGATGGTATTTTCAATGGCCTGAGCTTCGGCCTTGGTTTGTAGGGCCCGCTCCTCGAGTTGGTCCACCTCGTCACGTAGAGGACCAACACGATCAAGAATTGCAGAGTAGTTGACCTGGGCTTCGACCCATTGCACAAGAGGACCACAGGCCTTACTAGCGCGGTTGACTCGCTCATATGTGAAATCTTCCTTCGAGAGGAACTCATTCTGCATCTTGGTACGGTGCCTGCGCGTCATCTGGCGCTCATTGTCATAGTTGACAATGCTGGCAATGAAATCATCCCGACGAATGAGGCCTTGGATTGTCTTCCAACTGTCGACGGTGTGACCGAGGAGTGTGCACACGGCTTCCAGGGCAAGTCGGACGCTGGCCGGAGGGTTACCCATGGACCGAACTTCCGTGAGGTGTTGACGCTTAATGTTGCTGACACTCTTCTGGGCTTCTAGGACAGCGGGTTCAGCCCGAGCCAGATCGTTCAGGACAACTTCTTTCCGAGTTGCCACTTCCTTCTCTTGTATCTCCAACGCGGCCTGCACTTCCAATGAAACGTGCTTCCGCTGTTCTGCCTCCTGCTGATCAGCAACCATACGCTGCAATTTCTCGTTCGCTTCCGTATCCTTCTTCTCCAATTGTGTCTTCTTTTGTGCGAGACTAGCCCGAAGGTCGCTCACTTTGTCGACGGTGTCGTGAAGTTTTTCGAGACCAATGTTCAAGTGACGCTGTTGTTCCTCGAGATCCTCGCGCTTCTCGTTGAACAGCTTAACGTACTGCGCAACAAAGTCGAGATAATGGCGAGGGGTGAGGAAAGTTGCCCGGCCCTGTTGCTTCTGAAGCCGCGAATTGAAGCGATGCAAAGAGTGGTGGATATACACCATGGAGTTGACAACAGTATCTCTGTGTGATGCTGGGAGAGCCAACTCGCGGTAGGCCACTGGGATGCTATCAGGCGAGATAAAGTTTGGCTTGTCCAGATCGACCGATTGAGTGAGCTCGGAGCCAACCTGGAACAGGGCTTGGTCAGACCAGTCACCCATCCAGTTCAGAACACAACGATTGAACAAGGCTGGACTAGTAGCTGCCTTTGAAGATAGGCCCTCCTCTGGCGGGTTCATGGTAAACACAACGTGAAGGTTCTTCACAATTTGCGAGGTGAACCACTTGTATAGCTCCTCCTGCGAATCGAGGAGCAAGCCTTGGCGTTGGGCACCCTCTTTACAAGCAGTCATCAACGAGGAGAATTCATCACCCTCGAACAGACCAGGGACTTCTGCGTTTGCAAGCAAAGTGTTCATGCGTTCCAGGAATCCAGAATCAAGGACGTTTGATTCGTCCATAATGAAACAAATCTTTTCACCCTTGCATCCTGCCCGGCGAAGAACACTGCGAAGATCATCATCGAAATCTTCAGAAGAGTACTTCCCGTGTACCTTGATCTGGAAGACCTTCAGACCATTCATCCAAGCGACGAAGCGAGATAGGGTTGTCTTTCCACTGCCGCTCACACCGATAAGGATTAGATGACCTTGAGGCTGGCGGAAGACTCGATCGATGCGTAGCGCGTGTTCAAGGACATCGTTGAACAACACAAGCGGAACATCCACCTCTTCTTCGCAGAAGGTTCTTAGACGTGCCTTCACGAATTCACGTAGACTCTCCTGTTCGACAGGCACATAGTTCTTAGATAGCCAGTTGGAGAACAGGATCGGGCCCTTCAGTGCTTCTTGGTCATCGATTGTAGGGAAATGCTCCAAGGCAATGCGGCGAACAGCATCTGCCGTCCAAGCTCTCTCGTCTTCATCCACGAGTCTGTCCTGGAATAGACGCAGGGCTTCGTGCGCCCAAATGCGGACCAGGCCTTCAACAGAAAGAGTTTCCAGTGGCTTGATGGCCTCGTACAGACCACGAACCCATCTGGTGAGCTCACGGGGGGAGTACACATAGTGGGGCTGGATTTGGGGCGTGAAGCGGGTCTGGGATTCGAGGTAGAACTGAACCATAGCCCTAGTGAGGGCCTCCGAGTATCCACGCAGCAACGGAAGGATCTTAAGCACAGCAGAGTTGAATGTGCCATAAATCTGGTTGAGAGAGATTTCGCCGGGGTAGTCGACCATGATCAGGGGCGCATGACGCAGGAATCTCTCGGCCATCGGCGTACGACCAGCATCCGTAGGAGGGTTACAGGCACCAACAAATTGAATGCGATCCAGAGTAACCCAAGTCTTGTCCGTAGTCCTCCAGAAGCCATTCTGCTCCACAAGTTGACGCAGGAAGGAGATGGCGCGCTGGGTGCCGTAGCGATCAGGGGCCGGAAGATTGATCTCGTCACAGAAAATGACAAGCCAGCGGCCGATCTGGTTCGGAGACATCACCACACCATTAAGAGTCTTCTTGTACTCACAGTACTGCTCAAAGGTCTTGACCAAGAGGTCAGGTGTGGTGGCACTCGAGAAGTTGAGACCAACAACCTCCATGTTCGGAAGCTTTCGGAGCGCGGCGAACAATGTCATGGTCTTACCAGATCCAGGAGGACCACAGAGCAACAAGGGTTTATGCTCAGCAAGCCACGAGTACAGCACATCCTCGTGACGGACAGTATCGACCGTGGGGATAATGACGTCGGTTTGAGTGACGGAATGTGTGTTGATATCAATCGTGGGCACCTGTGAATGCCAGCTGGTCCAGTCAGACTTGGGAAGAATAACATCGTAGTCAATGAGAGATGAATCGCCGTCCGGTGGAAGATCGATCGTAGACATTCCAGTGATGAATTTTCCGAACGTCTTGCGGTCACTCAGTGGACAATCACCGGTAAGAGACCAGACCAGTGTTAGAAGAAGCTTCTTGGACATATAGGACTCGATCTGTTCAGGGTCCAGAGGGAAGTCTGGATGCTGGGCATTGTATTCGAGAACATTTCGGCAGGCCTTGTTCAACAAGCTGAAGAGAGTGTTGAGAGCGCGAATATCCGTGAACTCCATGATATGGTTGTATTTCTTTGCTTCCTCCAAAGCCTTAAGAACCAGGTCATCAACCTCCAGGAACTGTTTGAGAATTGTTGCAACTGTGTCCTGGGCATCCTGTGTCCGGATTGCTGCTGTTCCTGCAGGTGCGCTGTCTTCGTCCAGGTCTTCGAATGTCTTTGTCCTGAGGCTTTCGACGTAATTGGAGATCATCATGGTTGGAGTAACAGTGTCGGCATTGAACCACACCATACCGCAACGACTGACTGTAGCAAGCGTGGCATACTTCAAGCTTTCAACTTCGAACATGATACGAACATTGGAAGGTAAGTTGAGGCGTTCTCCGTTGGGAAGAGTGAGGAGTTTGTTGTCATCTAGAACACTGTTCAGATTCTCAACCCACTCAGGATCAACATCTCCGTCGAAAACAATCCAATGACGTTTGCTGTCCTCGCCTCGGAGGTTGTCCACGATCTTTCTTAGAATTCCAGTGAAGAGACCGTCCGTCCATTCACGGGTAGTGCTGTCAAGGTTACCATAGAGAGACTCCTTAGACATGACCTTGGAGTCGATGATGTGAGAGACGCCCTCAACGCCTTCAATTCGCTGCATCGCTTGCAGTAGAATCTTCCAGGCAGCCGATTTACCGGCCCCTGACTTTCCAACCATCATGACACCATGGTGGATGCATTGAATTTGGTAGAGTTGCAGTGCCTTAGTGATCCACATCTCGCTGTCGACAAGATGTTGCTCTTTGGTAGCAATATCACGAATCGCCTGGGTGAGTTTCTCGAAGTTGGCAGGCACATAATCCACGCCAGCGAAGTCTTCCATCTGAATATCCAACATGATTTCCACATCTTCTCGGATAAGCTTAGGAGCGATTGTCTCCCGGAGACTTTGAACAATAATTTGAGGCTCAATGACATCTTCGGGGCCTAGCTCTCCGTCGGCATTGGCAAGACGAGCGCGCTTAAGACCACCTGAGCTAACAAGCACACTCTTCAATGCACGGAGACCGAAGTCGTAATGGGCCTGCTTGGAGAGTCGGGAAGCACAGTGGTCGAAGAAAGGAACAGTCTGCTTGGAGAGAGGCTTGGCCTGCTTGAAACCTTGGGAGAAAAGCATCACTTCCGCAATGAGTTCCTTGTCCGGTTTGGACATGGCAACACTGCGGAACAGCTTCTTCAAGTTGTCTGGCAAGTTAGAACGACCAGCGTAACCAGGGTTCATGGTAATGAAAATTCCGGTGTTGGAGTTCACAGCGAGTCGTCTTCCGACGAGTTCGATTTGGGACTTGTCGCCATCTCCGCCAGTTTTCAGACCAATCTGGATATTCTGAATTTGCTGAGAGACGGCCGACAGAATACGTTCCTCCAGACGGTTGAACTCGTCAAAGCAACCCCAAGCACCAACCTGACAGATACCAAGGAAAATCCGACCCATTGCTTGGAAATCGAATGTGTCATCACAACAGAAGACAAGGGTGAAACGACCGAGTTGCAGGCCCAATGCCTTGACTGACTCGGTTTTTCCGGTACCAGCAGGACCATAGGGTGAACCACCCAGTCGCTGACAAAGAGCCTGAGTAAGGGTGAGGAAACAACGATCTGTGAGAGGCGTGCGGACAAGACGCTCAGGCACGCCCAGATACTCAAATCCGTAGGCGAGCTTAGCGTTGGCCATGTGGACATACAGGCGCTCCAAGAAATCGCCCGAATCGTTGAAGACATAACGCATCTGGAGGAGCCAATGGTAGTGCGTGGGTGTCGTGGCATTAAGACTTATGAGCTTGGAGATACAATCGCGCTGGTGAACGAATTCCGTGATCATATGCTCACACTTCTTGCGAGTGATGGGATCGAGTTCACCAAGCACCGTGGCAGCCAGCAACTCGAGGATCCGAACTTCAGAACCGTGCAACGCGGGGAGAGTTGCACCTCCTTCCTCCAAGGAATGTTGCACTGCGTTGGTCCAAGTAACCTGACTGGCGAGGACCACAATCTGAGCAGGGTAGTTAGACAGGAAGTCATTGAAAGCCGTTCGGTCCACATCGCTGGAATGGTAAAGAACTTCAAATTGTTCAACGGCCTCGCCGAGAAGCTCTGCCAGAGTCAACTTCATGCTGGTCTCTAGCGCGGAGAGCCAGTCATTGATCCGAGGAGTCTTGAGGAGATTGACTTCTTTCTTCAAACGGACTTCTTCGCCCTCCTTAGAGGTGAATGCAACAATATTGTTATCGTCATCCATGACAAGACCTGACATTCCAGCAAACATCTTCTTGAAATGCTTGGCGACGCGGAAGATGTCATTGCTGTTACCAATAATCTCCAACAGATCCTCATCTCCAACAAAGTAGAAGCGAGGGAATGAGACACGTTCACGCTCCAAATATTCACCGAGCGCCTTTTGGATTTTGTTGAGCAAATCAGCCAGTCTCTCCAAGGACTTTTGCACATCAACAATTGCGAGAATATCCAAAACGAATGGAGACTTGTACACCTTCTTCATGACAGTAAAGAATTCAGAGTTAATATTCTGGAAACGTCCCGATTCCAAAGGAAGAAGATGCTTGATGTCAGCATTGCCAGTAAAGACGCCTTCCAGGTAGACCCATTGTCGCTGAACATCGATCCAGACGTCGAAAAGAACATGGACTCGGTTCAATTTATCTTCCCAAGATGTGGCTTCTTCTTCGAATTCTTTGTAGTACGGAGAATGTCTCATGGCCTGGAGGGAGTTCAGATTCTCGCTGCACTTGGCGAACAGATCGTCAAAGCCTTTGATAAGGCGGCATTTGTTCTGGTAGTGCACCAGGTCCAGGGAATAGTTTTGCCAAGTCTCGCGAACCGACTTGAGGAATTCCTCCAATGCCATCTCACCCTGTGCCTGTGCGATGATAGCACGAATGATGGAATCGCTTGATGCGAGTTGCAGATCCCAGACATCACCAAGAGTCAAAGAGACAAGAGAGAAACGCTTGTCAGGTTTAAGACTCTTGTAAATCTTGTGCCAGTGTCTTTCTTTGACGGCCTCAGATTTCATGTCAGACAAAAGGGAATTGACCTTCAGCAGCTGCCGAAGGACATTCTGAATATGTTCAAAGGCAGCATATTGTCTCATGCGACTGGGCATCTCCTTGGTCATTTTGATCAAATTGTCGAGAGATTGTCGGAGCTTCCTGGGCTGCACGCTGGTCCACAGCCCATCGCGAAGGTCATTGAGACTATTCCAGATAGTCGCTAGAGCAGCCCAAACGGACATAAAGTCCTGGACCTCCTCAAGGATGGGGGAAGTGAGGACTCGGAACTTGGGGGAAGATCCAGAGCTTCCTTGGCCTTGGACACCATCTCAAACTCAGACTGGAGAGACTCGAGGCGAGACTGGAAAGAGCTCAAGGTACGAGATGCTTCCTCTGGTGGAATAGTGCCAGAAACTGGCTTCTCGTCATTCCATTGACCGATAACTTCAGCAATCTTGCCGGCAATGACGTGGTCTTCCGCACTAATCTTTGCACGCAGGCCTTCGGTTTGCTCGTTGACAATTTTGCTCTTGCGGCTAAGCAGCTCGTTGAGGGCTGCCCATTCGCCGTCAACATTCTCAACGTGAAGCCAGTCATAAGGGAACTGGTAACGTTGGCGGGCGAGCGTGGTTTGACCTTGGCGGAATAGATCAACCTCAGGCTCCCAGACTCGAGTCTTCCGCTTGCACTGCTGAACAATGGTAATGAAAGACACGGCATGCGCCGTTGAAGAGGCCTCCAGGGTTTGGCCTTCCAAGTCCCTGCGGGCAGCAGCAATCTCGGAATGAACCTCTCTCATACGGCCGCCAAGCTTGGAACCGAACTTCACGAGGATCTCATGCTGCCACTGGTCGTATTTGGCGTTCACCTTAGTTTGGACTTGCTCGTAGTCAATCCTGATGTTTCCGAAGCCGCGACTGACTTCAGAAGTATCGAATGTAGCCCGGCTCTTTCTGATTTCCTGAAGAAGCTGAAGCCATTGAGACAGATCATCTCCCAGGATCTCGTAGACCTGTTCAGACCGAAGGTCCCAAAGTGATTGGAACTGCAGCCACTTATCAACATACTCAGAAACATCCTTCACTCTCGACTCGACAACATTGTAGACCTCGTTGAGCTCATCAGTGCAATTTTGCGGGAGGTTGGAGAAGCAGACTTCGGACAGGCGAACATTTTGCACAACGATGGAGATCTGGTAACGCGAGGGTTTGATCTTTTCTAGATTGCAAATCACACCGAGCCATGCATCAAAGTGGGAGAACCAGCTTGCGCGTGCGAATTGCAACGGCGGGTCGAGGTGAAGGACTTGGTTTTTCATCAGGATCTCATGGAAGAGTTCAGGGAATTGAATCTTGTAGTTCAAAGCATCCATTTCACCCGCTGCAAATTGATGATGAGAAGTAGTCGAGTTTTCATTGTTGGTGCCTTGGAAGGTGATGATCCACTCGCGCACAGCGCGAAGAAGTCGATCACGCAGAATTGCCTCGATGCTTCCATTAAGCTCAGCAACCCAGTATCCAAGGTTCACGTAGTTTTCGAGGTTAAGCTTGTCGACGGCAACTTGGATGCTGTCCAAACGTTGCTTGAAAGCTGATGCGTCGTATGGGCATGTCTTGAGTTCATGGATCGATTTCTGAATGTTCTCGTTGATGGTGTCAAGCACAGTGGTTTTTGTCTGAAGTGTGGATGCTGAAACGGCAAACTCGCGGACAAATTGAACATGCTTGCTTTCAGAACGACCAGGCAAAGATGCCTCAATAGCACCATTTGCCAATGCTGACTGCTTGACGTGTAGCTCGTAAGAATGGACAAAGGACTCCCAACGGAGAGGGATACCCTTAGCAACCATAATCTGTGCATCGTTCATGTAGCCATTGAGCAGCATATTAACATCGGTCATCGACGCGATCGCACGATTCGTCTGCAATAGAGTGCGGACACTCTCCATCAGACTAATGGCGTAGGGGTAAACACGCTTCGCCTCCTTCGAAATATTACTGACAGCATGAGGAACCTGGAAGTTGAGCCAGATAAGATTGCGGACCTCCTTGAAGAGGGCAATGATCTGAGCATCGAAGTTGACTGCCAGCTCCAAAACGTTTCCTGCGGATCGGTTGCGCACGACATTAAACAGCCGTCCAGCGATTGTAAAATGGCGTCGTTGAACATCCCACAGCCATGACTCGAAGACCGGCCGGGTGTCGAGCTTCTTGCGGAACAAGTTACCCTCATTCTGCAACTTCTGGCCCTCGGCGTGTAGGTGCCAGTTCTCACCGAGGACGTTTTCGACCTTGCGCATGTAGCCATTAAGCTGATGCTCAATCTGGCGAGTCCAGATAATGGCGCCGGACACGGGCGGCAGGTCCCGTAGTTGGGCCATAGCATGTGCTTCCGAATTACCGTACTGTTGCTTGAAGCGCTCATGCAAAGCACTGATATCTCGCTTGACATTGTCGATAAGTTGCGTTTGATACTCGCCAATCGCACCACGGATCTTAGGACGAACGAGAAGGGCGTTAAACTTCGAGAAGACACGGAACATCTCATTGGCATTCCTAGCGGTGGCCAGACGGTCACGTAGACGAGCAATGATAGAATTCTCAACACGGGAAGTACGCTCACTGTAGGCAATTTCGGCCTGTTCCCAGGTGAGAGATCCCTCCGGTGAAACATCCAACACGTCCACGTTCTTGAGAGCAGCGTAGGCGTGCGCAACTTCCTCCACGGCATCGACATCACCAATCTCCTCGACTATCACGGCGCCGTCAGCATCAACTCCGGCCCCATTCTCAGCAGAGGAAGAGCTGTTGGGTCCGAGGACGTTGATAATGGTTTTCTGGAGTTGTTCATGGTTGATCCTGAAGGTGTCGACGTACTTCACCCGCTCGCGGGTTTTGTCGTGTCTCGCATTGATTTTGATCGGAATGAATTTTTCGTTACGACGCCGTGTTGATTCACGCGCAACATTTGTGAATTCCTTCAAGTTCTCGTCCCAAGTACGCCAGATCGCTTGTGTGGTCTTCATCAAAGACCGGAACTCACGGTAATCCAGATGCAAGATCGTACGTCCAGTGATAAGCTCATGGATCTTCTTATCAAGATCCCCGGAGATAGCTTCGACAAGTGAAAGTGCCCGCTTAATGGGGTAGGGGCAAATCTTCAACTTCTTATTCAGGTGAGTGAAAATCAAGTTCAGTGATTCCTGGACCTTTTGCAAGGAAGTCGCAGACAGGAGTTCATCGAGAGGGAAGTCTCGCATCAATTGGTTATACTTCTGAACCAATTCGGTAGCCTCTTTCAGCCCAGTATCCGCTACGAAACTGAGGGTCGGCTGGTACCGTTTCGCATGGCGGAGAATGTCCATAGTCAACCGAACGCCCTCGCTTTGGAGTTGGGCATCGATTCCCTCCAGGGCAGCCTCTAGGGACAGCCAGAAGTTGACCTCAGGAGAAGCAGATTCGCTGTCCGGGTCGCGGGACATCTTAGTGATCGTCTGGATGGATCTAATCCAACCGTTCACGACATTCTGAATGCTGTTTGTGAAAGCGCTGCTCTCCAGTACCGTCGATGGAATCAACTCGACCGATGGTTTGATACCACGTGCTTCCGCATCCTTCAGAGCAGCCTGTACCACTTCATGAAGAGGCAGGTTCAGAGCTGGAATCTCCACATTCTGCTGGAGGTGCATCAACCCCAGCTCCAAGTCTGCGAATCTCTTCTTTGTTCCTGGGATACCAGTCTTCGCTTCCGTATCCGTTTTCGATTTCGTGCCGACAGCCGTCTCCTGGCTGCGAGTGTAGGATTCGAAGTAAGGACTGAGACCATGGTGTATCATCAGATGTAGGATCTGGTACGGCGACATGGAATTCCCCTGCTGGGCGGTGGTATTGCTGAGAGAAGCGGGACCAGGAAGGTTCATGACTTGGACCTGCGACGCTATCGGAAGACTCATGTCGATTGGAACAGGCCGTTTGATGATGGCCACCGAGGATACTGTTGTAGGAGCGGACGAGATATCGGTGGAGAGGTTATAGACATATTGCACAGCTGTTTCTTCGCCGGCGTAATTAGCATCATATCCTCCAACGCCTAAACACTTCGCTTTGACGTACCTTGGTCCTCCGTTTCGCCGTTGGTTTCCTCCACTGTCACAATGTCCTTTTGCACATACAGTGCGACTTGCGATTCCGAGGCAAATCGCGTACACCGTTGCAGTGTTTCATTGTATCTTGATTCCGAAAGCAAGCTCCCAGCGCTTTCCAGCTCGGACCTCTGGGCTCCCAGTGTCACCTGGAGCACTTCGGTCAAGTACTGAATGACCGCACCGGAATCAACCAGAGCTGCGGTCTCTGGTGTTGAGGCGCCATTTGGCACGCCTGATGAGGCGACCTCCATTATGCCGAGATTATTATGACGAATTCGAAGTGTTCATCGGTGGTAAGGAATAATAGGAGCGTGGATTGTTTGAAATGTTGAGATCGCGTCGAGCGGGAGTTGGGCGGGAAAACAGAGCAAAAGGTTAATGACAAAGGCTGGAAAGAAAGATAAAATCTAATAGATTAAAAATGATTGCAAAGATAAATTCCAAGCCTATGCCGTCCTGAGTCGTATGTCTGTTGAAGATCAAAAAGATACGCGGCGTTGTTTGCTTTACTTCAGGGGATGCACACTATTCCCCATTAGGTTAGGCGTGACACGACCCCCATGCAACACCGCAAATCCATGGCTCTCGTCCCTGACCCGTTCCTTTCGAAGTATAAGCTTCACCTTATTTATATTGACGGGTATATTCCCTTCCTGGATTCCTATATACATGGAGGTACTATGGTATCAATGTCGTATTTGCAAATGGCACTAAAATAAAACAAAACAACAAATTTCCCAGCTGCCCTCCACAATATCTCTCCCTTTCAAACTGCGGTTCCGATATTTGCGCGGTCCACGATGACCTGTCCACCTTGACAAGTACAATGATATTTCTCCCGAAACTCAGAAAGTGACATTCCATCAATAACAGTCAATGCCTGGGTACTAGCCCTCACTTTAGCATACCGACTAGAAGATGCAACTGCGCTGGCAATGGATTGGCCGTGCACCATAACCGCAGCAAAGACCCTGGGAGTTTCTCCCTCCACGGCAGGAACCTCTGCAGATTTCAAGCAGTAATCAACACATTGGTAGCTGTGAGTCATTTGGCTATGAAGGAATGTCTATGATCTATTAGTACGAAGGGTATAATCTCAGGGGCAGGAGATGACCTTACCGTTGGATGCCGGTTTGCAAATGTGTCGTAAATTGACATGTCGTGGAAGAACGGCAGGATATGCCTCTTGAAGAAGGCCTCAATCACTGCGAAGTCGAAGCCAGAATCAACAAATATGGCACCGAGATAGGCCTCAAGCATGTCGGGAAGACACTGCGATTCGGTGAGTATTTGGATTATGCCCGTGTTAAATAGAGAACATACCTTTGGAGGATCTGACGTCGAAAGCCAATAGTCTACCTCTCCATTGCTTTCACTCTCTGCGAGCTGAAGTTCCTCCGCGTATTTGCTGTTTTGGATCAAGAGAGGATTGCTGAAATGCTGAAGATGAAGATGAAGCCCTAGTTTTACAGCCAAAGCACCGAGGAATTTGTTGGATACCAAAGCCATCTATTGGTTAATGTTAGCCAGGAACTGTGTAGATTGGCTTTACTAAATAAAATACAGACCTTGTGTTCAGTCAACCACTGCGGATCTCGGTCAAGGAACCGATGAAACAAGTGCTCCACGCACACCATATCCAATAGTGCATCACCCAAGAACTCAAGCCGCTGGTAGCAAGGCACCTTGGCCCATGCCAATGGATAAGATGGATGCGTGAACGCCGACCGCAGAAGACGGGGGTGCTTGAACTCGTAGCCTACTTTCTCGAAGATCTGCTGGGCCAAGTTCTTTTCGAATCCATCGGCCGCCCTATTCTGGTACGAAGGAATGGAATATGCGGAGATGTAGTCTTTCCATGAGGTTGCCGTGTGGTTCTGACTGTTGACGAAGACGGTCACAGCTTTGATGGCCAGGTCATAACGATTATCATCACCTCCCGAGAGCAACGATGCTCCTATCAAGGCCTCACAGACATCTGCTATTGTTTTCTCTGCTAAGGAGTGCTTTCCTTCACTAGCAAAGAATTTGGCGTGGTCTCGACCATACTCGAGCGAAAGGCCTGGGGGATACCACATATGCCTGTGGTTGGGTGTCAGTTAAACACTCACTTGTTAGGACTAAACATAAAGAACATACCGAGAGAACCCACGACTACGTATGTACTCATATAGCTTCAGTTCAGTTGCGGTTTTGAACAGGTTTTTGTTGCAGATGAGACACATTCTGTTGACGTGATAGTCGTATTCATCATCGTCGGGATTTTGAACAAAGAGCGAAATGGATGTTGCCATCTTGAGCACAGAGTCACCTAATAGTTCAAGGCGCTCGTAATTTTTCCCCATTCCTCGCTGAACGTGAATCTGTAGGCTCCGATGCTCTTCGGTGTTGTCCGAATCCTTGGTGAAGGCCTCCAGGGCATATTCGAGCTTAATATCACCAAGGCCTAACATTTTGCATCCCTCCTGGGCGATCAGGTAGGACTCCATTCGAGTGATAATTGCTGGGAAGACAAAACACGTCGCGGCCACAGGCATGGAAATCTGAATTACATATTAGCATCTTCGGTGAGCTGAAACGTATACTAGTACAAGACTAACCGCCGATATAACCAACGGTTGGGGGCAAATGACGCATCTCGAGTTGGATGCTTTCTCTTCCTCGGCTGCTTTGTCAAGGAAGTTCCGCCGAAGGCAGATCAACTCTGCCTGTACGACCGGTTGAGTCCAGATACATCGGTTAAAGAATTTTGGGCGTGAATTTTTGCTCAAACTCAAGGACCAATTCATGATATCGTCGCACCATTTTCGAGATGGTGCGTAGGATGGGGGTGGGTCTGAAGGACGTAGATTGGGGTCTATAGCAAGCGGGAAGTATCGATACTTTCCATTCCAGTCGTCGTAGATGAATCGAGTAAGCAACGATTCCGGCTCCATGTCAGTAGACCACATAAGCTTGGGGTTATCTTGGACATATTGCAAAGCTGCCCAGTCAATTATGTCAAAGAGATTTGTTGACGTTCCAATGTCGACATCTTCTCGAGCAGGCGCAAGCCAGTACGGAAACTGTTCCGAGACAGGCTTGTAGGTCTTGTGAAACACGTCGTGAAAAACAGCAAGTGTAAATGTGCTCACAATTTCGAGCTCTTCGGAAGCAATCTCAAGGCACCCGTCGATGCACAGAGACTGGACCGTAGTCTCGATATCATCATCCAAGAAGACCGGAAAAGTCGGTATTGCTGTGATCCGCTCTCGTGTCAGTAACACGATGCTTCCGTGAGCTCTAGCCAGAGGCTCTGATGGAATGAGGCGAATAACTATCGCGTAGAGCCGTGTTGGAGTGATTCCCTGCTGCCTAGCCCAGATTGAGGGTTTACTACGCATTCTGTACTGGTCAGTCCTTTTTGAAGTAATGGCCAATTTGGCATTGCGCATCGCTGGCAGGCGCTTGTGGTAGACAGAATTGAAGTGCTCATCCAACAAATTCTTTTTGCGAAGCAGCATACATGCATCAAAAGCAGCGGACTGCTTAGCGAGTGATTTTCTTGATTCGGGACATCCAAGCACTCTTCGCACAGGCGATTTCTCTGGCATAATTATCTCACAGCTGAATGATTCGTTTTCTGACATGACAATGTATGTGACTGAGGCCGAGATCTCATTTTCATATTGCTGAGATTTTGTCACCGTTAGCTTTAATGATGCAAATCAGCAGAAACAAACTGGCTCCTACCAATGAGCTGGCAAAGCGAGCCAGTACACCAATCGCATGGCGATAGGTCAACATGGCACCTGTGCTGGTGATGGTGTATGTTCTCTTCCGGTCTTCCTCGTGGATAAGCACTCCCATATCGTGACCGTCTCCGTACAATTTTCGATCATCCGGCAACATGTTGCAGAAATTCTTCATGAGATGCTGTTCATGTCAATAAGCTCAGTGCTATATCACCTGGGAAGGACACTTACCTCTGCTCTTCGAACGTCCTGTAGTCTCATGCTGTGGTTGCGATTACCACTTTCAACCATGGTTGCGTACTGCAAAGTAGTGAGTAAATAAATTGCATCTCATAAAAGTGAAGGAAATCTAACCACTGAGTCGGCGCGTCTGGCACGGCCTCGACTTTGGACATATTGAATAACCGTGTCATACAGATCGAATCTTTGTTGGTCAGTAGAAGCAACAGCAGTGGTTAGAATGGTCGGTGACCTACCTAACCACCAGGTTACAGTCTGGGATGTCAAGGCCTTCTTCTGCGACCGAGGTTGCAAACTGAGAATGATTAGTTTTTCTCTACAAGCTTTTCAATTTTTTTTGGTTTGTGTAAAGCTCACCAAGCAGTTGACTTCACTTTTTCGGAACTTAACCAAAACAAGAAACTGCCGATGAAATGTGGAATTCATTCCTATGACATCTCCTTTGCGAACACCGACCAAAATATCAGGACGGAGATTTGGAATTTCCAGCTTTTCGCATAGCTGTAACAATACTTTAGCTGTATTGCGCCGTTGTGTGAACACAATGCATTTGGTATTTGGCGACTTAGCAAACTGTTCTTGCAGCTTTCTCATCAAAAGCTCGACTTTGGAGCTGAGATCACTCGGCGTAAATGCCTGGTCTGCAATGTATTCCTTGACGAGCTGGTTGGCTTCTTGGATCCGCTTGATCTCCTCTGAGGCCTTTTCAGAATCATGGGTATCAGAATCGGTGGCTTTGCCGATACTACCCTCCAGCTTGGGCAACACTTCGTCTGCCAGGGCCAGAGTCCATACCTGGTCTGCGCACCAAGTCCCCAATTCTGAGCTTGCAACCGATGCAAATCGAAATGCGCCTTCAAGGATTGGCATATCCCCATACTTGGGTTTCAAAGTACCATGCAGATTGGTCTCAAACGGCGGAGGAAGCTTGTCGTAGACCCATTCCTCCTCCATTGGCTTGTTCACGAAATTTCGCAGGAGGGCAAGATCCGATGTTGTTGCAATGCGACTGTCTAAAAGAGTCTCGAGTTGGCTATATACAGTAAGCAGAAACTTCCACTTTTGTTTATTCTGGGGCGCTCACATTGCTGCTTCCGCTATGTCACACTTGGCATCAACCGGGGAAGCAGTCATCCCGAAGATCCTTGGGCGCTTTTCAGGATCCGCTTTCAAATAAGAGTCTCGGATGATACTAATATATATCAGCTTTTGTCGTCATGTTATAAGTAAACAATGGGCTACATGCCGAGCATATGGGTGCTCCTTTTTGGCATGGTGGGCTTCATCGAAGATCAGAAGATTGATCTGGTCAATCCTTATATGGCCATTCAGTAGAGACTGGTTCAGGATTTCTGCCGTGCATACAATCACCATGTACTTTTCAAGGTGCTTGTTCCACGTCTGTTTGTCCCAAAGATCAGGTCCTAGATTGCCGAAAAAATGAGCGACTCTTTGATCGAGATTGTTTCTCAAGACCGCAGACTGTTGAAAGACCAAAGTTACACTGTCCACCAGGAAAAAGGCAACGCGAGGTTTTGTGCCATTTGCACGTTTGTTGAGTTCGATTTGGAGAATGTGCTTGAGCAAAAGCACAGCCACTAAAGTCTTCCCGGACCCTGTATCGAGAACCGCAATTGTGTTGCTAGCCCGTGCTCTTTCAAAGAGCTCGATTTGGTATTCGCGAGGGTCCAGGACCCCACCTCCGGGCTCTGTATTTGCGAGCAAACGAGCAGTTGAAAGTTCCGCATCAGATAGTTCGATATGTGCCCCATTGGGGTCATTTCTCGGCCCATTGACAACATGCTCTTCGAGCCTTCCAAGCTGTTAGCATATATAGGCCTTAAAGCTAAAATACATTTTAGACTTACAGTGCAGTGAACATAGCATTCTGAGCTCTGTGTCGGTGTGACTCTGTCAATCGTGAAACCACGGCTTCATCGCCGGATGGGTCTGAGGTGGTGTCTTCGGGCTCCATGTTGACAATCTTATCCTGTGCTAGGGTATGTTGAAGAAGAAGAAATGTTGAATAAGAAGAAGAAGAAGAAGAAATGTTGAATAAGAAGAAGAAGAAGAAGAAGAAGAATAAATAAAGATACGGAAGTGGGAACGTCAAACCCGGAAGAGAGGAAGCAGCATCTAACTTGGCAAGAGCCAACGAGATATACGCTTGTGTGCTCCTTCCTACTTGGATATGGATATCTCATAAGTGAGGTCGTTCGCACTTGGAATATACTAAGAATCACATGTATGCAGGCCCCACATATATATGCACCCAGGCAACCTGTTCCAACGAGAATGTAAGAATAAGGTCAAAGATGCCCGTGCACAGGGTGAAATAAGTAGACCAAGAGAATAACCCCGTAAAATAATTCAAAAAGAACGACTATCTGAAGAGAGAGTAAAACAAAAGAGAGCCCTAGAGGAGAATAAGAGCGGAATGAACACATATCAATGCAAACCCGCCAATCAGTACGTACTTGGGATAGAGAAAACATACATTGACTTTTATAAGAAATGGAGTCTTTTAAACTAAGCGCATAGCTTTGATTCCAACCTCGGAATAAATCTATAGAACCCAAAAGTTTGAGGAAAATCGAAGTATGAGCTCCTTTATCAAGGCTTATCAGATAGAAGCTTGGCCTTATCGCCTTATCGTATTTCCAAAACTCAGATCCAGATCGCGGGGGACACGCGAACCCTTCCCCAAACACCTCTCATACCATATCTTCTATCTAATTTAAGTCTGCTAGAAATATCAGAACCAATGGAGGAACCACAGAGTCTTCGCTCTCTATTTGCATCAGCAAAGGAGCAAAAGAGTGCACTGGGATCGCGGGGTGACACCAACGCCGAGACCTACCGAGACGAGGTGAATGCAACGATCACCAAATTCCAAGAATGCCAGCGTCAAGTGAGCATGCTGTCTCTGTTCAGCTCTAATGAGCTGCTGGAAGATATTTCAACCGGTGATATCCAGTACGCCACCTTGATTCCGGCATTGCGTTGCCCATTCGGCTGATTTGTTGTCTAGGTACATGACACTGGAATACCATCTAGCCGAGCTCTTGCAGCGAGTTGCTATCTCAGACCGCGAAGCTGTCCTCAAGCGTGCGCTCGAAGAATATGAGAAATACCTGATGCGCTTGGATGAGTACCTGCTACTCTCTGACGGAGATAAGAAGCTCTTTGAGCAATACATGGCCAATCCGACATCTTTCACCCTGGCGCCAGTCAACGACGCTGCCGCCAGACGGGAAATTAAAGTGACACGGTTTCGGGAAGAAAAAGAACTCAAGCAGAAACTGGAGGTATGTGGAATTTCTCCCTAGATATTGTTTGGGGTTCTTGCTTACCCTATTTCTTAAAGTACTTCGCTCGCAACGAAACTCGACTGCAAAGTGACGATGATGACACCCGCTCCCTTTATCTAGCAGAGATCCAGCTCTATACCCACCAGACCTTCCAGGCCTTGGATCTCCTGATCCAGGAATTATCGATACTTTCAGCTATGCGCAACGCGCCGCCCCGCCCCCCACCGACGGACGATCCCAGACAGCGAAGCAATATTGGAGGTTTAAATTACTCAGAACGCTTGGATCCTTCAATGTCACAGCTTTTGAGGGGCGGCAGAGGTGGCCCTATCCTGAACAGCAAAGGAAAGCCAATGCAGCCGTTTACGTTGTTGGGTCGACGTGCAGAAATGCAACAAGGAGTATTTCGCTCGGGTCATAACCTTCCTACCATGACAATTGAGGAATATCTCGACGAAGAACACAGACGAGGAAACGTCATTGAAGGAGGAGGCGAGAAGTCTGGCATCAAACCGCTAGTCGACGAGGATGATCACAACATTGCCGACCAGGAGACAATGAAGGCACGAAATTGGGACGAGTACACGGAAGCTAATCCGAAGGGTGCTGGAAACACGCTGAACCGGGGATGATTTGAAATACCCGGCATGAGCAGCCCTGCTTTACTACAGTCCAAAAAAGCCACGATAGACGGAGTTCTTGGCGAATATTCTCGATATCCCGAGCGAGTATGAGCATAATAGACAAGAAAACTCGTTCACTTCATTTTTCAACATGGTATATCTGCCTAGTTACAGTATAAGTCTATCTGAACATTTAGACCGCAGTAGAAACGCTGTCCTTGGCCTTGTTCTGTTGGATAGCCTCGAGAATGTCTCCAGCGCCGTCAGCCACCAGAGCCTTGGCTACGGTGATGCCGAAGGCCTCAGCACTTTCAGCAGAGGTGATATCGGCTTCCAATTCTACCTGAGCACATTCTTTGCCATCGACACTGACAACAACTGACCGCATTCGCAATTGCTTAGCACCCTGTGCATTTTGGACCCATTCGGTTTCAACGCCCAGCGGGGCACTGCAGCCTCCCTCGAGAGTCCGCAAAAGACTTCGCTCAGCCAAGACCGAGAATGTGGTATCCTGATGACCAATCTTGTCCAACATATCCTGGAGAACAGTGTCTTCCTTGCGAATTTCGATACCGAGAGCACCCTGCCCAACAGCATAGAGCATGCCGCTGTTCTTTGAGTCCAAATATTGGGTGATACGATCCGCCAAATCAAGACGCAGCAGACCAGCAGCGGCCAGAATGACACAGGCGTAAGGGCTATCTTCAGCGTCTAGCTTTGACAGGCGAGTGCCGATGTTGCCACGGACATCCTGGACCTTAAGGTGGGGGTATTTCCGGGCCAATTGTGCTGTGCGGCGGATGGAGGAGGTTCCGACTACGGATCCGGCGGGGATTTCGGACAGACTCTTGTATGGCAAACCTTGTTTCACCACAAGGACATCCCTGCTATCTTCGCGGGGCATGCTAGGGCCTAGCTTGCAGGAAGAGGGGAGAGTAGTGGGGACATCTGATAATTTCGAAGAAGTCGTCGTCAGCACTTTTTTAAGGGTTGAAACAGCTACGCTGTATGAGATCGAGACATTATCAAACCTTTCAGCGAGTGCACGATCACATCGACCTGTCCATCGATCATCAATTCCTCCAATTCCTCCGTCCACAGGTTCTTGGTAGTGAAATCTCGCAGCGCGATGGTGGTGTTCAGGTCACCGGCTGTCTCCTTTGAGAAGATCTTATATTCATATTGCGGGAATGCCTTCTTCAATGCATCGAGGACCAGGTTTGTCTGGAGCAGAGCCAGTTTAGATTTGCGGGTGCCGATAGTGATGGTCTTTTGGGTGGGGGCGGGGGTAGACATTTTGAGGGGAAAAGAAATCGTATGCGGAGAATAGGCTTGGAAATAAGGCGAGTAAATGTGTACGACGTTGTATGAACTATGCCCGCAGGATACCAAACAGCCGAGGAAAGTCAGGCGAAGAGGCGAAAGCGGATTTGGAGACCTCCGATCACGGGACACGTGCGAACAGGTAATTCCAACTGGATCACGGAGTACTCCGTACAACGTTAGGTATATACAATAATCCAGGAAATAGAGATAAGTGAATAACAGTAGACTCAATAATATAAACATGTAGGTCTATAAAATTAACTAGATATAAACTATAATCAATCAGAGAGTAAATCCCTTAGATTCTTCCCCAGTTGATCGTCAACCTCGGCTCCGGGACGTGGAGATTACGAGACATGCGACTTATCTCCCCCGGACTTCCCATCTACCTGATTCTGGAACCTCCATCTCTCCTCTTCATATAATACCATTTAACTCCCCCTCTCCACATTCCCCATAAACTTTACAACTTGATCTCCCCGAATCCCCATCTTTGCCATCCCCATTCCATCATCACCAGGGCCCGTACACCATGGGATCCAACGGTAGAAGTACCAAGCTTCCCCTCGTACCTCTGCCTAAAGGCTCGGTTCTGCTACCCGGCGTGACTCTACGTATTCCAGTCTCCAACCGTCCCGACCTCGCCAATCTCCTTTCGTCACTTGTGGACAAGCCTTCAAAGCGAGATGCGAGTACCATCACCTTCGGCTGTGTTCCACTTAACTCACCGTTCCTGAGCCGGGATGGACAGCAGCTCCTCGAAGGCGATGACTCGGACTCAGAGCGAAAGGAGGAATATGACTCGATTGACGCCGGTCAGGCACGGAAGGAGGACCTGTTCCGTTACGGAACCGTTGGCAAAGTCATCGGAGTTCAGCGCCGGGCTTATTCCGAACCATTCTTGCTTGTTCAAGGCTCGCAAAGATTTTCTATTAAGAAGATCCTGCGAGACCGGCCATACTTTGAGGCCGAGGTTTTCATTCATGATGAATCTAGTTAGTTTCCACGGATACAAAGCACAGAGACCACTTGGCTAATCATACTTCCTATGCTTCTAGACTCTGGCCAAGGCGACGCAGAAGTCGCTACGCTATTCCAACAATTGAGACAGCTCTCTCGAGAGCTTCTTACTCTTCTCCGCCTTTCCTCATTGCTGTCGGCAGCCTCCTCTCGTCTCTCGCCACTCGTTGCCCGAAAGTTCGAGCTCTATATATCAAAGACAGAATTGACACAGGCTGGAAAGTTGGCCGATTTTATGGCCGATGTATCTGATGCAAGCTTTGAGGAAAAGCTACGCATTCTCGGCTCGCTGGATGTTAAGGAACGGTTAGAAAGGGTTGTCGAGATCCTCACCAGACAGGCACAGCATATTAAGAGTAGCGTCAGGGTCACCTCGGTTGGCTCGACATCGTTCCCCTCCTCCGGGATGGATATCAGTCAGATTGACCCCCGTGAACGTGAGCTCCTCGCAAAACGTGCAATTTCGGGTCTCTCCGGCATGACGCCCCCTGGCGGGCGTAGCAATGACGAAGAGAAGGAGCCTAATGAAGTAGATGAGCTACAGCAAAAGTTGAATGATGCGCAGCTTAGCCCCGAAGCTCGGAAGGTTGCGGACAAGGAACTGAAACGCCTGCGAAAGATGAACCCTGCTAACGCCGAGTACGGTGTTTGCCGGACTTATTTGGAAAACTTGTCAGAAATTCCATGGACCAAGGCGACAGAGGATCAGCTTGGACCAGAAACATTGAAGAACGCCAGGAAGCAGCTGGATGAGGACCACTACGGCCTAGAGCGAATCAAGAAGCGACTTCTGGAGTATTTGGCTGTGTTGCGCTTGAAGCAGTCCACCAACTCAGATGTTGAACGCCAGATCTCAGGACTCTCCAGGGACTTGGACTCCTCGGCAGTTGGAGATGTCGAGAAGGATGTCCCCCTGCTGTCAGAGTCTGACCGGGTTGCGTTGGAGACTCGCCTTGAGATTCTCAAGTCCAAGCGTATGACTGACAAGTCCCCTATCTTGCTTCTGGTGGGACCCCCTGGAACCGGTAAGACCAGTCTGGCCAGGTCTGTTGCTGCCTCGCTTGGTCGAAAATTCCACCGGATCTCCCTTGGTGGTGTCAGAGACGAGGCGGAAATCCGGGGCCACCGACGAACATACGTTGCAGCCATGCCTGGTTTGATTGTGAATGGGTTGAAGAAGGTCGGTGTTGCAAACCCCGTCATTCTCCTTGATGAGATTGACAAGGTCGGCGGCGCCAACTTCCAAGGCGACCCGTCCGCCGCCATGCTGGAGGTTCTCGATCCTGAGCAGAACCACACGTTCACCGACCACTATATCAACATCCCTATCGACCTGAGCAAGGTTCTCTTCCTTGCTACTGCCAACTCCCTGGACACGATCCCGGCACCTCTGCTCGACCGCATGGAGACTATCTCCCTGTCTGGATACACCACTGTTGAGAAGAGGCACATTGCCAAGCAACACCTGATCCCGAAGCAGATTCGATCCAACGGTCTCAACGAGGGCCAGGTAAATATGTCCGACGAGGTGATTGATAAGACCATCACCTCGTACACCCGTGAGTCAGGTGTGCGCAACCTAGAGCGAGAACTTGGCTCTATCTGTCGCCACAAGGCCGTTCAATATGCCGACGCCGGGGACGCGGACCGCCTAGACGATTATAACCCTGTTGTATCAGTCGACGACCTGGAGGATATCCTGGGAATCGAGCGGTTCGAGGAAGAGATCGCCGAGAAACACGGTCGTCCCGGTGTGGTCACGGGCCTTGTCGCCTACTCTACCGGTGGCCAGGGCAGCATCCTGTTCATCGAGGTGGCAGACATGCCCGGCAACGGACGCGTCCAGCTGACCGGTAAGCTGGGCGACGTGCTCAAGGAATCTGTCGAAGTAGCCTTGACATGGGTGAAGGCACACTCCTTCGAGCTCGGTCTCACCCACGACCCCAGTGAAGATATCATGAAGAGCCGTAGCCTGCACGTCCACTGCCCCTCCGGCGCTATCCCCAAGGATGGTCCCTCTGCTGGTCTTGCCCACACTGTTGCCTTGATCTCCTTGTTCAGCAACAAGCCTGTCCCACCGCAGATCGCCATGACCGGCGAGGTCTCCCTCCGCGGTCGGGTCATGCCCGTCGGTGGTATCAAAGAGAAGCTGATTGGTGCTCTGCGTGCGGGCGTCAAGACCGTGCTGCTCCCGGATCACAACCGCAAAGACGTCAAAGATGTTCCACAGGAAGTCAAGGATGGTCTGGAAATCATCTATGTCAAGTATGTCATCTCCGCCCAACCTTGATTTAGTTCAACTGCTAACAATTGTTCACAGGCACATTTGGGAAGGGCTTCGCCAGGTCTGGCCCGATGCCCAGTGGCCGGGCCAACACCAGATGAACTTTGTTGAGAGCCGACTGTAAGCCGTTCTCAACATCAAGTTTCAGGCGCTTCGCCTCTCTCTCATCTGTTGTCCAGCACTTCGGTCCCCCACCCTCATTTTTGCATAGCGTATAATAGCCCAAGGCCCCAGTGACTTGTATTTAATCAGCTTGTCTTTCGTGATGCGTTCATGCCAGTCAATATTTCGTGTCTATATCACTCAACATACCGGGTTCAATTTTACCACCAATATAACAATTTACAACTACTTATTTTTATCTTAAAGATTCATGTAAACCTCGACCAGGTCGGAAATATGATACGCCAAATTCAAGATGTATACAATCTACCCCAAGAGTATAATACACAGATCCAGCCAAACTAACATGGACCAGAAGATAGAGCAAGAAACACCAAGTTTCCCCAATGGAGGGAGAAAAAAAACCATTCAGAACAATGCAAGGAATCCCATCATACCAGATTACCGCGCTCCGTGCTTCCGCCCCTTAGAATACCAAGCGGGCAGTGTGGAAGCAGGGCCGAACCCGCCATTCTTAACCGCCTGGTGTGGCTCCAAGCCCAGAGCCTTCCAGGTCGGTCTCCAGGTCTCCTTGTTCTCAAGCAGTGCCTTGGCCTGCTCCTTGTAGGCCTCACGCAACTCGCGATCGGGCTGTTCACCCTTGTTCGGCTTGGGGTTATCCTTTTCTTGTTGGTCGATCTGCCACTTCTCGGCCTTTGACCAGCTTTCATGCTCCCAGCTATTGGTGGAAATGGGTTAGTTGCTATGTTCAGTTTGGTTGGAGGTGCATGTGTAGTATTGGGATAATAGAAAGAGGGAAGACAAAGGAATTGAACTTGAAAAGAACAAGAAGGTTAAGGGTGGGCGTCACATACGGGGTCAGATCCTCCGGCTCCTTGGGGTACACGAAGGGCTCCTTCAATTCAACGGTCATGCGCTTCTGCGACTTAGGTCGGCGCCACGGGCCGAAACCCTTGTTATCGCGCGAGATTCGTGTGATTGGTTGTGCCTGGACGTAACTGCGGATGCTGAGGGTTCCGACTCCATACAAGTGCCATAGGTAGCTGCGGAGATCGAACTTGTTGAAGTTGAGGGGGACGCGGAATTGAGCATATCGGGGGGTGAGGTTGGGGGTGCGGACGAGAGCGACACGGAATTCAGGCCTAATGAGGTAAGAAATTAGCTGTGGTGCCTTTTTATTTTGTGACAAATGTTCAATTAAGCCGGTCAAGTCCGCTGAGATGTTGTTTTGGTCGAGCGGAGTCGGGGTTCTTGGAAATTTTGGGCAACGTACAGGTACACGGGCTTGCCGACGACGCTGGGCCATTTGGTTTTGGGGGGTTCCTGGATCCCAGCCTGGTTTTGCAGGCGGCGCAGGGCTTTCGCTTGAACACTGCTGAGACGCACCATCGTTTTGTTGAATGGAGGAATCTGGGGGTTGGAGGTGCTTGCGGACCGCGCATCAAAACTGCGTTGGCCGATCTGGTCACATGACTTCAGTATACACGCCAGTAATGAACGATGAACGACGCAACACTCACTGTTGGACATTCAGTCAAGAGTCGGAATTGAGTACGCTGTGTCTTCGGTAAATTAAGTAAATTTTTGATATTTGTTTCCTAAACAAAGAGTTTGGGTATTCTAGAAGATATCCATTGATAGGAAATTTTGAAACCTATATTACATGCTTTATTCATCGTAAATAGTCATTAAAAAAAGCCCAAGATCGTTTCCTTTTATTGCTCCGCCGATCCCGAGACTCGAAGTTCTTCTAACCGCTTGGTGCTGTCTTCGACATCTTCGGAGTCCTTGGTCTCGTGGGCATCACTGGTCTCCTCGGCTTCAGATCCAGACTCTTCCTCGTCATCCTCATCCTCATCATCGGAGCTATCCTTAGAAGCCTCTCCATCTCCTTTGACTCCCACGTCTACCATATAAGCCTCAAGCTCACGGGCCATCTTGCGCGAGAAACCTGAGGCTTCAACTTCGACATCCAGACGTTTGCCAGGGTTCTTGAGGAGCTTCTTTCTAGCCTCGGCGAAAGTAGGACCCTTTGAGTCGCTCACAAAGTGGAACTTACGCTTGAAGTATCGCTTGATACATTCCACATCACGGTCGAAGTACATTTCAGCGTTAACGTGGTCGACAGACAACATCTGCGGGAAATCAATGAGAACCGGGACCAGCCGGATATGCTCATCTTCCTCTTCCTCAGTGAGCTCTTTGCCCTTCATTTCGGGGTCTAGTTCTTCCTTGATAAGGATGTTGAACTCGTTGAAATCACCATGAATAAGACCATATCGCGCAAGATCCAAGATCATATTCATAAGCTCGGAGTATAGCCCAGCGGGGTCGGCGACTTTTGCGATTTGGCGCAGAGGGAAAGCATCGATTAGACCCATGACGATGGTGTGTCGGTTTTGGGCAATGGGCTCGGGGACGGAGAATCCGTTCTCGCGCAGAGCCTTCATGAAAGCGAACTCCTTCATTGCTGCCAATCGAGACATGTACATCCATGAGGCTGAGCTGCGGTGTCGTAGGTAGTCACGGTTTGTCTTGACTGTTCGGAACGAGATACGGCCGAGACGGTGGATTTTCATAATGCGCTGTGCTCCGCTGCTTTCTGCCACCACGATGATGTCTGATTCCTTTCCCACGCCGATTTGGTTACCAACCGAATAGATGACCTTTGACTTTTGGTGCGCATTCAGCGCAAGATAATCCAATCCTCCGTATGCGAGTCGGTAGCCGTCATCTATATGCAGAATACTTGTATTAGTGGTAAGATCAGGTGCAGAAATAAATGAAATACATACAACTGGCATTCTTGACCTTTGCAATCAAGTTGATTTTCGCGAGGTTTGAGATTGCGCGATTGACACCGCTGCCGCCTCGGAGGCCCGAAAGTTGCGAGATCAACGGTGTTGGAACGACCTCATGGTTCCGGCTGCCAGCTTCACACTAGGATAATTCACACGTTAGCTAATGAAGAATGCGCGACAGAATATCCTCAAAGAAGAACATCGCGGGGTAAACCCAAGAGGAGGGGCCGATAAGTACCGCTGCAAGAACTCTGAAATCTTCGGAGGTGAGGTAGCGAATAGCCTTAGCGTCGAGTTTCATGGTTGCGAGGAAATGAAGGAGCTTTTCACTTTCTTCTAATTTCCCTAAATTGATTCGTTGGAGACCAGAACTTCAAGACGAGTTGGACCAGTCAACGATGCGGCGGAGGAAAAAAGTTGATAAGAACCTAGCCCTAAGCCCTACTTCCTATCCGGGCTGAGAACCTTGATAGCTTCGCTTTATTTGGATAGCATCATGCAATAATTACAACGTTCTGGCTGGTTATCTTTCAAACGTAGATGAAAAGAATGGAGCTGGTTCAATATGAGTATCTCTATTAGTACACCAGGCTCCACGAATCCACCGAGGTCCAAAATACGTAGTCTACTCATAGATCCAAGCAGTTGTAGTAGAAGCCAAACAGATATAAAAACTTGTAAAATAAATCCATGCTATTCTTCATTCGTTCTGAATACATTAGATCCAATGATAACCCGACCACTATACGAGTCCCGCTGGTTGCGAGCAATGGATGTAAATCGGGGAATATCTAGTCTAGCCTGCTTATTCGGGGCTTTCGTAGTCCGGGTTCTGGAAGATAGGTTAGTACTGGTAATTTGGACTTGAGATAAGGACACATACTTTGCGCAAGATAACCAATCCTTCGAGAGTGCTGCTCAGAGGGATGTACTGCTCATCCTCAAGCTCGGCTCTCTCACCGTGGGCCAGGAGGACTGGCGTGCTCTGAGTCTGCCATCCAGTGATGGTCTTCGGGCGACCCGCCTGGCCGACCACGTCCACAGCCTGACCGACACGGACGTTGACGGTGAGTGGCTGAAGGTCCTCATCGAGAGTAATAAGGAAGCGGGGGAACATGGCGGTAATGAGGAAGTAGAGCAGGTAGTGGTGTTCAGCGAGAATGAATTGCTTGGCATCGATGAGTGATACAAGCACAGTAAGCAAACCCGCTGCTGAGACACGGGAAAGGACCTGTCGGTCGGTGTGGAAGGGGTTAAGGGTCATGGTACCCTTGCCCATGTGTAGGAGACCCTGGGCGATGCGAACCATGAATAGTGAGTTCTGGTCGCGGTGATAGTAGCTGGCCAATTGCCGGAGAAGCTGTGCGATACGGGCATTGTTGGTACCAGCGCCACAGAGACCCATGGCGAAGATGGCATTAATGGCAACATCGTTGTCATTGTCGTGACTGTACCGGGACAGTGTGTCGTAAACCTTCATTTGTGGGTTGCTGGGGCTGATCAAGCCCATAGCCAGGGGAACAGCCCGGCGAATGTTGCTAGATCCGTAGTGCATGAGGTGACCGAACTGGCGGAGAATCATATCCTGCCCGACATCCTCGCCCATGGCAATGAGAGACAAACCGAGAACAGCATATGACTGAACAAGCTCATCGCCCTTGTTCTCCTCCTTCTCTTCGATGATGTCATTGCAGATGTGGAGAAGCTCTTGTAGCTTGAGCACCGTACCAGTGCCTGCCCAAGCGCATACTGAGGCAAGGACTGAAGTGGGCTTAGCCATGGGGTGGTCAACTGCCTTGAGGATGTCAAGGATGACATCGACCTCCTCTTGGCGGCCGAAGTACAGAAGTGCCAGACCAAGGGCCATGAACCTTGTCCACTTGTCCTTGAGCTGTTTCTGACGCTCCTCATCCATCAAGGTCGTCGCGATTGCCTCGCTAACCTGGTGGTTTGATGAACCAACAAAGATGAGGCCCAGTGAAACTGCTGCCATGGCAGACAGCTGCATGTCTAGTGAGGCGTCCTCCACAATCGGAAGGAGAACCTCAAGCAGTTCTTCCTTGTTGGAACCGGCATATGCCAGACCAAGACCCATGATGGATGCAACTCGCATCGGCACGTTCTTCGCCTCAAGGTTGTCAGGGTCACTCAAGAGGGCAAGGGCGGGGTCGGAGTCCAGTCGGACGCCGGAGTTCAGGATACCAATAGCGAGTAGTGCACCAGCCTTAACCTGATCTTCTTGCGCGTAGGTGAACTTATCGATCTTATCCAACCCATCCTCGACGTCACGGTGTAGCAGCATACCCAGCGACGCAGTTGTGGAAAGCATGCCATCATCCTTGGTCTTCCACACCCACGGGCCCTTATCACCCTCCACTAGCATCATCTTATCGTTACCAAAGCCGGCATTAGCAAACGAGTTGACAAAGGCGCTGGCCAAGTTGTGTCGTGCCGAGTCAAGATTGGTGAGGCCGGCTCCGCGACTGCTCTCAAGATGTGTTTTGTAGATATCCTCCGGCATCTTGGGGTCCAGAATATTGAGTTCCTTGCCCAGAGATTTGAAGTGCTTCGGAATGGAAGTGTTGTTGAGACAATCAGCCAAGGCCTCCCCCTCCTCATCCTCGGCCGGGAGGTCGAGCCAGATCTGCTGCCGGGCGACAAGGAAGGCCATCTGTTTCTTCAAAGAAACATCCGTCGTGGCATGGATGTCACTCTTGATAAGATCAGTGTCGTTCAACCGGATAGCGAGCACGATCGCTTGCGAAAGTTTGTTGTAGCGGACGTAGATCTCGTGGGCGGTTCGAAGGAATTGCTGATCTTCAGGGTAAGTGAGGAGATTGACCATGCTGACCATATACAAGCAGACTCGAGCGTATGTGTTCTCGTCAACGAATTGAGGGATATCTTCGATGATTTCCAGTTCGCTCATGAGATCAACCGCATCGGCTTCAGCGTTATGACTCAGGAAATAGGGCACCAGCGACAATGCAAGGTCCACTAGAACCTGAGTATCTTGGTCTGCGTTCAACCGGTTCTGATATTCCTGTCCGAGTTCCAGTGCGAGGTGTCGGACATACTCGTGACCCCAGGAGCCAAGGTCCTCCGATTTGGCCAACAGGCGGTATTTGATGGTCTCCAGCTTCTCTTCGTCGCCGTAGGTCATTCCAAGCACCGACAGCATATCAGCCAACGAGTTCTAGAGAGAATAATATCGTTAGATCGTCGCAAAGCGATGGAAGCGCTGCAGAACCAACCTGCACAGGGCCTGCGGCCCATTTCTCGTATAACCCGGCCAGATCATCATAATGCGGTCGGAGGAACTTGAGAGGCTTAGGAACAGCTGTCATGGAGGATGTAGAAGTCTTGATAAAGTTCTTGATTGCGTCCAAAGCAGGCCCATAGAGCGAGGTATCGGGTTCCTATTGAGAGAAAAGAAGATGATTAACGTCATTGTGCTATGCGCACGGGACAGGGGAGTAATTGTACCTTTAACCGCTCAACGAGCATCTCAAGTTCGCTCTTCAATTGCTGATCTTCTTCACTGAGTTCCTCTATACAGAATTTCCGTTAGCATGTTGCTTTGAGCGCCACCGTAGACCCTTGACAGAAACCACATGCTCCATTGCGAGAACCTTGGAAATGCCTTATCGCAACATACCATCTTGAGATGTCTCATCTTTCTTCTTTTCGTCTGCTGGCTTCTCGCCATTTTCGGCGTTCTTGCCGGTCAACTCGCGAACATCATCAACCTTGCCCTTGCCCTTGTCGGCGGAGGTTGGCCGTTCGCCCTCGTTGGCCATTTCTGATGGTAGCTGGGGACCAAGTCGGGGGGAAATCGAAGCGGCGTGGGAGAGGTAGGTATCAAGCAGATGAGCACAGGATAGTGTTACAAAGCAGAAATAGATGGAATTCTGCAAGTAAAGAGTAGTGCAAGTGGATTGTAAGCTGGTGATGGAGAAGCAGAGCTCGGTCTGGTGAAGCTCCGGAATTAGATTACATAAGGTGCCAAGCCCTGCGGAAGGTGCTCGTCATTGTTTTGGATTTGCGATATTACGACTTCAATTCTATCACTCGAATCCTTATGACTCTGATTTATGAGGAAGAGAATGATTTGAGGCTATTTCAAATTCAAAATCGAGTTTTTAAATTCCCTAGCTATACATAGAAAAGTCCTTTGTACCGCACTGTTTTTTCTACGACGACCGTATACATCCAAAAAGACATCCGAAAAGATCATCCAAAAACGCGTCGGTATGTTCTTACATGTAACGTCCGTCCCTAATATAATCTGGGCCAAATATATCGGATTATCAAGTCTTACGCCGTCAAGGACAGAGGCCCCATGAGCGGCTGGCTATCCTTGTGTATCCTGAATTTGGCAAACATGCCGGTGAAATGACAACTCAGATCCTGGAGATTTCGCCTGGAATTCATTCTTGAATGCAAAATAGTACATCTGTCGAGAGCTCATCAATCTTGCTATCTCTGGCACATCCTCCGTACTGAGTTCGAAACTGCTTGGCATATTCTTCCGTCTGTTTAGTGTATGCCGCAGCTGTTAAGCCCTCTCCATCGTATGAAAGCAGAGATAAAGCATCAAGATCGGGAAGACCCGAAGAGAACAAGTCAAGCAGTGGCATAATAGTTGATGCGCGGTTCAGCGGTCTTTCAATAGACCCTAAACCGGTGGAAATCCCACCTGTAAGCGGCTGCGTAGGATCATGAACGACTTGAGTGGCTTCTTCACCCGAGGTCGCAGGATTGCTGCCCCTGAATTCTTCTGGGGGCTGATATAGCTCGTTGTGTACTATGGCAATCGAAGAAGATTTGATGCCTGGGAATGATGGGTATAGGAGATAATATCCCTTGGCGCGGATCATCTCGAGCATGTGTTCCATAAACGCCGGATATTTCTCCGATATAAACTTTGTTTGGGAGGCCGCCGCGGATTGCGGAGTCGACAGGCGGTTAGCCATGAAGGAATGGAATTCCGCCCATGCGTCACCAAAATACAAAGCTGCATTACTATTGGGGGCCTGCCAGAGGAACGAGGGAAGAAACTGCTCTTTGCCTTCAATGGTCATGGGCGGCGGGGTGAAAGATTGGCTATCAGCCGTGGGTTTGGATGATGGTAGTTCAAGTGAGATGCCAATCATCTTAGAAAATATGCGCTTGGCTCGGGAAGACTGTTTGTAGTTCAGTACAGCAAACTTCAGGTAGTGATAGAACGACGGTGCGAGCTCGGCCTGTGGAGATAGCAGAAGCAAATGTGTCATCTCAGGGTCCCGTGGATAGAACGACTCCACGGTTCGAAGTGATGATTCTGATGTGTCCATGTCATGCGGTTGAATCCGCCGCCGAATAGTAATTTGGCCAGAAAGCTGGGTCAACCCGCCCAAATGCTGTAGAAACTGAAGCAACTGCGAATCTACCCGCTGAGGAAGCTCTATTGTCAAACTTGGAGCCGATCCTAAATAGTCGGCTGCATCCAATGACTGCATAAGCCTGATCAAAGACCCAGAAGACTCGGAGGGTGCATGCACCACCATTTCGATTCGTATTTTATTCCACGCTATTGCATGTACGGTCAGCATTTCCGAACACCACATACCAAAGAGGGGAAGTTGAGATAACTTACATCGAAGAGCTTCGCTATCCAGCGATGCTATCCACATAAGATCTCTTGAAGCAGCGGAGAGAGCAACGTGAGGGACGCCATTTTCTCGAGAATTGACCTCGACCCCGTCCCAGAAAAAGGAATCCTCCCAGCCCCGACCTTGTGTAATGATAACCTCGGGGCTGATGTAGGTTTGGATGTTTTGCAACCCTCCTATCACGGACCGCTTCATGCGGTCATCAGTAGATTTGGGTGCATAGTCCGGCCGAGCATCTGTTAGTTATCGTCAAGTCAGCAAAAAGCGTTCGACGATCATAATCTGAATATCATACCGTGCCAAGTCATCGGGCATTCGCTATCTCTGATTCTGTTAACTTCCTTGATTCCCTCAATCGAAACTTCCTCCTTTCCCATCACAGTGAAATGCACATAGTTGAGTCGCTGACCAGCCATCCGACAAGCTAGAGGCAAAAGATCTGACACACTGCGGAGACTTGAGGCTGCAAACACAACTGCACGACTGGCAGCTTTCTGTGAATACTTATAGGGAGGAAGAGAGTGGGCCAACTCGTAGAACTTGATCATCCCATCATAAGCTTCCTCCTTTTGGTTCGATTCCGATACCTTGACTGGTGGCAAATTGTCCGGTAGTACAGCGTCTGGCTTGGAAACATCAGGTGGCGGCTTATCTGAGCCTGCCAATCTGGCAAGACTTTCTTCTCGTAGCTTCGCAATCGCAGGGTCGAACCGATCTGGGGCGGGTCCCAGGTCCGTGGGCATGTGCTTGAAGAACTCGTAGACGAGAACAAGCGCAATGATAGCGAGCAGTATTCGGCGAGGTCGAGGCATTGCTCGGTGCCGCAGAGGTAGGAAGCGAGCTTGATCAGATGGTCGATGGTCGTCATCTTTCTTGCCCATCTCTTCATCAGCCTGAAGGGGCATCTTTGCGCGGCTCATGATGTGCGCCCGGGATGATTAAGGGCAAGCTCCGTGAGCTCCGTGGTTGCCTTTATGACATCGAAGTAACAAATAGATGCAGAGAACGAATGCGACCGAATTGTTGCATATTCATTGCCAGAGGAAGGACGCAGCGGAGCAAACGATCCCCACAAACAATCCATGGATGACGCCTGGGCTCTCTTATCGCCTTATCGGGTCTTCGCCCTTTCTCCAACTACGCGCACTTCGCAATCCATTCCCACCCCCGAACACTTTCCTAAAATCTTAAAATCATGATGGAAGACGACATGAATATTGAGCCTATTGATCAACGCGGCACCAAGCGCGTAGCAGAGGGGGATGAGCCTCTGGAACCCCCTAAACCGAAGAAGATCAAGGTAAGGTAACGCGTGCACATGAATCCCATCGTATACTATCACATAGAACAAATACTGAATTCCATACAGGCTTTGGATCCCGATGTCGTAAATAAAATTGCTGCTGGGGAGATTATCGTTGCTCCAATGCACGCACTGAAAGAGCTCATCGAAAACGCCGTCGATGCTGGCTCCACCTCAATTGAAGTCCTGGTTAAGGAAGGGGGTCTGAAACTACTCCAGATTACTGATAATGGCCATGGCATTGATGTAAGTCATTTTCGATGTTATACCAGCTGCCTCTGACACCATCTAGCGAGATGATCTTCCTATCCTCTGCGAGAGATTTACTACGTCTAAACTGAAAGAGTTTGAAGATCTGACCTCCATTGGAACATACGGATTCCGGGGTGAAGCTCTAGCTAGTATCAGTCACATCGCACATCTGACGGTTACAACGAAAACTGCTGGATCCAGCTGCGCCTGGCGAGCACATTACGGAGATGGCAAGTTGATACCGGCAAAGCCAGGCCAGAGTTCTGCACCAAAGGCAACGGCTGGCCGAGGAGGAACTCAAATTACCGTAAGTTAAACAGATGAACATATGGCAGGCTTTCAAGTTAACGAAACCCAAGGTCGAGGATCTCTTCTATAATGTCCCCACTCGACGGAGAGCTTTCCGCTCGGCAAGCGAGGAATATGCCAAAATTCTCGATGTCGTTGGCCGGTACGCAGTGCATTGCTCCGGAGTCGCTTTCTCATGCCGCAAGCACGGAGACTCCGGTGTGAGCATCTCGACTCCAGTAAGCGCAAATACCGTCGACCGAATCCGCCAGATTCACGGCAGTGCCGTGGCGAACGAGGTCGTTGAATTCAAAACCGAGGATACAAAGTTCGGATTTCGCGCATCCGGCTTCGCTACCAACGCCAACTATCATGTCAAGAAGACAGTGATTCTTCTTTTCATTAATCACCGCGCAGTGGAGTCAACTGCTGTTAAGCGTGCAGTTGAGCAGACTTACTCTGCGTTTTTGCCCAAGGGCGGCCACCCTTTCGTCTATCTTGATCTCGAGATCGAGCCTAACCGCGTCGACGTCAATGTACACCCAACAAAGCGTGAAGTGAATTTCCTGAATGAAGACGAGATCATCGAGCTTGTTTGCACTGAAATCAGATCCAAACTGGCCGAGGTGGACTCGAGTCGCACATTCCTAACACAAAGCCTCCTACCTGGCGTGCAGACCATCGAGTCTCTACAACGTGATCAAGGCGCCCCAGCCCATGAGGGAACAGGAGAGGCAACTAAAGCCGGAACGACACCTAAAACACCCGCAACGACAAAGAAACCCTACGAAAACAACCTCATCCGAACAGATTCCAAAGTCCGCAAAATCACAGCAATGCTAGGCCCAGCCACAGCCTCACCCCGCGACCCATCCAACCCAGACGCACCCACAGAAACCGACACCCCAACAAAATCAATACTAGACAACGGCCTCCAATACGAAACAACAGATCGCCAACCCCTAAAGATTGCCCTCTCATCCGTCAAGAGTCTCCGAGCTGCCGTCCGCTCCGAAATGCACAACACATTGACAGAGACGTTCGCGTCCCACACATATGTCGGATTAGTCGACGAGCGACGCCGACTCGCCGCAATCCAATCAGGCGTGAAACTGTACCTAATCGACTACGGCCTCGCATGCCACGAATTCTTCTACCAAGTGGGCCTAACCGACTTCGGGAACTTCGGGGTAATCCGACTCGACCCAGCGCCGAAGTTGGTAGATCTACTGAAAATCGCCGCAGAATCAGAACGGCAAGAGCACCCCGACTCGAACGGGGAAGAGGCCGATTCCATCTTCGCTAATGCACCGGAGATGATAGCACGCACGCTCGTCGAGCGTCGCGAGATGCTGAATGAGTACTTTTCGCTGCAGATTAGTCCCGACGGAGACTTGCTTACTATCCCGCTGTTGCTGAAGGGGTATCTGCCTGCGCTGGCTAAACTACCTCGTTTCCTACTGAGGCTTGGGCCGTATGTGGACTGGAGTAGTGAGGAGGGTTGTTTCCGTACGTTTTTGCGTGAGCTGGCTGCCTTTTACACGCCGGAGCAGCTTCCAGTCCTTTCGCAGCCTGGTGCCCAGGATGGGTTGGGGGAGTCGGCTATGCAGGGGCCGGTGGTAGCCGATGACTCCGGGGTCGAGGACGAAGATGCGTTTGTTAGGGCCCGTCGTGCGCAGATGGTTCGCATGTTGGAGTATGCTGTTTTCCCGGCTCTGCGTGCACGGCTTGTTGCCACGTCACGGCTGCTGCGGGGTGTGGTTGAGGTTGCAGATCTGAAGGGGCTGTACCGGGTGTTTGAGCGCTGTTGAGTAGAGGGTATCGTAAGATCATACGGTGTATTATACTGATTTATATTTATGAATAACAAATGAATATCTGTCTGCTTTTCGGCGGGGGGATTTAGAAGCATGGATTAGTGATCCGATATCTGGTTCGTATACCTTTGAACCTTTGGCTTGATATTCCCGTAAATCTTACAAGGGGTCTTTAATCGAATCGGGAATGTGCGAAGCTCGGATGAGAGAATAACATTAAAATGATGCAGAGACGCCTGTGATCGCCGAGCTCGTGACCACGTCAACCCTAGTTAACACATAACCCAAAGCCCCATGAGAAGGGACTGAGAGAATAGAAAGATGCGCGACAAAAAAATGGCGTAGTATGAAGACATAAACCATGAACAGGGTGAGGTGTATCATGAGAAAATGCTGGTAAATGATATGGGCAGAAATAACAGTGCAAATCCTAGATTGCTGGATGAAACAGAAACAAGAGAACAAGAATTGAAAATTGAAAACAGAAGGACATAATAGGGCGAAATCAAGAGGTAAAATCCACAAGATGGGCCGGCTGAGAAGAGACAAAATATGGGTCGAACAGAGACAGCAGAATTTCATTGCATCGTGGATGGTGGGTGCAATATCTCCCATGCCCTGAGGTCTTCAAAACGCCGAGCGCCAAATATCAATCAAGAAATCGTCTCGTGTTCGTAGAAATCGTGCAAAGTCATTATATCGTAGTGTGTAGTATCTCGCATGGACGTGACAAAAGCACGAATTAAGAAGAAAATAGGTTTGGTGCTCGGGCCATCGTGAAGTCGAGTGTTGACCCTCAGGCAGTCGGTAGAGAAGTGATGTGAATTGTTTTAGCGCCTGCACTTGCAGCAGGGATGACCGTTTCGTGATATCCGGTGCTCAGAGCCCGAGGCTACTGTTAGTGCCTCGAATACGGCTTGTTGAGCAGAGCTATCTCACGCGCAACAATGTCCCATTCAAGCTCTCGCTTGATGGGCTGGCCTCGCTTTTTCATTTGATACTCCTCCCATTGAAGGAGTTCATAGCTGCGGGTAAGCGTGAGCAAATTTTCCTTGTTAGATGTGAGGGTAGAAAAACACAAGACTTACACAAAGCGAAGGTGAGGTTGGATGATAACGTTGAGTCGCCTTGCGCGGACAAAGCAGCTATCATAAATTAGCATTGTTGGCCCAGCTAGACGACTTCATTGGAAATTAACTTACTATGCACGTGGGAAAGAGAGATTTTTGGACGCCATGACTTCAGCGATGCAAATACTTGCTGATCTAGAAACACCGACTCGACAATGAACCAATGTGGCCGTGCCCTGGCGCTTTCCTTTTTCTGTACACAAATTAGCAATGGAAACCGCAATGAAGTAAGAAATTTGAAGGACTTACCAATGAAGTCCAAACAACGATCGTACTCCTGACACAAAGGATCAATACCATTGTCTTGGACATTGTCAATGTACATCAAATTATCGGGTCCCCAGTTGGCGCGGTCCGTATCTGTCCAATTGACAGCCTCGCCAATACTAAGCACACGCTTGATCCCAAGCTGCCACAGAAGCTCCGGGTTGTTCGCATGATTCAGATTGCCCAGATACAGATACGGCAGGACACGGCTGGGGAGGGAGCCGTCCATGTTGTGAAACCAATTCGGATCACAGATTTCCGAGAGATCCGTCGACTGAGTTGCGGGGCTTTCCTGCAAGAGACGTCCTTGAATGTGGCATAGGAAAGCAACGTCTGTAGCATAAGCAAAGAAGTTGCGTTTCTTATCGCAATGCAGTCGAAGCCAAGCTTCATGGGCAGGCACGCCTTCTGCAAACATAAAGTACGCCACTGCCAGCAACGAACTTTCGGTATAACCGTCCGCACAGTGGATGAGGATCTTGCGGGGTTTCCCGCTCGATTTGGTCATTGCAACGTCTCCGTCAGTGTCGAGCTCTTCCGATGAAGTCTCTGGGTGTGCGAGATAGTAGATCCACCTGATGGTGTTGACAATGTCCTCAATCTCTCGGGTGTTACCCGATGGAAGCACAAGAGATCCCGATGAAGGGAACTCCAAGCGCTGTGGACAACTCTCTATCTGTTTGTCGAGCATGGCGAGGAACCGTGGACCAGGGATGTTGGCCATGTCGCATGCTTCGATTAACAGGTCATAGCCCTCTTCCTTTGGTGACTCAAGAGCTCCTGCCGTATGGAAGTAGTCCGGGGTAGACCCAAGCCAAACATTGGACGAAATCTCAGATGCCCGGGACATTGTAGACATTTCCAGTCGCTCCCATTGGACTACCAATTTGTTAGCATAAACTCCTGGCGCGCCATGGTTCGTTTGAAATTACCGAAATCCATAATCTGACCTGTCGGTTGACCTTGCGCATCGATGGCAATGATCTCTGGTTGGTTTTCCGCAACGTTGGAAAATTTGTCTGGGGAAGTATATCAATTGATGGTCCATGAATGCGGGGAACAAGGTAAAGTAACGAACCGGCAAGAATGAAGGTGTTGTACGTCGGTCGCTCCTCCAATGGATCCATTTTCGTTCGCCATAACCGCTGCGCCTTGGCAAACTGGTTGGCTAGCTTAACAAGTCCGCCATGACGATCATCATCTTCAGCATAAATAACAATATCCGACATCGCAGCCAGCTTGGCAGTTTGTATTTGGAAATTGCGGACGGAGAATCCCTCGGGAGGATCAGCCATCAAGAAGTGGGACGAAGGTGCCAGCACCTCATGGGCGCTTACTGCGCCCTTGATGCGTGCCTTGCTCAAGTCACCTCCAAGCTTTACCACGGTGAGTCCTCGCCAGCATTTTGGAGTGTGGCGAGCATGGCGCTTGCGACTTGAAAAGAATCCTAGCTGCAGCTGGTTGTCTCGATGTAGTCCATGGAGCCAAGGAAACATCAGAGATGCGTCGGGTAAAGGTTGTGATGCTTGGTGAGCGATCGCAGCTGCTAACTTGGCTCCATCGATGGCGTACACAGCGGGGGATGACGGTCGTCCAATGCGCATTTTCTCATCTGGAGGAGACAATAGCGAGGAAGGCTGATGGCTGGGCCGGGACACGGAAGTAGGCTGAGACGTTGGAATAGGGCCGGTGGGGCATACTGGAATATGTTTGTTCGGGATAGGACTTGATCGTCGGTTTATGGTCAAGGCTGGGGGGATAGGAGAGGGAGGAGGGGTCGAGTGGTGCAGCGCCTGCTGCTGAACTACCACAGTGGCCATGGCGACTGACAAAACGCGTGGTTCTAAAAGTAGGTGTAATATCTGTGATGGATATGGTAATGTCACTTGCAATTGCAACACTTTTGAGAGTTGAATCAAATGACGGTTACATCCTTTGCAGTTGAGATGTGGTGAAGAGTACCGAAAGCAATGGCAACCTGACTCTCGAGTGATCGCAAAGACAACTATGCGGCAGTTGTTAGCAGAATTTCCTTAAGCGCGTCACAAGTGTGGGCCAGTGTAGTGAACTTGAATAGTTGCGAGACATAGAAAGTAAATAAGGAGGATCCGAGTTCAGGGGGGAGGGGGGAATCATACAATACCAGCGGAGACAAGGCAAGGGGTGAAGAATGAAGAGATAAAGCCAAGTTAGGCGACAGGGAGAGACTTGAGATAAAAGAAGAAATGCATGTAAAAGGACAAGGAGAGAGAAGGGAAGTGAGGTGGAGAGCAATTGAAGGAGGGGGGACGATAACGTGGGACAAGATCTGACAGCGAGTGTACATGTACATTGTACAATATGTACCTAAGTGAATTCTATTGTTTATAATATGTATACATTTTGTAACATTACATGTATGCATTTTACTGGATCTCATCATCATCACTTCAATGTTATCATCATCGTCATGGTCCCCCCAGATTGGACCCCTCTAATTCCACTGTATCCACACGCTCCACCACCGCGGGTCTGGATATTATCCGCGTAACCTTCTATAATCTGATGTATGATGTTCATGATGTTTACATCACAGATTCTGAGTGGCATTTCTCCCCTCTTAAGGACAGGGATTCTGACCACTTTTCTCTCGCGCATAACTGCCCCTAAAAACTTACTAGACCTTAAAAAAAGTGACCATGGACCACTAACATTTAATGTGGCCAATCATTCAATAGGGCAGGCACCGATGACGATGAGATTTCCTGATATCGCTCTCGGCCCAGCTTGCCTTGTCTGTGCGTCTGGGGAGGGGTTTTGACTAACGCCCCTTCTCCACCTCTCCTTGACGCCTTGAATCCCAGCAATTTGCGGAACAAAGAACTTATCACCCCGCTCGAGAGTGTATCAGGATCCACATTGGATGAGACAGCCCTGCCAGCCGGAGGTCGAGTCATTTTGTATCCATGGGAACAAAAAGTCAATTTCTCAATAATACGGGAAATCCATGCGTGAAAGGTTGTAGGATATCATAACGTACATGTTAGCTTTATAGGTCTAAATGGCATCTGCCGTACACGGCATGGAATCCAGGATATATTACTGACAATCTCATTTTCCAACTCTGAAACATATTATTATTTTATTATATATGTTTCAGTAATGAAAAAAATCCCCCCCCAATCCACATACTACTACTTAGAGACGTCGCTTAAAAGTACATATCTTCAATGTAACCTGTACAGGTTTGAAACTAACCCCGGATCGCCACTGCGATCCACTCGAGGTGGGGGGACATCAAAACGTTAGATATAACATGCCCAATAGTAGACAGGTGCCTAATCCCGTCAATAGCCAGTCCCGAAACAACAAAATTGATCTTGTGATGAGTACCTAGGTATGCCTTAATGCAGGTGCCCAAGATTTGGACCAGGTACCTAGAACCGTCACGCCAGTGCCTAATAAGCCTATGTATCTATATGTAGGCAGGTATACCCAGGTCGCGAAGGTTTAAGGTGGCACAACAGGAATTCGGTCGTCTTATCTTTCCCCTCGCGTATCGCTGGACATTTCGACCATACAGAAAAACCCTCCCATGCAAACCCTCCTAGGTCACCCATCTCCTGCAACTCCTGAACCAATAGTCGTGGACAAAAGTGGGCTGTGTCAGGCGGAGCGCTGTCTTGATCGATTGGGCAACTTTCTGCAGATCTACCTCGATTCGCACCAGGTCTGCAGATCCCAGATATCATAGACATCATGACTACAACGAGATGCATAACCCCCTTTAGCCGGGTTGGTGAAGACTGTGTCCACAAGTTTTACTTCTCACTGGGTATAGAACATAGTTATGTAACCAGCGGGATGGTCCACGGGTATGGATATGGATATTACTAGTGGTGTGCCTGGGGTAGACGCGACCAAGTCGACCAAGTCGGCACCGGCATCTGGGGGTATGGATACTCCATACGCCAGTCGGAACGTGCAGGAACTGCATATCATCGGGCGGATTTAAAGTAGGCTGTTCCTTGTCTTGGATCTGACACCACACGTTGACTGTCACAGGCCCAGTTAGGATCTCTAGTTTACATGGCTGTTTGCTACCCAACTGGCAGGTTCCCGAGGTCATTTCACATTCTACCATTCTAGTGGAGCCACATGGTGAACCGAGTCTGGGTCTGGGCAGGAGGCTATGTATACATATTGGCTGTGGCCTGCGCCACATTCTTCAGCGTGTTTGATAACGTGGGCAAGTATAGACAGGTTGACCAACTGTCTTGACTGCTGCCTATCCGACTTAGATAGGATTGAACTGTTAAGGGAAAGTCGTTGACTAAAAGTCTGATTTCTTCAATCGGGCGGCATGAGCAACGACCTAATGAGGGTTATTTCAGTGGTCCATGCATAAGGGACCCTGTCGCACGAGGCGGGTAGCTGCCGTACCTTATTTTCCTCGCGCTTGCGAGGTAGTCCTTCCACGGTTCGGTACACGGGTCTAGATTGAAATTTTCGAGAACTGTCCAGTCTTCATTGGTGACGCGCGGCAGATTCAGTCTATGTCTAGGGAACCTGGCCAGTCCTTACATTTTCCCAGACGCTGGGCTGCGGGTGTTGAACATTGGGCATTGGTGACACCTTCTGTGTGAGCGATATGAGTGATTTGGCCAGTGAGACTGACTCTGTTACTGGCTGTGACTACATTATCCAGCCCAACTGGCGTAATTGCCTCACATGTTTTAACCAAAATTAACCTTATCAAGCTTCTCTATTCTTCACTGGACAGCTAGCCACACACCTCGAGGATGATATAGACATGAATCGTCCCTTAATATAAAGAATATACATAGAATGAAAGTGACCCATTTGTCTACTAAGGGTGTTCATTTGTTGAACAAGCTCACACTAGTCGGCATCGATATCGTCTGCCCATAATAGGTCTTTTGCTTCTCATCACGGAGATTTACGAGCCGAGGAATCCCAATACGACGACGAGGTTTATCTCGTTATCGACTTACAATCACCATTGATATCTTCCACAAACTCACTTACCACATCTAGAATATGTGTTGACCTTGGGGTGAGCTCATCTGATAGGATTCGCCCTGATTGCTGCAATGTATCCGCTATAGCACATATATGCGACTCGTGTGCCAAATTCATGATAGAAAGATATTGCTTGGAGTTGACAAAACAACGAAATGGGTGGGACTTAAGATCACAGTAGACGATCTCTACGTCACTTACGTTGGGGTGAGGACCTCGGGACACTCTCGGCCATCTTTTGGAAGGAAGCAAGGAGTTAGTGATCAAATTTTACACCTCAAGCAACTTTCAAAGATTCACGGGAATGATACCCCTTCTTATCACCCCGATCGATCGGTCCATGCGTGCAAACTAGCCAAAATCAGCCAGAGAGTGAAGTAAAAGAAAACGAACAGGCGATTGTTGATAAGATAAATCCGTAGGCGGTGGGCAATCAAGGTGTGGCCCAAGCGCAAACCTCTCTCGCTTGTGACGACCAAAGACTTCGCGGATATCATATCCTCTCTTCTCCACATCCTCGTCTTTGAAGCATCTCGCTTTGTTCTAAGCCCAAGATATGTTACGCAGTGGCCAGTGACGGGCAAAGTGTTGCTGGTGGTCCCCTCACAATCTCGCTCTGAGCGGGGTATCTCCGACCTCCGAGAGTTGCCTTGTATCAATCTCATTGATTTCATTTACAATCCTGAACCTTTCCAAAAATGGCCATGAATTTCGTGACATTTAACCAGGACTACAGCTACTTGGCTGTGGGTGAGTCTCTCCGGAACTGTTTCTTTGTGTTTATCGTTGGATGTCCACTGACCGCATTTATAGCAACATCTAAGGGATTTCAGATATTTACAACTGAACCCTTTGCCAAGAGCTATGAAGCTAAAGAGGGGAATATTGCTGTCATTGAGATGCTATTCTCAACCTCTCTTGTAGCCCTTATCTTATCACCAAGACGCTTGCAGATTCAAAACACCAAGGTATCTCGAATTTGGACTCAGTCATGTCATTATACATACTTTATATACACAGGGAACTAATGTTTGGAATAGAGACAATGCACAATATGCGAATTAACGTTTCCAACAACGGTTCTCGCAGTGAAGCTGAACCGCAAGCGCCTTGTTATTGTCCTTGAGGATCAGATCTATCTATATGATATCCAGACCATGAAGCTTTTGTCCACCATTGATACTTCACCAAACCCCAACGGTACAGAGCTCTTGCACTTGCTTTTTACCCTTGCTTTTTAAGCAGCTTTATGTCCAGTTCTGACAAATCAACAGCAATTTGTGCCCTTGCGCCGTCTTCAGAGAATTGTTACATGGCATACCCTCTTCCACAAAAAGCCCCTGCAGCCGCAAACACGCCAGCGCATGCGCCCCCTGGAACAACACATGTGTCTCCTACGACCGGGGACGTTCTAATCTTTGATGCCGTAAAGCTAGAAGCCATCAACGTCATCGAAGCCCATCGCTCCCCTCTGGCGCTCATTGCGTTGAACAGCGACGGGACTTTACTTGCTACCGCCTCAGATAAAGGAACCATCATCCGCATTTTCTCAGTTCCAGATGGCCACAAGCTGTACCAGTTCCGACGTGGCTCCATGCCGTCACGAATTTACAGCATGTCTTTCAACACCACATCCACGCTATTATGTGTCTCTTCATCCACCGAGACTGTCCACATCTTCAAGTTGACCCAGCAAGGACCATCGTCAGACGGTTATTCGTCGCATTCTCCTCCAGGTCAGGACCATGGCTCTCCGCCAAATTCCTATGGATATTCACCCGAGGAGGACGAGACGGGCGGCGATGCTGGCTCAGATTCTTCCTTGCGGAAGCACAACGGCACTTTGATGGGGATGCTTCGCCGAACCTCTCAAAACGTCGGCGGCGCAGTTGCCGCCAGAATGGGCGGATATCTTCCCAAAGGAGTTAGTGAGATGTGGGAGCCAGCGCGTGACTTTGCTTGGATCAAATTGCCGCGATCGAACCCAGGCCCTGGTGGAAACGCAGGCTCCGGGCCGTTGAGGAGTGTGGTTGCCATGAGTAGCAACACTCCCCAAGTCATGGTTGTCACTAGTGATGGCAACTTCTACGTTTTCAACATCGATCTGTCGAAAGGTGGAGAAGGGACTTTGACGAAACAATACTCGTAAGTTGCAAACTCTCCTCAAGCTAGGCGGGTTAAGTTTATTGCTAACATTTATACCACAGAGTTGTTGATTCAACCGATAGGCTAGGCTACACTACGGAGTATTGAGAGCCAAGCCCCTGGAAGATAAATCAAAGTATAAAGGGATAGTTCGGCTCTTAGGAGTTCGTTGCTCTCCCAGGGCCTCTTTTCTATTGTTTCTTTATGTTTGGCATTGGCGTTCACTGCCGCCTTCTGCCATGAATCATAGTTCTCTTTTTGAGTCTTTAGCGTCTCAATACTCTCCGGCGTTTTTAGTCAGGAGTTCCCATTTCGTATTGGCGGGTCTGCTTCATTTCATGGCTGGTTATTTATCGATATATCCGCTGCTTCCAAATCCAAGGTTTTGAATAGCCGCTATAGATTCTCATACATTTCCTTTTGGAAGTATTATACGCAGAGAAATGTTCAAATATCACAAGTTAGAGAGGATGTGTTGGATGAACTGGGAGGCTCATTTGATGATAGCCGATATGTATAAGCGCGTATGTACATAGAAAAGAAGCATAGAACCGTGGCCTTAACAGTCTAAAAATTTCGACGGAACTTCTGAGGAATATTGCCAGAGACAACTTGAATCTGCTCCAGCTTTTCGAGGGCAATAGCAGCATCCTCCTCCTCGTCATGCTTGCGGAAATGCTCAATATCCTCGGGGTGGGTCAAGTCCGCCTCCGTGGCATCGTCGCCATGGTACTTCTCAAAGTGATGGATCTCGTACTCATACTCAAGGTCACCATGGTGTCCGGGGCCGAAACCAAGATCAGGGAGCCGTTTACCCGCAGCAATGCCTGTCAGCCACTCCTCCCGGTCAATAAACCCAGTGTTTCCAAGGTCGAAAAGCGCAAACACTGTGCGCATGGCTTCCCGTTTCTTGTCTTCACTGACACCGGCATTGGATTCGTCGTTGAGGCCGTATGTCTTGCGGACTTCGTCTCGTGTCCATGTTCCCGAGGAATCGTAGTCGTGAAGGATGAAGAATGAGGCCGGGTCAAAGGATTCAATGTGGTGTTCCTCTGGATATGACAATATTAGCAACGTTAACCTCTCCATCGACGCATCAGCACTGTAACTTACCGATCATGTGTCTCGTGGCCCAATCATCTGAGGGAGCTTCATCATTTGAATGCGAGCCATGGGCGTTGGCAAGCCCGCTCAACGCAAGCAGCCCGGCGGCAAAACTGAACAGTTTAGTGACCATTGTCTATCGTAACAAAAGAGATTTGTCCAAGAAAATAAAACAGCAGATAGATTTACAGTGCTTGGACAAACATTCAATGGTGTCAGGAGATATGGGGTCTTAGCTCGTTTGCAATGTTTGCACGGATGACCCGAGCATTTGCGGAATTGCAACCTTGGAAGATTATTTTGCTGCATTGCATGTTACCCCATCTATTTCCATACCCCTACTTGCGACGGGGCTCCGGGAGGAGTCCAATTGATCAATACTAGTAGTTTGCAATATTATCTTTTGGATCAGATTGCGCGATAGCAATGCCCTGAGAATGCAGGGTTTGTGGTCCCGTGCTGTTTCGAAGCAGTCATCCTGCCGCTGTGTCGGGTGTTTGAGCACAACTGCCAACGGTGTTACTTCGCGGGCAGCAACCTCTAGTAAGAGACGCCTTCGAATTGGAAACTCCGTTACCGCACTTTACGGCAGCATTTTCGCCGCTGCTGCTATTGCCGATGCGAGCGTGAAGGATCGCCGCCGACATGACTGGGAGGAAAAGATTGCCGCAGTCAAGGCCGAAGTGAGCGAGCTGGTGGATGAAGAGGAGCGCATTCTGGCGTCATTACAATCACGAAGAGAAAACCGAGGACTCAATCGCCTAATACAAGCGAATGGATTCGGCACTGTTGCTCGCTTCCCTCCCGGAATTCAATACCCAACCAGCTTCAACCGAATAAGGGCCTTCCACACAGAAAGAACACAGTTGAATGCGGTCGGGGCTCGGATGGTGGAAAATCAACCAGCTGAGGAGGACGAACACACAATCGATGAGCAGGATGAGAGCGAGATCTTCCTTCCGCAGGAGACATTACCAAGTTGGGTCTTGGAGGATGATCTTCGTCTCAAGGCCATTCAGAAACTTGCCTTAAGGCAATTCGCTATCCGGATTTTGTTACGACCGGCCATCGCACATCGTTACTCGGGCGTTTCAATGAACTACGCAGCGGATTTCGAGACTCCCCAGGTAAACGTCTCGCAGCTCCTGGAGGAGCTGAATCATCTTCGCCATCGAATGAATACCTTGAAAACGAGCAGACACGCCACATACAGTGATATCACGCAGGACTATGCCGCGAGTCAATTGGGCGAGATGCAAAGAGAGCGTGAGACCCTTGATGCCGAACTCACCAACGACATCAAAATCTATACGAGCCAGCAGATGTCTCTTCAGGAACTGCTTCTGCGGATATCTAACAACATCTTGAGCTCGAGGGACCCAGATCGACCAACAGCTTTCCGGCTCATGATCATGGCATTTGGCCAGACCCGCCAAAATGACCTGGTCGAGCTGCTTCTGCGGACATTATTACCGAACCGTTTCTTCCTCAACCCTTCGCTCGTGATCACAATCATCACTTTCTTCAGAAAATCGAAAAATCTTAAGGATTTCGATTTGTTCTTGAAAATGCTCGGCGGAGAAGGCTACTCCGTCAACCTAGGGAGCAGGGGGGTTTATAAGCACCGAACGGTCAATGGTATGGATCTCATCGTTCCATCTTTAAACAGCAGCAATCCAGTCATCTATGCCGCCTTGATAGGCGCCGCATTACGTTTCGACCAGCCCGATCGAGCCGACGCTTGGCTTCAAGCTGCACGGGGTGGGGGTTTCTTTGATAGTTGGGAAACCCTGTTCACCTATCTGCGGTTCTACAGCCTCCGACGGGACTGGGATAAGGGTGTGAACGTTTTGAAACGAGCCGTCACCTACCTCTTGTCATCAACGGACCACCGTCTCGATTCAGTCGAGAGATTGCTTGGGCGAATGGTCGGCCTCTGCGACTCCTGTGACAGACTAGATGCATCGGATGCATTGGTGAGAGCTGCCGTGCACAGTGGCTTTGATCCAAGACTTTTATCACGACAGTCGGACTCGGGACCTTTCGTCCATGCTGATCCCAAGCGGTGGTCTAAGGCTGCTAAGCAAACACCAAGGGAGAACATTGACCGCCCCTTGTGGCAGAAGTGCTATGACTTTGGAAACACCTTCGGGGAATATCTGAGCCAAATTGAGGTGCCGGCGGAGGATACATTCGTCCGACGCAATGCCAAATTGGCCGATCAGCATGCAGATAATGCTCTTTTCACCGCCCTTGGGCGTGGCCGAACGCCTGCCTCCCGGCAGGGACAAACACCTGCTGGCAACACGGTAAATGAGGACATTTCCACGCTTAAGGGCGAGGTTGCCCAACTCCGCGAACTTATATATGAGCTTCGCAAACACCACATCTCAGATCCCTCCACAAAAGATTCCTCCTGCACTCCGACCAGCGAAGAAACTCTCCCTCCATCCGCCGAAACCATCACAACTCTCAAGAACTCGCAATCCCCAAACCCCCCATCAAGTCGTAATTTCACCAGAACTTCGACTAGGATCAGCCTCGCCAGATCTCAAACATCATCCTCATCTCCACGGAAACCAAGCAAGCGAAACAGGCGGCGAGAAACCAGCGCAGATCAACCATCAGTTGAAAGCGCAGCTCCTGTTGCTGAGCCCGCATTATTTGCCAGTTGAGATGTCGATTCCCGCCGTCCCCTAAATCTTGGACATTGACTGTCCGTGTCCGGATTGAAGACGGAGGAGAATTTCTTGTATATTAAATGACTATATTTGTTTCCAATAGAGCATACATGAACACCCTGGGCAAGCAGCCTTGAATGTATTAACCAGCCCCAGGCGTTGGTGGTGTATACAATTGATTTCTTGAAGAACATTTCATGGTTTCGTTCCTGTAGACCAGGCCTAAGCCTGTCGAGTATATTGAATTTTTAGATATTTCATCGGAATTTTGATACAGTCTCTCAATTGGCAGGTCTTGATAGACCGGTCGAAGGTAACGGCCAAAAAGGATTATCCGGGGAGTGAGTATGGTATGGCATATAAGAGCAGGAAAGCAAAAGTTCTATTCAAAATATGGACATCGTGATGAGAAGGAAGCAGTGCGACAAACAAGCGTATCGTGCGTAAATTTTAGGCTGAACAGAAACAAATGGTCTATTCTATCGATGCTTCTCGGAGCGCATCTTCTCCTTGCGAGCGAGACGATCAGCGGCCCGAGTAAGGGCAGAGCGGATGTCACCCTTGGGGAAGCTGCTGATATCGTAGTATGTAGGGGCGATATCCTGAAAGATAGTTAGTAAAATGTATCGTGAAAACAAGAGAGGAATGGGGAACATACCAAAAGCCATTCTGGCTTGACCGCGGTGACAGTACGGATGTAGTTCTTGGTTGTGAGAACGAATTCGTTATACAAGACCCACTCGGCCTCGTGAGCCAAGACGGTGGACGGGTGCAAGAGCACATTCTGGTTGTCCTTGATGGTAAGGTATTGACTCTTGCCACCTGTGTCCTTCTTCGCGACTTGCATGAAGAAACCAGCGCAAAGGGCACGGCGGATGTTCTCATAGTACTTCTTGTCCTCGAAGTCGGTGGAAATCATCTCGAGATCCTGGCGTTCCATGATGCGGAGCAGCTGGGAGCGGACGTTATCAGCGGACTGGAGAGCCCGCTGGGAGAGGAAGTGGTCGTGGCACCACTGCTTGGCGTTTGCCTGGGCGTCACTGCTTCGGTATGCGTGGTAGACGTTCAGCATTGTCAAGTGGTCTCCGTCGGGGTGGGCAAACAAGTTCTTCATCTCGTCGGCACGCTTGCGCTGGGCAGCAGGACGAAGGAAGACCTGCGGCACAGACAGAAGGGCGGTGATGGAAAGGATTTCATTAGAGCAGTAGAATTCGGGAGAGCTGATCAACATAACAGCAAGGGCGGGATCGAGAGGGAAGTCGGAGGCCAGACGACCCAGCTGAGTAAGGTTTCCATCATCGTCCAGACAGGCCAAATAGTTCAGTTCTTCCAATGCTCTCATCAGAGTCTCTGGCGCAGGCGGGTCCATCAAATCGAAGTGCACGAGATCATCAACACCAAGCTTCTTCAGTTCGAGCACTGTTGATGACAAGTTTGACCGGAGGATCTCAGGGTAAGTTGACTCAATCAATTCCTTCTTGAATGCGCCCTCAGTGTAAAGGCGGAAGCACTTTCCGGGACGTGTACGACCGGCACGACCAGCTCGCTGCTGCGCGGAGGCCTTGGAGATGGGGGAAACGAGGAGTGACTCGACACGAATGCGGGGGTTGTAAATCTTTTGCTTGGAGAATCCGGGATCCACGACGTACACGATACCATCGATGGTTAGAGATGTTTCGGCGATGTTGGTCGACACGATGACCTTGCGCCCGGGGCGGCCGCCTGGTCGGCGAGGAGGTGGTGCAGGGTCGAAGATGCGCTGTTGCATGTGAGGAGGAAGACTACCGTACAAAGGGTAGACCTTGATAGGACCAGCGTCGGCCTCGCGAACCATCTCATCTGCCTCGAGCGCGATTTTCCGCGAAGCATCCTCAATCTCTTCCTCACCAGTCAAGAAAAGAAGAATATCTCCCTCACCTTCGGTGGCGTGGATTTGCAGCACAGTCCGAACTGCGGCCTCGACGTAATCTTGCTCGGGTTCGGGGGTGTAGAAGATCTCGACAGGGTGAGTACGACCGGGGACTGCGAGAAGGGGCGCATCCATGAAGTAGCGCTGGAACTTTTGCGCATCCAAAGTAGCCGACATGATAATAATCTTCAAGTCAGGCCGACGCACCACAACTTCCTTCAACAGACCCATCAGGATATCTGTTGCCATAGTTCTCTCGTGAGCCTCGTCAAGCATGATTGTGCTGTAACGCGACAGGTTGGGGTCGTTCATAGCCTCGCGAAGAAGCATACCATCAGTCATGTACTTCATGATGGTCTTCGGGCCGGTCATATCTTCGAAACGGATACTGTAACCAACTTCCTCTCCAAGCTTGACATCCATCTCAGCCGCCACACGTTGGGCGACCGACATGGCAGCCACTCGTCGGGGCTGTGTACAAGCGACCATTTTGCCCTGAGTTTGGGGAAGATCATCGTAGAGGACGAATTGCGGGATCTGCGTAGTCTTTCCGGAACCAGTCTCACCAACGAAGACAAGAATCTGGGATTGTTGGTAGAGTTGCAGGAACTCATCACTGAAAAAAAAAAAGTGGTCAGTACATCTTTATTCCACAGCGGCTGTCGGGCAGCACTCACCGTTGCGTATGGACGGGCAAATCGCGACGGGTCTTCAGGATTGAGAAGTATTTGCTGGAAAAAGGTCGGCCACTGAAAGGGTTGATATCGCCATCCTCGACCTTTTTTGCCATCGCTGCGGTTGTCTGGTGTCGCTTGAACTTGGCCAGGGCCGTATTGTCGGAGCCATTGCCGTTCTCATACATGTGAGCGAGGTAGGGGTTGTTCTTTGGGTCTCCAGCGTCCATCTTCTGGCGCTTCGCTCGCGCACCACCTTCGGAGTCAGATCGGTTATCAGCCATGGTGGAGGTGAAATGGGAGAGAGTGTTGAAGGGCAAACTCGGCGGAGAGAAGATGCTGAGATACCGAAGAAAAAAAATATGAGATAGGAAAGCCGGCCGAGCGCCACAGCTGCCTATCAGGCTCACCGCCAATCTATTCTGCCGCTCTCCACAAAGGGATCGATAATCTTCGAGCTTGTTGACGCCCTGTGTGTTTTTGCCTGGACTTTTCTGCGCCAGTTCGTCTGATGCCCGTGGCTTCTTCGGATAGGACTGCCTGATACCAAGTTTATTAGCTCCTCTGTTGCCCATAACAAGTCTTTATCCCTAGTTCCAGACCACCCCGCCATTGCGCCAGACTTCTCCGTCAATATGGAGAGCTATAATCCTTCAGAGGATCCAGGGCCAGCTTTCTGCATTGGGCACCATGAACATAACAGACTGGTTACTGTGACCCCTCGGGTCATCCAAAACGTACATGAGAGTAATGTTGGTTCTTTCTCTCACCTGTAACATTACCTTGATAAATGCTAACTTGATTCAATAGTATGATATGATGACTGTCCCGATCACCACATCCCATTTCCACTCTCGGGTTCTTGGTCTATTGTCTTCTTATTTGGCCAATCTGCAATCCCCAACTTACGATGTTGTGGGAACCATGGCTACTACCCAAAACACTCGGCCTATGGTGGTTCCGCCGCTCTCGAAGGCAGACTCGTATCTCACCCCGAATGATGCAACCAGTCAATTGGTTGGTGTGATCAGTAGCTGGATTGATCTATGCTCACCCGACCCGTTGATTGCGGACTTGTCCCGGCAAGTTCTGATGTTGGAAGTTGCGTATGCTGCGTTTTGCGGAATTGGATATCTTTTGATTCCTGGCCCCAAGTTGCATCACGGTGCCTTGCATTCTGAGGGTGTTATTTATTATGCGCGCGCGATTCAAGATGCTTTAGACCTCGGTCCCTACATCCAATTTCATATTTGGCAGCAAATGGTTGATAATCCAGAGGTTGAAGTTGATACAATGGGCGACTTGGCCCCGCTTGCTCGGGCAGAATACCTTGCGCCGGATGAGGGAGAGCCACTCAAGGTTGATCCGTTTGGAAGCTGGGATGCTTGGGATTCAATTAGAAAGACTTGCAAATACCACACAAGACTGTTCGTTGGTATGAGCTAACCCTCCTTTCAATGGCCCATCGCCATCATAATATCTTGAAGTAAAGCTAATCTGAACCACAGCCCTTTCTTTGCCGAAACTACTTCCGTCTCTGTTTGTGCAGTCCCGATGGCATTCGGAGCCAGTGCGTTTACTGACGATTGATGGCTCGACTTTCCTCAAGAATCAGAAAGGATACCCAGTATTGTCCAAGTCACACCAAGGTTTTATTGCGAAGATGATGCGTCTTCGAACCGCCCCGTGGATTATCCTTTGTGGCGTTGGCCCTATTCCTGGACTTGAAAATATCGAAGACCCTGATACCAACCAGGCCTCCCTATCTGGGTCTGACTATCCAAGTCTGTCACAGGCTGGAAAGAAGCACTACGACCCCACTCCACACCTCTCATATATTCGTAATCTGCAGCAGCGCCAGCCCCCGCGGACAGCGATTGAGAGGTTCGGTGTGGGATACCAGGACTATCTGCAGGCACCTCTACAGCCGCTCACAGTCAATTTGGAGAGTATCACATATGAAGTATTTGAAAAGGACCCCATCAAATACGAGTGGTATGAGAAGGCAATCTGCAAAGCATTGAGAGACTGGGCCGACCAGAAGAAGGCCACGTCTCACCCGGACGGAAAAGTGATTCTCGCAGTTGTGGGAGCTGGTCGCGGCCCGCTAGTCACTCGCGCACTGAAGGCTAGCGCAGACGCTGGAGTGGAGATTGATCTCTGGGCCGTGGAGAAGAACCAGAACGCGTTTGTATTGCTACAGCGACACAACGACACAATCTGGGGTGGTAAGGTCACCCTGGTCCAGTCAGACATGCGAAGCTGGAAAGGACCTCTAGTCCGACAACAGCCGACTACGGCTGCTACGGGCCCTGTGGGCGAATCCCTTGGCATTGCGAGCTCGTTACTTGAGTCAAAGAAGGGCCAGCATGATCTAGGTCGGCCATCTGAAATTTCCGAACACCAGGGTTCGGCTATGTGCCACACCCATGTTGATATCATTGTCTCGGAGCTTTTGGGCTCCTTTGCGGACAATGAGCTTTCTCCAGAATGTCTGGATGGTGTGAACGACGTGATCAACCCCGTCCACGGCATTTCCATTCCAGCCTCATATTCGGCCCATTTCACTCCAGTTTCCGCTCCCAAATTGCACGCCGATGTTGTGCACCAGACGGTGTCCAACCCAGCTGCCCCGGAGACCCCATATGTCGTGATGCTTCACGCCATTGACTTCCTCTCCACCACGGATACGCCTGCCAGTGGTGAAAGCTCCAACCCCAACAATGGAAATGGAAACCGGGCATCCACGCCGTCGTCGTCATTCTCCACGACTGAATTCCCTACTCCCTTTGTGCAGACTGCCTGGTCTTTCTCTCACCCGAACCGACATATTCCTCCTCAGTCACCCATGCAGTCGACTATTTCGAACGCCCACAATGTGCGCCAAACACGTCTAGCCTTCCCTTCCCAAAACCGAGGTGTGTGCCACGGTCTGGCCGGCTACTTTGAAACGGTGCTCTACGGTGATGTGGAGTTGTCTACCAACCCAGTAACCATGGATGCGAAGAGCGCAAGCATGATCAGCTGGTTCCCTATCTACTTCCCCTTGAAGGTTAGTTTTCGGAAATATCCACCTTAATCTCTCGCTTTTTTTCCCTTTCCATCTTACTGACATTCGTTTCCAGACCCCTCTTAGTGTTCCGGAAAACGGTGAGATCGTCGCCACGATGTACCGTCAAACCGATGACCGCAAGGTCTGGTATGAATGGATGGTTGAGGTGTATGCCCTTGAACCTACTGCGGTATCCACCAAACCCACTCCTGTGAGCTATGCACAGGCTGGGTCTCCCAGCGTGGAAAGCCTGAAAACCAAGGAAAATGGCGCAAAGAAGACCCACCGTACTGGATATCGCCGAGTGCGAGTGGGGATGAGTGATTTGCACTCTAGCATCAAGGACGGCTGCCTAATGTGAAATTTATAAGCCGGAGTCGAATAAAAGTTGTTCGAGCCATGAGCTCTAGTATTGTTAATGATGATAGCAAAAGACTAAATGATTATTGCTAGTCAGACAGAGCCCTGGAGATTGGGAATAAGGCAGTTGAATTCTGCCAAATCTGATCACGCGAACTGGCGCCAAGAGATTCTAACCCGATGCGGTCCAATGGCAGCCCTACGTAGTCAGTTCCTGGCTTGTCCCGAGGTCTTGCCAAGTAACCCTACCACCCACACGTGGCAGGGCCTTTTGCCAAGGACCGGATTTCGCAAAATATTTCGCCAAGTTCGGGCCGAGCAGGTCAAGCTTCTGGCGATCTATATACTATTTTCATGTGATCGGGATAAACCATCCGCTGTTTTATTGTGTGGAGTACTCCGTACTCGGAGTACACACGACCTCGGGTCCACGGGTTCTATCTTGGCTTACTTTCCGGGCTGACCGGAATGAGATTATTCCCCGGCTCCACCAAAGTCCCCGGTTTATAGCCAGGAACGATTGGAGCACATATCCATGTTCCGGTGCCATAACCCCGGATGTGATCTATACTTCGCCGATCATTATATGAATCTGGAATATCCCCCGTGAGCTGAACTGAGCTGGGCTGTGCCGAATTCCCTCATCACAGGGAATATCGGATTTTATTGTATGCCGTGGTTCCTTGGTTCCCCCGACGCAAAAATGGCTTGCGTAAAAATGGCTATCGCAATTGTGGGACCATTTAGGAACCATACTATGGATCTGCTCGTTGCAATTGAACATATAAAGCTATGGGTTCCTCCGGTCTGTGGTGTCTTCAGTCTCGATCAGATACCAGCATTGACCCCAAGCCATCATGCGTTTCTCTCTATTCACAGCCCTATCCGCAGTGGCTTCGTTGGGTCATGCCCTCCCCGGTAAACTGCAGTCTCGAGGTACTATCCCACACTTTGCTCGGTACACATTGGCCACATTGCTCACACCTGGTTAGATGTCTCGACCAGCGAACTGGACCAGTTCGACTTCTGGGTCCAGTATGCCGCGGCGACATACTATGACAATAACTACGAGGCTAAAGTGGGCGACAAGATCAGCTGTTCGAAAGGCAACTGCCCCGAAGTGGAGGCAACCGGTTCGACTGTGTTCTATGACTTCTCCGAGTAAGCGACACTCCCCAAATAAAATGCCTGAGACAATATACTTACCCATGCACAGCTCCACAATCACAGATACCGCCGGCTTCATCACTGTAGACCACACCAACTCGGCAGTTGTTCTCGCCTTCCGTGGTTCCTACTCAGTGCGCAACTGGGTCGCCGATGCCACATTCGTGCACACAAACCCTGGTCTCTGTGATGGATGCCTCGCCGAACTCGGCTTCTGGGGCTCCTGGAAGCTAGTCCGCGACGATATCATTGAGCAGCTGAAGGACGCTGTCTCCCAAAACCCCGGCTATGACCTGGTCGTGGTGGGCCACAGTCTCGGTGCTGCTATTGCAACTCTTGCTGCCACTGATCTCCGGGGCAAAGGCTACCCGGAGGCTAAGCTGTACGCGTATGCCTCGCCTCGCGTGGCGAACGCGGCTTTGGCCAAGTACATCACCGCGCAGGGGAACAACTACCGCTTCACTCACACCAATGACCCCGTCCCTAAGCTGCCGTTGTTGTCCATGGGCTATGTTCACGTCAGTCCTGAGTATTGGATCACATCGCCTAACAATGCTACTGTCAGTACCACTGATATCAAGGTTATTGAGGGAGATGTCTCCTTTGACGGAAACACTGGAACTGGTCTGCCGTTGCTCACGGACTTTGAGGCGCATGTCTGGTATTTTGTGCACGTTGATGATGGAAAGGGCGATGGGCTGCCATTCAAGAGGGTTTAATTTTGATCAAGTCCCCTCGATTTTTGTTTGATAGATTCTAGAATAGCTGGGTCGCTGATGTTGATATGTTTAATATGTTTAAAGAATAATGACAAATATACAATTTCCGAGTTATGCAGGGCAATTGGGTAGAATGTACTCCGTAGGAGTTGTGATTAAATTGTGCCGTAGACCGAGGTAAGGGGCTGAAAAAAAGTACAAAAGTACCAAGTTTGATCCTTCAAAACACAACCAAGCACTAAAGCTTGCACGATAAGCAATTCCGTCATTTCTGGGCCCCAGGAGATATCCAGTCGGAGATCCGTCGGGTTTAGACCAAAATGACCAAATCGGGCGATCTTAGTAGTTTCTGGCCTTCCCGTTTGATACTAGCAATGTAAAGTGGATATCCCCAGCCGAGCGGGGTTATCGGGAATTTATGGTATAAGATACGACTTGGACCTTCGCTTTGATTGGGGATGTCCACTCAAAATGGTGCTGTATAAAAAGTTTTTGTTGGCAGTGCTGGCGCACTATGCCACGGCACAATTTGTGCCCGCGCCCACGGACTTGATCACCAAGAAAGGACATGCCGGCATCGATGTTCGATATAAGGAAGTGCCTGCTGGGATTTGTGAACAAGATCCCAATGTGAAGAGTTATTCTGGTTACGCCGATGTTGGCGAGAACGAGCATATTTTCTGGTGAGCATTCCCGATAGAGACGAGCCCTAGGCAGCGACTGATTAGCACAGGTGGTTCTTTGAGGCTAGAAATGGAGACCCTAAAGATGTATGTTCTGACGGCATTTGAGAATTTATTTACAATACTGACAATCAGTAAGGCACCACTTACGGTCTGGATCAATGGAGGGCCGGGATCATCTTCAATGATTGGGTTATTCCAGGAATTAGGGCCCTGCGGAGTTGATCAAGACGGAAATGCATTCAACAACCCTTATTCTTGGAGCAACGTGAGCAATATGGTAAGTTTGCATTCCTTTGTTTGCCGTGACTCTAGCTCAACTGTCGTCAGATTTTCATCGACCAGCCTGCCACGGTTGGATTATCATATACAACCCCCATTCCAGCGTACGAGGATAGCGATGGCAATATTGTCCAGTTGCCCAGCGAGGAGTGCCCCGATTACGCCCAGGAACTGGGGACATGCGGCACATACTCCAAACCAGATATTGCCCTGGTCCCCAATACAACCGCCAATGCGGCCCCGAATATGTGGAAGACACTCCAAGGGTTCATGGGGGCTTTCCCGCAGTACTCGAGAAATGGCTTCAACTTCGCCACTGAGAGCTACGGTGGACATTATGGCCCAGTGTTCAACGGTAAAGACCCCAAGCGCTCCTGGATGCAACTGGCACTAACTTCAGAGCAGAGTACTTTGTTAAACAGAACGCCAAAAAGCCCCACGGCTCGATCCAGATCGATCTTGAGAACGTCCTTATTGGAAATGGCTGGTTCGATCCGCTGATTCAATACCAGGCGTACTATAACTTCTCCGTCTTCCCCGGAAACACATACGACTTCAACCCATACAACGAGTCTGTTCAGGCCGAATGGTACAATAACCTTTACGGAGAAGGCAACTGCGTCGATCGGACACGGGAATGCTACAAGACCGGTCGAAATGATGTCTGCTCTGCGGCGGACAACTTCTGCGCTTCGAAGGTTGAGTCGATGTTTGACACCTACTCTGGGCGCGACGAATATGATATGCGAGAGTTGACACCGGATCCGTTCCCGTACGAATTCTACGTCGATTATCTTAACAGCCCTAAGGTTCAAGCCGCTATTGGAGCATACCAGAATTTCTCAGAGTCCTCCGGGACTGTGAGCAATGCCTTTGGAAGCACAGGCGACGACGACCGCGAGTCCGGGACGATTGAGAGTGTGAAGAAGTTGCTGGAAGCTGGTATACAGGTTCTGCTGTATTTCGGAGATGCGTAAGACCTCCCATGCCATGTGATGACTAAATTGTGCTAATTCAAAATCTAGCGACTACAACTGCAATTGGCTCGGTGGACAAGTTATTGCCGAGGAGATCAATGCCCCAGGGTACAACCACGCAGGCTTTGTGAACATAACCACTTCGGATGGCGTTGTTCATGGACAAGTCCGTCAGAGTAACTTGTTTAGCTTTGTGCGGATTTACGAGTCCGGTCACGAAGTACCTTTCTACCAGCCGTTGGCTGCGTTGGAGATGTTCGAGCGAGTGGTTTCGAGAAAGGACATTGCGACGGGCAAGAAACATCTGACGCCACATGGCGGTTATCTGACCCATGGAACCCCGACTAGCGACTACCGAGAGGGCAATAGCACAGTGGTTTTGAAAGTGCTTGATAGCAATACGACCTACAACACAACTCTCAATGGACCGAACCCATCTAGCTCGGCTTCGGTCAGATTGCGCAGACAGGGCCACTGAGCAGTGAAAGTGATCGAGAAACAGAATATGTACGACTAGTCTACTGAGTGAAGGGGATTATTATTACGTCTAGTGTGCTTGTGATTCAACTGTGTTTGTTTGTGAAATGGGTTTCATTTGAAAGATTCAATTAGAAGACAAATGGTATGGTCAAGCCATCCTTTCCATGTCCGAGCACATTGATGCCGCAGTAAAACAATCCCAGATTCAATTCCTCCATTTGATTCATTTGATTCATTCCATTCTCTCCCTTGGGAAGGTTCAGTGTAAGGCGGCGTGATGTGATGACACAAGTAGTGATCTACTCGGTCTGGTCGGCGGGGTCGGCAGGCTCGGTGTCGTTGGTCTCCTCAGCCTGAGTGGACTCCTCAGCAGGCTCCTCAGCAGGCTTAGAGGTAGCCTTAGTGGCGGTCTTGCGACGACGCTTGGGAGGCGAGGCGTTCTTCTTGGTCGATGCGTCTTTGGCCGCGCCACGCTTGGTACCAGAACGGGTCTTCTTGGATGGACCAGCGTCGGTGTCCTCAGACTTGGAAAGGGCAGCCTCGACAGGAGACTGGGATTTTCCATCAAGAATTTTCTCAAGGTGGTGCTTGGCGCGCCAGTAGTTGGTGTTAGCGGAAGTCTTCTTCATACCAGCGAGAGCGGCAAGCTTCTCGCTGTCGATCTATGAATTGAATATTAATTAGAAGACTACGAAGCTATGGGGTGCGACTGTATACTGACTTTGCCATCGTGGCACAGGGTGCTATAGATGAGCAGTCTCACATCAGCCATTTTGAGCTCAGAGAGCTTGGCATCCAGCTTGATAGGAGAAGACATGTTGTTTGAGTTATCGATTAGATATGTGAGCGGTGAGTCCCGAAATCCGTGATGATGATGGAACAGGTAGAAGATGGAGAAGAGTGACCAAGGAACAAACAACAAAGTGAGAGAAGAACGAGGCAGGGGGTCAGGCAACGAATATCGATGAACAAATTCAAAATAGGAAAGCGCGAGACGTGACGTGCGACCCGCGAGAAGGTGCCTTCAATATTTTCGACTTCAGTTCCAATGCGTTCCCATACCTGCTAGTCTTGTATCATGGCTTTCTTTTTCTCACATAATTATATACATATTCTTGGACTCTACCTGGGCAGGGCATAATCTGGCTTGATTTTTGAACCTTAAGGTGTGATATGAATCCATGCACACTTTACAACTTCAGGACTAAGACCAGGAGGTACACCTGCCATCTTATATAAGATCGTAATACATCACCTATTATATGGTGTTTATAGGCTGCATCATAAAATTAGGGTTGCGGTCCCACGTGAATTGGAATTATACGCAAAAGCCACCCACAGGTGAAAATGTGTACGTAGACCTCGGGGATAATAATCTGCTTACTTTGAACTCCTTATCTGCAAGGATTCTCCAATTGTGATTATTTGGTAAATCACAATTCCGAGGTTGTGTCTCGTTGCATACATAAAGAGTTGGTTTCATATGAGCTCCTAGCAAGGAAGCAATCCCATTTGCCCAGCTTGCAGTATATCTTGTGCCTAAACTCGACGATGTAGCTAATTATTCGGTATGTTTGATCTGGTTGATCAATTCATAATTTCCGATGGTGATGGTGATCCTGTTTGGTGTGGCTGTGCCCGCTACTGATGCGCCCCTACAAGCTTGAGCCACATCAGCCTCGGCACCAGATATATAAACCCCTAGTTCCCTCCGCTCCTTGTTCGTATCTGACATATTTTCGAGTCATCGCATGCGAAAGATTCTAGATTTCTGAACACGTATGTGTCAGCCTAAGAGATCTCGCTAGTCTGGCCAACCTGCTCGTTGTAGCCATTCTCCCCCTTCGAAATGTGCCCAATATGGGACTCGGTCAAGAGAAAGGATTGACCCCTCACGGCTTTCACTAGTTGGTGATTATAATCATCTTCTAGAGCATTGCACGCTTATTTGTTTTGCCTCATTATAGATTATTGAAAACCTCCACATTCTCCAGCCTGAAACATCCCATGTTTATGAGGCTCTGGGAAAAAGTCGGGAGTATTGGTATCACCTCACATCACTAGCCGATGCCTATCGGAATTATGGCTTGAATCCAGAGTACGCAAACCCCCGCCACACTCTTCTTAAGATCCCAAAACTCCATGGACGGCCCAAAACAACCCATGCCCGCCCTTCTGGAGTTTCTCCGTCTTTCGTTCTTTGCATGCAAGCCTCTTCGACTTGGAGATTATTAGGAAGTTCGGACTGTGACACGATTGAAAAAAAAGGACAGTCCATGCTCTACTCAAAATTGGCACCAGTGTTGCTATCCCGTATAGTTTTCATGGGAATGTCTTCAATTCTTGGATTGGCACAACGGAAGAAAAGCACACCGGCCCTAACTACTTAGGGATTCTTACAATTGGATGGTGATATATACTCTCTGCGCGGCTTGTTGAAGTACAAGGGGAGGCTGCTAATATGCAATATACAACATCTGAGGTCAATCACCGCGAGAACCTCTGCGATCTCCCAAATGCTCCTATCATCGATATTGGGGAAGTGTATGAAAATGTAATACGGTGGTGGTATGCGATACTAGCTCAACATGAAGATGGAAAGCCATTGTCAAACGACCCCGCGGCGACGAATTTCTCGCCCCCTGGCCCGTGTCTCGCATATGTGAGACACGTTTCACCATCAACTAGAAGATCGGTTCGCCAACTTTTGTATATACAACTTTATCCTCAGACGAAGCATTTGATGCTCTGGCCAAGTTTGCGCTATTGCATAACCTGGGTAGCCAATTCCCTATTGCTCTTATGACAGCCATAACGCTCCCGACGCATCAATACCATGGCTCGACTGTCCAACTGCCATTTCCAAGAACAACGGGTGGTAAACAGCCCACGACTCCAATGGATGCCATTCCATTGAATTGGAGCAGTTGCAGGCGGCCTAGCGCCAAAAAATGATTCAAAGAACAAAAGACGGGCCTCCTATCGACGCACTTGGCTTTCCCTGGACCGGCTGTCCTCAAAGCTTCATGGATACTGCAGGTTCGGGACCATACACGCATGGAGATCCTGAATACATCTCAAGGCCAGACGTATAGCGCTTACTACACCTTCCTCAAACCGAAGATGACGATCTATTGTTTGGCACTGTGCCCCAAACCCCGTGGGCACCATGCGGCACACCCCTACCAAAGGATTGTGCGCTTCGAGTCACTTCACACTTGAAATGCAGTCGACATGAGTACCAATACCACCATTGGAATTGGGACTTGGAAGAAGGTCGGATTATCGAGTAAAGCTTCATTGTATATCTTCCTCTGGTTGAGCATCAACGGGGAGGGTAAACCCTCGGAGACTATATATCAAGATGAATGGCTCGAAGGCATTCGGGAGGAAGATGAAGGTGGCTGGGCAGAAGATGAGGCTGATGATCGAGACTCGAAAGGGCTTGATGGTCAACTTGAAGATCGAGTGAAAGCCTGGCTCAATTCAATCGGCTGAAGTTTGTAGTTTGTCAAATATGGCCTATATTAGCCTTCGTTGAAAGTTAAAATTTATCGAACTTGAAAGACAAGATTAATATGAATAATGATAAGTTCACGAAGGCCTAACGTAAGTTTTACGTCTCCTATTCAGGATGCAATGTCAATAATAAAGACCAGAGCCAAGAGAACAACCGTTCGAGATAGATTGCACAGCAGTAACAGGGGCTATGCTAGACGGAGAATTTGCTCTATAAATTAAATGAGGAAACAGGAATTAAGCCGAAATTAACCCTGATAAGTTTATGAAACTTGATCGACGGGGTTCGCAGTCAAGTGGATAATGATTCAGATTTACACGAATAAACGTGGCCTCGTGGCGATCAAATTTTTTAGCATCCCTGCTACAACCGGTGCAATTCCTTTGCATTTTCAGGAATTTTTGACTAACTGCATGTAGACTTGATTTTTGCAAAATGATCTACAAGGCCTTGTCGGATCCTGCGGATCCTATGGAAATAAAGGCGAGGATATCACACAACACGCGATAACTGCCCAAGTGCCCAGCGCATGGGCTCGAGCCTCCTTGTTGTGCATCTTCTTTGATTCCTGTCGCCATGCATCCAGAGTTGAAAAACACCTGGACTCCTGCGGTCAATATCTTGACCTGGTTTATGCTGGTAACGGCTATTCTGAGCGTCTTGACCCGTCTGGGGACAAAATACTTCATTTTTCGGAAGTGGACATTTGACGATGCCCTTGCCACTGCTTCGATGGTGTTCTGCATTGCGCAGTCAATTGCTATCTCAAAGGCGACGGAGAATGGACTTGGGCAGCACCTTAACATGCTCTCCGATGTCAAAATTGAAAGTGTTATGAAGGTATGGATATGACACGCCTCTTTCTGAACTATTGCTAATAGGACAAATGACCAAAGGCTGAATACTCCGCAACCATTCTCTTCATCGCCAGCATTTGCTTCTCTAAACTATCGCTTTTGGTCTTCATTCGCAACTTGACACCCGCATCCTTGGATCGCCGCTTTGCGCTCGTGCTAGGAATATCGATCGGGCTGTGGACTATTACTAGCATTTTCACGGCCGCATTCCAATGCCGTGTACCGCAGACATGGAATTATCTACATGGGAGTTGTTTCAACCGAGTGAGTGGCCGGTGCATCCTTGATGACAGAAATCGCTGACTATGTCTCAGGCTGCGTGGTGGGATTATCTCTGCATCACAAATATCTTGTCAGAGGTTGGGATAATAGGCCAAGCGCTGCTGGTCATCGTACGCATCCAGACCAATCTCAGCAGAAAGGCTAGTTTGTCCAGTGTGTTCTTGGTCCGAGTCATGTACGTGTCAAACTCAGACTCCATATTGAAAGAAATCACTAACAACGATGGTACTCCTAGTGTAATTATCGCGATTATTTTCCAAATTGTTTACGCCAGTCAAACTGCCTGGGGTGATTTCACCTTTGATGCCTGGTCTGTCGCAATTTCTACTCAAGTGGCTCAAACCGTGAGCATTGTCACAGCCTGCTCTCCCCAGTTCAAGCCGTTCTTGGATAGTCTCGAGTCAACGGGAATGGGTTTGGGTATGACGAGCTCCGACAACCACGGCAGCAAACACAGGACATATGGCATCAGCACATTCAAGACATCCCGTCGCACTGCGGATACTCGAAGTGAGACTCACGAATTGGTCTCAGTGCCCCACGAAGAGACTCATCGGACTATGGTGACATCGGCTCCGGACGACGACGCCGAAAGCCAGTCCAGTCAAACTAATATAATTAGGGAGACGCGGACCTGGACGGTGACTGGAGGGTTGCCAAATTGATTAAACATTTGAAAACTGGATCAGCACATCCTTTGATCCACCCATTGTTCCAGAAAATTGCGCTTCTCCTCCTATAGACTTCCACAAATGACAATGCTCGTCAGGGTACGGAGCGGAGTATGTCCCGAAAATCCACTATAATCCACAGCAATATATTCTCCGGCGACACAGCCATACAACTACAATTAATTAATCAACTTCCACTCTGCTACTCGGAGATTTGCAAATTTAGCGTTTGGCTTCGGGGAGTAACTAGCGCTCCCGGTGGAATACAGTTTATTCTCGTTATTGTTGTCTGTCGCCCTTAGAAAATAAAGAAAATACTGGTAATATCGGTGATCCACGCCACATTATTCATGCCAATGCCGAAATTTATTAGTCCTCGTGCAACCCCTGCCATTGTTGCATTAGCGCCCACCATTGTTCCCCAACCACATGCAAGTATGTGAAGAATTGGTCGCGCTAGTTTGAACTTTTTTGCCCCTTGAAGTTCTATGCCAAAACGTGGTTCTTCTTCTTCGATCTGTTGATTTTGATTTTTCCCTTGTCGGCAATCACATATCAATTATGCGGTCTCAATACTCAACGCAAATGACTTCGTTGGGAGGAGAGGAGATTGGCCAATTATCAAGGAAGGAGCTTGATGATGCCAATCTCGCGCGCATGGGAAAACGCCCCGTCTTGAAGGTAGATGCTGTTTGAGAATATGTATCGGATATAGACTAACAATAACAGCGCAACTTCGGTTTGATGTCAATGCTGGGTTTCAGTTGTACTATTCTGATTACCTGGGAGGGCATTGTCGTGTAAGTGCCCTTGGCGATAAAATTATGCCCGAACAAACGTTAGCTGACGACTGTGGATAGACTATTCTTGCAAGCATACCAAAAGTAAGAGATGCGGATGAGTTATCGACCCCGCAGTTCTAACAGAGGTTACACAGTGGAGGTCCAGCTGGAGCTGTTTATGGATTCCTTTTCGTTTGGGCTGGTGTCGCAGCTACGTTTGTGGTTCTATCGGAGTTGGCATCAATGTAGGGGATAACCTGTCTCTGTGCTATTTCTATTGAGACTAACCGGTCAATAGGGCACCGACATCTGGAGGGCAGTACCATTGGACGTCCATGCTAGCCCCGCGATCGTGCATGAAACTCATGAGTTATCTGACAGGTGAGTAGAAGGTACCCGGAGCTATGAAAAACTAAAGCTGACATGATTTATAGGCTGGCTTACTGTTATTGGGTGGCAAGCCACGTTTGCAACCTCATGCTATTTGGTCGGCACTTTGATCCAAGGCTTGATTGTGCTCACAAACAGTACATATGAGCCCAAGAACTGGCACGGGACTCTTCTATTCTGGGCGATCGTGCTATTTTGTGTCGCCATCAACAGTGTTGGAGGGAAAGTCCTTCCTCGATTTGAGGGTATGATCTTGATCCTCCACATCCTTGGCTTCTTCGCGATTCTCATCCCCTTGACTTACATGGCCGATCATGGAAGCTCTAAGGAGGTCTTTACCCAGTTCCTCAACTTGGGAGAATTCCCGTCCCAAGGGCTGTCATTTTTTGTCGGAATGGTCGGCTGTATCTTTGCATTTGCTGGGGGTGATGCCGCGGTTCATGTGCGTCTATCCATCTCCTTCGAATTATCCAAACGTCGAGGCCAGGACTAACCCGAACTCTCAATCTCTAGATGTCCGAAGAAATCACAAATGCCGCCATTGCAGTTCCCACCTCAATTATGCTGAGTGTATTGATCAACGGATCCTTAGGTTTCGGCATGTTGATCGCCATGTTGTTCTGCAGCGGCGATCTTGGATTGGCCCTGAAATCACCTACTGGGTACCCTTTCATGGCGATCTTTATGCAGGCGACAGGATCCACAGCCGGAACCGCGGTGATGGGCTCGATCGTTACTACCATGGGCGCCACCACATCAGTCGGCATGTTGGCGTCCACTTCGCGCCAGTTCTGGTCCTTCGCGAGAGACCGCGGCATTCCCGGCTGGCGATTGTGGAGCCAGGTAAGTTGCTATTCCAACACTAAGCACTGATCAGGATCGTCGAGCTAACTGTGAAAAACCACAGGTCACCGAGCGCTCTGCCGTCCCCCTATACTCCGTTTTGGCAACATCCGTGATTGCCTGCCTGCTGTCGCTCATCAACATTGGCTCCGCCGTCGCCTTTAACGATCTCTGCTCCATGTCAATTTCCGGTCTTTACCTGTCATACATGTTGGTTGGCGGTCTCCTCCTCTGGCGCCGTTGCACGGGCGGGATCAGCTCTGTTCGCAGCAGCGATTCCGCTGTCATCAACACCGCCGGCGCAAAACTCGTCTGGGGCCCATTCCATCTGCCCGGCATCTGGGGTATTATTATCAACACCTGGGCTTTGGTTTATATGACTATCGCTGTCTTCTTTAGCTTCTGGCCAACATCTTGGGTGGTGACTGTTCAAACTATGAACTTTAGTGTCGTTGGGACCATGGGAACCATCATCCTCAGTCTTGTCTACTACTATGCCCGTGCGAGAAATGTCTATAGTGGGCCTATCATGGAGCATATTCTGTAAAACAATGCCTCGGGTTTGGAGGCGTTTCCTGAGTTGGAGCTTGCCGATGTATATAATTTCGTATAGTTTTGGATATATGTCAAGTTGCGCGGCCTTTTGACTTTATCAACAGCCAGAAGCTTATTTAGTGAATATATTCGCGAGTGCGTATTCAACTTCTTGCCAGACCCAACTAATAGCGTAATGACGAACCTTGTGCCATGTGGATCAGAAATGTGAACCTCGTGCACGGGCAACTGACGCTTTGTCTCACGGAGACAATACATAAGGCTGAGTGATAAAACGTCAAAGCGCACTGGAGAAACAGGGGCTATCCTAGAAGCCACTATGATCGGCGTCGGTCTTTCGCACGTGGGGACTAAAAACGTGGAATTAAAGTATGAAACTTAAACTTAGCCTCCCGCATCTGGACCGAGGTTCGAATTGATGAACTTTCCAAGGGTTACAGGTGATCGTCATTTCATTTCATACAACCTGCTATCGAAACGCGCTATCGGGAGAATACTAGAATTAGGATACACGAAAATCATACTTGGCGAGTTCAACCTACCTATAAATCAAGAGAAGTCGCGGTCAGATGCCTTCCTTGGATGCCATTCCTAATGCGAGACATGTAACACGAACGAGGTCAAGATCACCAGTCAGCTTTTCAGAAGACCGAAAAGAGCTGATATAATATCAACAAAGGGGTGTACCCAGAGGCAACTCCCTGGTAGGCGCTGTTGGGTGGCACAAGAAGGCGCTTCGCTCGGTTGCCTTTTCGAGGCACCAAAACCAACACGAAAGGCCATATGCAAGGGGTATCACATCTGGCGCGTGAAGGATTTGAGGCAATAAATATGTCATGTGGTAGCGTCGTGGCAGTGCAATATCATGACCTTGGGAGGGCCGTTTGTAGATTCAATGGATAGATCCAACTGTAAGGCTGTAAGGCTGTAAGGCTGTACGCCCTTGCAGATCGTTTAACGGGGCCCTTTTCCCGGGCCTAACATGTGGAGCAGATCTTTGAGCAGCCTACAACGATGTACACACATCTAGATATACGCGTTGCAAGGGCTATGGGAATTGTTGTCTAGATTCTCATGGGCATCGTAACTAATAAATAACAAGATAACCTCCATAGACAGACCGAGACACCGAGACCGCGATTAGTGAACAGCGTGCAGGTAGTGCGTCTTCTTGCGCAGAGCAGAGTCTTCAGGTAAAGCAGCTCAAATCAAGTTGAATCAATTTGTCTCTGAAGGGCACATTGTGATGGTATCATAAGTAAATGAATGGTATAAACGCCCCCCGAAAAATAGAGCCCAGGTATCAAGAGATCATGACCCTTTAAAGAGTAGGGAGTTTGCAATAAAGCAACCGAGAAGATGTGAAGAGAGGGACAAAAACGCTAAAGCAAATCAAAAGCCGAAACTAGGTGTATCAATTGGTGGTATGAATAATTCTCAGCGGTTGTTGGACGGGTGGTTCATCTGTACTGGATGATTCTCGTATTGCAAGTGGTGAGTGGGAGGCCATGAATACAGCGGTAGCTGATGCTGAAACAATTGTTAGCAATTGTCTTTGTGCTGGGAACGGTTTCCTGAATTTCACTCACTGGGCTCTCAATCTTTGTCAATGCAGGGTCGATTTCAATGTCCGAGTTCCAAATCGCGGGGTTCATCTGCTGGTGGGGCGACGAAAAGGCTTCAGGCTTCAGGATGCTCCGGAGATATTGATCGATGGCAGTCACCATCTCTACCGGCATGCCCGAAGTGGGGTATTGAGCGTCCCTAAAGGATTCGCTCGCGACGGGCGAGCTGCACATATCGTTTGTGTAGGAATACGGGGATGGGTAGTCATCAGCAGATGCGGAAGACTGGCTCTGGCCCCTGGAATATTGGGGGCATGACATTGAGGAATCCATGCTTCCCCATACCCCAGAGTAATTGTCGGTGATATCGGCTTGAAATGGAACGGGAGGTGAGTTGGCTGGTTGCGATTGCATCTGTTGTTGCAGGCTTGGCTGACGAGGTGATGTGTCGCTTCGCGTGTATGATGTGTTTTCCTTTGGTGCTGAAGTCGCACTTTTATTCAGGGTCAGTCCATGGGTTCAATTTTTTTTCGTACCGCTAGGGAGTTACTCACTGCCGACCCAAATGCTGAGTCAAGTAATCCGGGCGATGGAATGCCTTTTTGCACCCTTCGTACGTGCAAAGGTATTGCTTTTTAGGCTCGTGGCTGAGCTCATGTCGTCTGCGGTGTTCGGCTCTGGTAAAAACCTGTATGGCGGTGATAAGCGAGGTGATTCATCGGCGACATACTAAAGGTACTCACCTTCGAACATCCAGGGCGCTCGCAAACATGGACTCGCTTGCCCTTCATAGCTTTGCTGACTCGGTGGGAATTTGTTTGGGGAGGCGAAGAAACATTCATAGGACTGGGATACATCTCCATTTGGCTTGCGTTGTTATTGTGGTTGGCCAGTGTTGACGGCATGGGACGAGCACCTTCAATGTCGAATGGTGGCCTAATGGAGGCGGCATATGGGTTGAATGTGGACATATTGTAGGCGTGTAAAGAAAATATACTCTCGTACGGCTGATGCGGCTCAACATTCCATTCGGGACGGAGTTACACGGCGTTTAGATGTTGTGAAAGTCGTACGAGCTGTGGGGAGATGACACAAAGAGATACAAAATGAGAAATAAAGAGGAAGGGGAAAGGGGTTTAATAAGACTTTTATTTATTAGTGTCAACAGCTCTATGGGGAGTGGGTATGTCCGAGAGTCTCGGTCGAATGTTTAATCCCCCGACCCCCCGAACTGGACTGCCGATCTGGTGCCTAATTAATAACATAATTAAAAACTAAACTAATACTAAATAGTCTGTCAAAAAACGCCTGAAACGACCCAAAGAACGCCTAGTGATTATAATTTTCACCTAGCAGGGATGTTTCGGGCCAAAAATGAAGAGAGCAATGTTCGGTAATTTTTCGACAATGACGGGGGATCATCTTCCAGTCGATCAGAGCCTCAGCCACCTGGATCGGTCACCCACCTGGCTTAGTTGTGCATACAAAGTTTCATCCCATTGGGTTGTGATACGCCCCACTAGGGCGTTTATGGGTCAATGCAGCCATGAAGTCCTTTGCATGTTTGAATATTGTTTGAATATCGGGCGTCTCCAGATTTGGCCTAGGAATGGGGTCTCATCCATGGGAAAATCCAAACGGTAAAATTCCGCTCCAAACTACAGGGATCGAAGGGTTTTCGCCAGTGGGGCAATCCGTAGCCCTGATGATAGATTTGATGCTGATCAAAAATGAACCCATCACCGAGGGGCTCATCACCGTCAGGTTAAAGATTTCAGGCTGAGTAAGTATTTTTGGCAGATTGCACGTGGATCATTGCGGTGTAGAGTAAGTGGCATGATATGTTGCAGCAATTCGGCAGGCTGAGTTGAAATTGAGAAGAGCCAACACCAACAGTAGTCTGTGATTGGTTGAAATGCACCCAGGTTAAAAATAATAAAAAGGGAAAAACAGGGTGCGTATATACACATTCCGAGGTCGATCTGCACCCGAATCAGTTGATCGACTCCCGTCAAGTTTTCACCAAAGAGGCTCAACCTGCCCGGGTGAGACCCCACTCGGTTGCCCACTTAGCGTCGAACCTTGGAACATGCATATACGCCCTGGCCAATGAGTGAGCTGCCTGGGATCCACCTCCATGGATCCAGTCTCTAGTCCGAGCTTGGGCACACGGATAGCTTCTACAATCATCCACTCTGCACTTTCTACTTCCCCTTTACCCACATAGAATCCATCTAGCATCTGGGCGTATTTGCGTATATATCTTCGCATGCTACTTTCTTTTTTCAGCCCGTTGAATGGGTGAAGAACCTTAATATTCCAACTTTTTCTGATGAAACGAGACCCACGGAAATCCAACCTGGAGTGTTACATCGCCTGGAAGCCGAGGCCTTAGTACGTGGGGGCTAATACCATACAGACGCCTACATTTGTATCCATTCGTCGGCAAGACCAATATAATTAATTTGTAGGCACAGCTAGTGTAATTACCAAAGACAATCCCCGTTCCCGCTATGAAACGTTCGGCAGTCGGTAAAATTATATTGAAATTGTAAACATCTGATTGTTTGTTTGGGCGTGCCTTGCCAGTTTAACCAAATCTCTCCCCACTTCCCCATCCAAACAAAGTCTTCAAGCAATGGTCAGTGCATATCACACTTACCTAGGTACTTTTGGCCGTCTACCTTGTCAAAGTACCATTTCAGACATATTCACTTGGACAGAGTACTTCGTAGGTAGTGATTTAATTAGCTATATGAACCGATGAAGCACTCAAACCTTGCTCTTCCGCACCTTCCGAGATTAAAGGATGAGATTTGCCCTGTTCCCAATTTTTGAGGGATGTTGAGAAATCTTAACCCCGGTCAAAAACCGACGACATTAAACCAGTGATGTCAGCGTAAACACTCCGGCAATCAAACCTTGGAAACTCTAACTTTAGGTTTCAACATGGCTTACAACATACATGCTCTAGATCTTGGCAGGGGCGGATTATTTTAATATTCCACAGCCACGTTACTTCGCCTATGCTAATTCAGGACACAAGCGGGGGATCAGGATCGCCATTCAGAACCGTCACCTGGGAATCAAGTGGGGCAGGATATAATTTCCTGTTACTATCCTCTGTCATACATCATAGACCGTTGTCCCTTACATATCTTAAAATTCCACGTTGCAACTAGTGTCGGGTTTCGGGTTTCGGGGTTGAGGTTCTGGGATCAAGTACCTGTTGTCGGGATACGAGGGTTCATAAAGCTTGTGTGAATAGCCTACCTGCTCTAGACAAAATCCACTACGGAGTAGTCTATGGGGTAAATGACTTAGATTGCCCTTCTCAGTACGGAATACGGAGGAAGCAACTTGAACATAAAGTACACGCTACCTATTTGGGGCACTTGAGTGGACTCACTCCTTCAGGATTCCCATTCATCGCTTCCCAAAAGAAACTCTATAGCGATCCATGGATGATACGAAACTGTGTTTTCCCTTTTTTTTCCCACTCAAATTTTGATGTCATTCAAACCGCCCATCTTATGAGTTGAGGGTCCCATGTGACGTCCACGGGTACACCCGAGGTTTTCGCGTTCAAGATAAGCGCCTAGCAGTATCCGGGGTTGACCCTTAATCCAAACATTGAGGTGAATATCGTTAGAACGACATTCGTCTTCGAACCTAAAGTTACTTGAGATATACATTCTACTAGTTTCTAGGTTTTTGTGCCAGTCGATGGCAGCCTTTGGTGGATCAAGGCTTGCTTCCTGATTTATCAATAAAACATTGGAAAGAAAAAGACTCAATTATTTTGATCCCGCAAGTTCCGCAAATTCCGCAAATTCCGCAGGTAACATGTATTTCACCCGGACGAGGGTCGTCAGTTCCACTATCCCTCCGACCTATCTATGACTTAGACTTGATCTCAAACGGGGGTCACTGCTGTACCACGTTCTCATAAGTATCAATTGAGCTCAATGTTCCTATATCTATTCCGTACTAGTGATGAGCATCAAATAGCCAGCCCCAGGCCTTTGTCAAATAATATCGACCATGTAAGCAATGCCGGGTACATGTGTATGTAAATAATGGGGTGCCGGAGATGAAGATAATTTTGGTGATGCCGGTCGGTGGAAGGAGCAACAACACTCTGAGATACGGCGACTGAATATCCAAACAACCTGTAACAGAACGAACACCCTAGATATAAGATTCTCTCATCAAAATAAATGTTCCATACAACATTGTGAGGCAAGTCTGTTAAAACCAGAATCATGGGTTATTTTATCGACGGCGATAAAGTCTGGTCATAGCAGGAATTGTACATTGCTGTCCGTTAAAATCCAGATGAAGTTTACTGGAAGCGTGAGAGACACCTTTTGCTTGTTGACAAGCAGGAAACCCTATGAGCACCCGAGGTTCTAAACTGTTGGTGGTCTGGCTGTCTAAGGCCTGTTTGTCCGTTTGTCCCAAACGATTCTGCTGAATACATCATTATTTCTCTCCTTGATTTCCTTCCATGGAGAAATGGGTGACTTGTGGGTGTCTCGGCCTGGGAACTATCCGCGACTTCGTAAGCTCAAGGTTTGCTGTGTCATCCCATGTCGAGACTGGACGTTTGAAACTTGAAGTTAATGGGCTGTGCGCGACTATGGTTCGACAGATAGTGATTGTATAGTGGGAGGCAATCCGTGACCTCGAGAATGGTCATCTGCCTGGATGCTGTCTACTGTCAGGTGGAGGTGACCTGCTTGCTGAAGAATGGCGTGGGATAGTGGCTACTGACGAAGAGCAGTGTAAGATGCGAGCTGTGAATGTAAATGGGGGTGCGACGTGGTGGTGACCCATAGATGCGCGCCCTGCACGTGTGGGAGATGCTGTGCGCTAGTGGAACAGGGGTAGTGAGGTTAATGAGAGCATGTACGCGGTGACTGAGATTATATCAGTGAAACGTTAGCCATGAAGGCAAAATATGTGATGGGAAAGCAACAGGAAGAGAGAATTATGAGTGCTGAATTGGATAAGATGAAGCCAGGTCCAAGGGCTATGGCCAAGATTGGAATGATCCCACGTGCCAACCTAACAAACAATAACTAGCCTCAGGCTTCCACGTAGCGAACAACATGACAGATATATTATTACAAGTCGTCTACCGCTTTATAATTACATGACTTGATCTCCATCTAAGAAACTGTGCGGATACTTCTGAATATCACATTCTCCACGGCGAAAGAAGCAAAATAACGCTCATATATAAATATCCCAATTGCGATGAGCTCATCTGACCGAGGTTTGAACCCTCTATACCCCCATGCCGATAGGTCTGGATTAAAACCCTATTCACTGTTGGAAGTAGAGCCCGTTAATAGTGACAAACGGTCTGGATGTTCTACTATCGTATGTGGAGCAGTATTGTATCGTGAATGAGCATTCGAAACAATTATGCGGTTTGTGGTAGGTTAGGTATCGGCGGCGAGGTTAGCAAGCTCGCGAAAGTACCGACAATATTCAGCGGGGGCTCTTCATTGCTAAGCAACTGTTTCAGGGCTCAAGTTCACTAGATTCCTGTCTTGCACGCATGGAATTGGCGTCGTGCCGCTCATCAATGAACATTTTTATAGAGAAACAAGACCAACAGTGGCACATAATCACGCCGAACGGCATTTGAAAATTTGCGCTTTTCTCGGCAAATTTATTTGTTCGGGAGTCCTCGGTAGTTAATTTGCATATAGTTATAGCTTAATTTTCGTCTGGGTAAGATGTGGTTTTTCGACAGGATGATGTGATATTCAGCCACCAAGATGCCATTCTCAACTAGGTTTTGACCCTTCTTGGCCCTGAACCTGAACCCCTCACAACACAACCACCAGAGGGATTGCTCTATACTTGGCTTCATGATGCAAGGCAGTGCCAAGTGGTCTCTTATCAGTAAAATTGTGTTCAAGGCAAAATATCCGATGAGATCGTCGCTGCGGGGTGTATAAAAAGAGCCCAGATAATCCAAATTTATCATAAGGTAGAGAGGAAAGTTCAATAAGTTTCACGATTCAGTTGCAAACGCCTTGGCCCGTTAAGATGTCCACTGTATACACCGCAAAGAAAGGCCCGAGTGCGTCTATCTCGGTACTTAAAGGGACAGATACAGACTCATCTACCAGTCTTGACATCGCGCCATTGGGTGAGCCAGGAGAGGAACGTCGGTTTTGGTTTCAGCGAGGCAAAGGCTATAATCCCGAAGCAGTTGCGACCCAGCCCTCTGTTTATGATAACCCTGACACTGCGAAGGAATATCAACCCCGAGCTGACTGGGAGAATCTTCACCGATTCGACCCATCTGCTCGGTGGACATGGAGCGAGGAATACAAATTGATTCGAAAGATTGATCTTCGTATTATGGTATTTACTTGCCTCATGTTCATGTGTTTGGAGTTAGATCGGTCCAATCTGACACAAGCCCTGACCGACAACATGCTTCCCGAGTTGAATATGACCACGAATGGTAAATAAAGAACCAGGTTTCCCTTTTAACCTTATGATATTCCAGAGCTAACCAGAGTACGTCCTATCTTCAGACTACAACCTTGGGAATACGGTGTTTAAGCTCTCATTCCTCTGTGCCGAGCTTCCCTCTCAGCTCCTTAGCAAATGGGTTGGACCTGATCGGTGGATTCCTACCCAAATGGTTCTTTGGTCTGCAGTTGCTATGGCACAGTATGGACTGAATGGAAAAACAACATTTCTCTTGTGCCGTGCCTTGCTTGGTATTTTGCAAGGCGGATTTATCCCAGATGTAAGTTAAACCCGTTCTTGTTACGGATCACGGCTAACAAACTCGAAGGTGATATTGTATCTGTCCTACTTCTATAAACATCATGAGCTGTCTTTGCGACTCGGCTTCTTTTGGACAGCCATGAATATTGCGGATATTCTTGCTGGATTCCTAGCTTTCGGGCTTTTGCATCTTCGTGGTGTGCAAGGTCAATCGGGATGGCGCTGGCTGTTCTTGCTGGAGGTGAGTAGGCATCTCATATAATTGAAAAGGACGCATTACTAATACCGAGGACAGGGCCTTCTGACACTGCTATTTGGTCTATCTGCATATATTTTGATGCCACCAGGACCATGCCAGACTGCTAATTGGTCTCGGGGTAAGTCAGGCTGGTTCAATGCGCGGTAAGTCGTCTGTCTTCTCTTTTGGCTTTTGCATCGTTATTGATAGGATTCACAGGGAGGAGACCATCATTGTCAATCGAGTAATTCGTGATGATCCAAGCAAAGGATCCATGCACAATCGAGAACCTATTACGCCCAAACTACTCTGGAAGAGTCTCAAGGACTATGATCTTTGGCCGATATACATCATCGGACTTACTTTCCAAACACCAGTAGTGCCTCCCAAGCAATATCTAACTCTTACTCTGAGGGGCCTCGGATTCGGCACTTTTGTGACAAATCTGTTGGTTATTCCTAGCGAAGTGCTGTGCATTTTCTTCCTTCTACTCCTCACCTACGTCTCCGAGATTTGTAGTCAATTAACTTTGGTGTCTATGATTGGGCAAATATGGATACTTCCCTTCTTGATCTATCTATATGTGGTCGACATCAATACCGCAAACAAGTGGTGTGTGTGGGCGGTGATGACACTGCTGCTGGCATATCCAAATGGTAAGCTCACCTATTCATACATGTTGCATACTTGGTATCGTGGCTCACAAAATCACAGCGCATGCTATTCAAGTTAACTGGAACTCCCGCAACTCAAACACTGTCCGATCCCGTACGGTCTCGGCTGCCATGTATAATATGTGCGTCCAAGCATCGGGAATTATTGCTTCCAATATCTATCGCGCTGGTTGGTCATAAACTTCCTTTTCTTTTGCGCGTCTGTCTGGTATTCTAATTTGACTCAGATGACGCTCCCCGCTACCGGAGAGGCAATGGTACTCTAGTGGGACTCGGTGTCTCAAATGTTTTCATCTATTTGTTGACTAAAGTATACTATGTCTGGCGCAATCAAAGCCGCGACAAGAAATGGAACACTATGACGGACGACGAAAAGGCGCATTACTTGGCAACCACTAAGGACGAAGGAAATAAACGACTGGATTTCCGATTCGCCCATTGATTATCTCGCTTAGAATTGGGCTTTTGACCGATTAACATGTGAAGAAATCCCTTAGTGCACGGAGGATACTCTATACAACTTGATATTAACCCAATGAATAAATATTTTATCTCGTTTATGCTGCATAATCCTATGAAGCGCTAGCAAGCATCAGATCTAAAACAAGACACTCCCATTTTTGATGCGATTGGTCGGACCCTACATGGCGTGCTTGAGTAGATCCCATACATGGAATAAATATCCAGCCAACTAATAGTCAATTAAAATAAGCGATCAGTGCAATTATTTTGGATTGATCTGATTGAACACATCTTCTGGTTTTAACTAATGTAGGTATGGTATCCTTCGTAAATCAACTATGTTGCAACCTCCAGTAGATATGATCCCATCCCGGTGACATTTCCAGATGGCGGGATGTCAGACAATTTCTAGGGAAAATGACGAATATCAAGTGGGACGGCACAGATTCACTGTTATCTGTTAAGATAATCAACAACTAAGACGTGCTTTCACTCTAACTGTGCGACAGCAACGTTCCAGATCTGCGGGGTTACGACAATGAGGGCTGGGCACAACAACAAACCGATGTCGCAAGCGGATAATCGGCAACATTCAGTACGTTGCGAAGTATAAGATAGAATCCCTAGTCCCAGCCTTCGCATTCCAGGATCAACAAGCAACGCCATCCAACAATCACTACTGTATCCTATACCCTTACCATGGCATCCGCTGTCGTCGAAACCGCACCTACGGTGGTTCCCATCGTCGAGGACAAGATTACGCTCACAGGCCTCGCACGCGAGCCTATCAAGTCCAGTGGATCTCTCGATGCTTTCGAGTCCTTCGATGTCACTCCAGTCATTGGACGCGAATTCCCCAATGCCAACTTGAAAGACTTCCTGCGCGCCCCAAACTCCGATGATCTACTTAGGGATCTTGCTCTGACCAGTGAGTTGTATGCGTGGGGGTGTGTGGAAGATAGAGCTGACATAATATCTCAGTCTCCCAACGAGGAGTGGTCTTCTTCCGTAAGCAAGATGGTCTAGACAACGACCTGCAAAAGGAGCTTGTCCAACGACTTGGTGAACTCTCGGGCAAGCCAAGCACATCTGGACTGCATATCCACCCAGTAGCAAACTCGGGCCGGGAACACAGCGTCAAGGATGATGAAATTAGTGTGATCAGCTCCGCAGGCCGGGAAAAGCTTTACAAGGACAGAAATACACGGAAGCAGACTGCACGCAGAGAGTGGCACAGTGACATTACCTTTGAGCCCATTCCTAGCGATTATACTCTCCTGCGTCTCACAGAACTTCCGAAAACCGGCGGTGGTAAGACCGCTTTGTATACTTCCTATGAAATGGTCTAGGAGAACTAATTTTTTCTAGATACCTTGTGGGCCTCAGGCTACGAAGTTTATGATCGTATCTCCGAGCCCTACCAGAAGTTCCTGGAAGGCTTGACTGCAACCTATGCGCAACCTGGCTTCAACGAAATTGCCAAACGCAACGACTTCACAATCCACCCTGGTCCTCGTGGCGCACCTGAGAACGTCGGAGAGGAGCTCATAGCTGAGCACCCTGTCATCCGTACCAACCCTGTCACCGGTTGGAAGAGTGTCTTTGCTGTCGGCACGCACGTGCAGAAGGTTAATGGTGTCTCCGAAGAGGAGAGCCGCCATCTTCTCGACTGGTTCGTAACTCTCATTGTTGAGAACCACGATCTGCAGGTGCGCAATCGCTGGCAGAACCCTAACGATCTTGGTATGATTCCCCGTCAAAGTTTGTGAACACCGTATCTGACTGTTGTTATAGCTATCTGGGATAACCGATCTGTATACCACGCCGCAACCTGGGACTATGACGGGCTTGGCCCGCGCACTGGGCACCGTGCTGTCGGCCTCGGCGAGAGGCCATATCTGGATCCCAAGAGTATTGGAAGACGGGAGGCGCTCGCCAAGAGCGAATAGATCATAATCTAAATTGGAAGATTAGCCTCCTCGTGATCCAATTTAATAAAGGTTCTTGTTTTCAAACACGATTTGCAAGTGCCTACGTTATTCTGCCTTATATATTATACTATATCTTGAGGACCTTGACCATATTACGTTCATAATTCTTGGGACTATGTAGTAGAGCTAAAGGGGAAGATGGAGAGAATTGTGTTAGGAAAGGAGACAAAGACAGAGCTCCCGAACTGTCTACCTACTAAGGGGTGCACCCAACTAGTGGCCTAAGGCAGCAAGGCGATCACGATGATTCGATAGCTACCTAAGGAGTAGATTGCTTACATATTTGTTTGAAGAGCCCCTGGTGCTAAATAGATCGATTGTCTCTTTTCCGAATCCACATATCCGACCCTATGATCCGTGAACGAGCTCTATACGCGCGGACCCGGTTCTCTGGGCGAACTTTTGATCGAGGCATAATCATTATAAGAAAGAGAAGAGAAGAGAAAAAATAAAGCCTGTACGATTCTATGCTTGTTTGCTCCTATGCAGGGAGGCTATGTTTTGACTTACAAGGATGTGGTATCCCTGCTTCTTGGCTTCACTCGATATCTCCTCACTGAATTGCCTAGAAACGGGCTCTAAGCGTCTTGTATTCCAGCATCCTTCCTAGGCCGTTTGCCCTCTTAGCCAACGCAGTTTTTTTTAAATCTTTTTTTTCGTTCAATAGGGCCTAATAGTCAGTGAATCAGGTTGCCTAGGTGAGACCAAGCGCTATCGCGGTTATCCGCGCATCTTATCGAGACGCCCAAAAACAAGCCCTAAAGGTGTTCGGCCCGAGCACCAGTGCAAGTGCCGACAAGCCTCTTGCGAAGGCTGATTGGCTATTAATCATGCCAGATGCCTTCAAGTGCAATTTACCTCTATGATTCTCTTATAGAATTCACATTCAACGCTACAGATTTTCAGTCAATTCTTAAGATCTCCAGTTTTGTTCATCATGGAAGACCCTTACAACGGGTTCTGAAAAGGAACCAGGAGTCTGAAAAATGCACTCTCAGTGGAAATGTTCAGAAAATTTATGTCACCGTGCAGGCTTTTGTAGAATATTAGTCGAGCGATAATAAAGCCTCGTGTTTCACTTCTTTTTTTCGGTTTTTTCATGTTCTTTATTTCCCATAGTTAAGACATAACTCCAAGCTCTAGTCTGCTAGACTAGAGCGACCCCCATATGATAGATTAGGAGCCTAGGGATAAGCTCGGCCACTTTTAATAGTGCTATCCACTAATCACATTACTACGATAATCACCAATATATTTAGTGGCGCCAACTAGCAACGAAGGCTTAGGGCTATATATCTTTTGACTAGTAAGATATAATTTTAAAGGCTAGGCTCTACCGCAATATAAGGTCAAGATACGTCGACGCGTGTCGAAACCGGTACGATGTTAATAGACTGATCCTATCTATCGAGATGTCCAGCAATCCAATGCAAGCGAAAGCTTTACATAAGGGGGTAGGGTAGAAATGCGAATTTTGTCGATCATAAAACGCCAACTAATAGGAAATTTCGATCACACGTCCATTGGTGAGCGAGGAAGGGTGTCATTATCAATAGGTGTCATTATCAATAGCGATGACGGCAATTTGCAACGAGGGCAGCAAAGTTCGCACGTAACCAGAATGGGGGAACGACTCAAATAGAGATGTAGCATCTTTGCCAATGGCGTGATAAAGCAAATCCTGGCCCCCCGGATGACTATATAAAAAGTCTGTGACATCGTAAACCATCCCTGATATGCAAACTAGACAGCACCCGGCTCGTGTTTTTTCAAGGTAATCAGCCCAAGCCATATTACATTGCCGGTCTCTGTCAAGCTGATAATCTCTGTTTTGAGGAACTGTTGAAGCATCCCCCAAAACAGAGTAGTTGCGTGCTCTTTCGATATGCTCTTGCGGTGTCCGTGTGACCCGCGATGCCAGGCAAAGTCTTTCGCACATCCAAATAACCCATTTGCTGAGATCGAAGGCATACCAGTGCACTCCATTTCGGTAGTCGGATGGGAACCGGTGGTGGAAGTTGTGGTATCCCTCACCAGACGTCAAAAGTCCCAAGAAGAAATTATCACGTGCGGTATGACTAGTAGAATATGGCTGATTCCCAGACCAATGTGCAAGCGAGTTGACCAAAAACGTCATGTGTGCGTGTATGTATGACCGAAAGAGTCCGGCATACAAAAGTCCACCTTGCCAATCCTCGCAAATTAACTGCGCTAGATACGTTGGAACCACGAGCCCTGCGAAAGGAGCGAGGATAGCATAATACCGCTGTTGCCATACTGCCACGGGATCACATTCTACATCCGCAATATCAACCGGACCCCACGTGGCGGGAGTAAATCCAATGAGCCAGCCAATGTGGGAATAGAAAAGTCCTCGTCGAGCATTATAAGGATCCTTGTCAGAGTCAAGGTAGCGGTGATGTGCCCTGTGATGTCGAACCCACCAGATGATGGACCACTGGAATTGGCCAGCCCCAAGCACAGCGAGGATGTATCGGAGTGACGCACATGCGTGATATGATCGGTGAGACCAGAGCCGGTGGTAACCTTCGGTAATTCGAGCAATCAATAGGTGCCCTAATGTGAAATGTGGACGTTAACTTACCAACTGTCATTGCCAGGCTATATATCGGGTAAATAATTAGCGTCAGTAGAGCTGTCTGGGTCTGGAGTTCAACTCTTTGTGAACCCCAAAACAGAATGACGATAGGAGCGAGAAGAAGCACAAAATGAGGTAAATAGAAGTTTCGAAAATAGAAGTTACTCTCTGATAGGATGAAGTTGGTGACATTGTTTTCCCACATAGTCCACTAAATGAAAAGCGTGTCGTGAATTTCGGGGCATCTGAAGGCTGCGACTGCTTTTGCAGTCACCGCAGGAAATGCCCTTTAAATATGGACTTCTGGATCTGCTGGTACTTTCCATACTATGGTGGGGGGAGATAGCCCTTTGTAAATTTTACAGATTCTAGAAATGATCAGCTTCCAAATACCCACCGAGTTTCGTGGCTGGAAACCGTCTTTGATTCTTGTGCAGGCCATATTTCCTCATCTTCTCAATATTTTCGTTAACTTTCATATAGTAAATACATGGTTGATCTGCGCCAACATAAGGAATGTGGATCAATTACAGGACATGGGACGCTCATCATGACGGTAGACATTCCCCTTGGCTGCCCAGCTATGTATGCGATAATTAAAAGAATTGAAGCTTTAGGGATTAGGCAGTGATCGCTTGCCACATGTCAGGTGTTCACTGTTCTTAACTTCTACTAGCTCTTCAATTTCCAGAGCTGTATATCCCATCAGTCAGCATATATGTAATACTGGATATATTGGCACATCGTATGCCAAGTTATCCGGTATTGGATTGAAGTCTGGAATGCTTCAACTTGATATAACTGTGGTGCTCATTGGGCTGCATCTACAAGGGGTATTATACCCTTAGCTGAAGTTGGAGCTTGTAAGGGTTTCTGTGTTTTACCAAATCTAGATATAGTCATGTAAGGGCTTTGACAATGTTAGCCAAACTTGTAGGCAGCCCGCAGTTCCATATTGATAATTGTTTACAGAGCACGCGGTGATTGTGGCGTTTATTACCGTGGACACAGATGTATATCTGCCAGGATTCCTCCCCCTGAAGGCAAGGGGTGGATATCATTCGAAATATCTCGATGAGATGCATACATATTATATTTTATTATTCAGACATTCGGGCTCTCCGTCCCTCTGACATTCGGTCTGAGTATCTATGCGAGATACTATTAGGTAGAGCCCTTTAAACGCCCATTGTTATTGTGCTTATAGTAGGCCAAGTAAAAGGGCGTGGAAAGTTATAAGGACAAAGAATGTAGAGTAGGTTCTCTCCCTAGTGAGGGAACCTGCCCCTTTTAAAGGTTTAAGTCAAAGAATACCTATATAAATCTTGTGATAGGTGTAACCTATTGTCCTTGGAGAAGTATAGTATAAGTGGATATATCCTTAGCTATTGATAGAGTTATCCCCGAGTAGGCTTCCGCAAAGCCCAACCCACAGTGGGCCGGGGTTCGAGCCTTTAGGCCCAAATCCAACCCATTTGTGGGTTAGGCTGGGTTTGGGCTCTGGGCTTTGTGGGCTCTGCGGAAGCCTAGTTAGGTTAGGTTAGGTTCGGGTTAGAGTGGGTTGTGCCGAAGTCTAGATAGGAATGATGGGTCAACGGATTACACTTCTTTTGCCACTTGAATATGAAGAGATCATTAGAACGCGGTCGCGTTGACGACGCCAGTCCTTTTTTGATAGGATAATGGGGGCGGTTTCGAGAGACGTAAGGCACGTGATAGAACTAACATGTCGCGTTTTATTGATAAATATAACTAGCTTACTTAGTTCGTTCAACGTCCACTCTCGTCGCTCTCTATAAGCGAATCAGATCGCTCATATGATGATCAGTGAGTGGATCAGATAGCTCATGTGATACTAGTTATATGATGCTGAATCAGCTTATACAATGATCTGTGAGCCGGTCAGCGTGTTTAGAGGCGTGCTTAATTTTACTCTGAGATCAAAAAGCGGCAAGAGATGAGCACTAAAATGGAAGGGGAAAGGTCTCGAGTGCCAGGCATTATCCGATACACATGTAGGTAGCCGGATAACTAGGACGTTATCTCTTGTTTGTTCCGGCCCGTAGCCCTAGTGGCTTGTACCCGGATTTCCGATCACGGATATCCGACTGATACATTATTTATCTTCAAATAGACCGCTTGTTACCTTTCCCGTTTCAATTGATATTGCAACTCTAGGCAAATAATTCCCAAACTCAATATCTGCAATGTCTTCCATCAACTCCAGTGATATTCCAGGCCTCAAAGAGCTCCCAAACGCCCCCAGAGTCACATTAGCATCAAATGTTACCCTGCAGCCTCCACTTTCCCGCCGGGGGCATGGTCCAGGCCTCATTGTGATAGACCCCGGCTACGATTTGCCGTATATTCCCTCGGCAGAGCTTCCATCGACTACCCTTGATCCCGTTCCGCAATACAAATGGGCCGAGGAGGGATATGCCGTTTTGCGCATTGCCATGTGGAAGACCGCCGAGCCCGGAAACTGGTCACTAGAAGCTGGATTCCTCGATAAAGCTATTGACAGCCTCAAGAGTTTAGAACAATGTGACGTGAAAGATAAATTTGGCATACTCCGTACGTTATAGACACGCCTTTTCTCTCGCTCCGCAAATGAGACTGATCTGGTGGGATAAACAGTGTACGGGACACCCGAAGAATATGCGCCATCGTTTCCGGGACAGCTTGCGAAGGCTGTGGCAAATTGCGATAACATCGTGGCTGTTGTCTCTTTCTCTTCTGCATTTGATTTCGCTTCCGCCTCCAAGCCTCAGTTGGTTCATCTCGCGGGCAAAACAGTGCCCGCAGAGAAAGAGGGACTGACGATTTATACGTACCCCGAGGTCGGGACTGATTTCATTATGCCCCATAGCCCTGGGTTTGCCTATTCTCCTGCAGCGGTGTCTCATACTCGGAGCTTGACATTCATCAAGAAGCATATCGGTGGTCCCATATTTGACTTGGAGAAAATATGGGACGAGCACACATATTGGGAATTTGAGAATCGGTCTGTCGAGAAGACAATGGCTACTATGGTGCGAGAGCCGTATGTAAATCACATTCCTACGGTAAGGAGTGCTTGTGTTTCACTCAAGCAGTGTAGATTCCCTGTTTCTTTCAGCCAAGGGATCCTTGGCTAATCAATCGATACTACTTAACTAGATGACCGGAGGTATTGGACGAAAGCGACTAACCGATTTCTATCGCCATCACTTCATCTTCAGTAACCCCGATAGCATCAAAATGAACTTAGTCAGTCGAACGCTTGGCGTCGACCGCATTGTGGACGAATTTATATTCATGTTCAACCATGATAAAGAGATCGATTGGCTGTAAGTCACTATTCGTTTACCCTGGCAAAATATGGACTTGATCACTGCTGTTCCACCCTGCTCTTTCTTATCAAATTCTCACAATTCCAAATCTAGTCTTCCCGGAATCCCACCGACCCATCTTCCGCTCCGCATTCCTTTCTATGCCGTGGTGAATATCCGTGGAGACAGACTGTATCATGAACACATTAGTTGGGACCAATCTACAGCACTGCGTCAGCTTGGCTTACTACCTGAATACTTGTCTTTTCCTCATGCTGTTCGTGGAATGGAAGGCAAGATACTGCAGTATAAGCTACCAGTCGCAGGAGTTGAGACGGCTGAGAAGCTCGAGGATCAGCGCAAAGTGGACAGCAATACTTTGTTCATGCCCAATGGGAGTGGGATTCGTGAATATCAAGGTTGTGACGGGTTATAGGTGGCCAGCAACATTATTCAAAATTCAGTAATCCAAGATTCATCCTCTTTAACTTATTGTGACGTATATAAAAAGCGGTATCTAATTTGGTTCTAGAAAAGACACCAACCCACTCGGTCAATATTCTTCGAACAGACAACCATCATCATCAATCCTCACCAATCGATATTCTTGGCCTATGGGCCTCAGTCATTATTTCATTCGTAACATTATACATATATACTCATTCAAGCTTGGAAATCTCTACAGTTCCTTGGAAGCTTTATTGAGTGGCCTGAGGCACCAAGCACCCATGGTGACAGCACCTGTACTTAGTAGTTAGATCCTGTTTCGCCTGTCTCTCTTCCTTTCTCCCATCCATCCAACCATATGAATCATTTCTTTCTCCATTCATTCTGTAGAGACCCCTAGAAGGCTGTTCCTCGGCATTCATGGACGATCCACCCATATGGATCCACTCCAGCGCGGGGCCCTTAGAGCGCACGGACTTCGATTGCCTAATACGGTAATATTTACTTTCCTAATCCGGAAAGATATCGCATTGAGGACCGAATTTCCTCACCAGATATTGACTTCAGATATTCTAGATGCGTCATTGGAGGTGCTCTCAACATCGTCCCGCAGCTTTTGTGTAGATCGTCCTATCTGTATAATTTGTTTGATCACATTGTCTTGACGCGGCATCTAAGATATTCGAAGGATATATAGAAAATGTTGCGGCGTCCAAGGCCACGGCCTGAATAGTATGTCCAGCCTTTCGAGCGTGAATTGTTTTCAATGAACATCTTTCCTCTACATTAGTTTCCTGACCTTTCAATATACCCGAAGAGAAAATGCCATTATTTAACCGGATGGTAGTTGCGACACTTGCTTTAAGTAGTACAGAATGGGAGAATTCAATATGCTGCATTATTAAATAATCACGATGGGAAACATAATCTTGATATCTACGTCTAGCCTCCTGTCCGGCCTAGAGACGAGAATCCCTGATTTTCCTTGGGGCTTTTGAAGCATATGCACGTACAATGAAGTGGGAGCCTCCAACGGTGACCTGATCACCACTCTTACGCCCCCGCATTTCAACATCTAGCCCGCTAGCCATTGAAGGCAAACCATCGTTGCTTGGTCCCAAGGCATATTTTATCTCCCAGTGGCCATCCGTCCACTCTTCCCTTCGCGCGCTGACCTCCTCTCCAGTGATTTTAACAGCCCGTTCTCCCAGGGATGTTTGCGTAACCACATGGATTTGCTTCTGATGAAGAACCAAATACGAGCCCCCAATTTGCGCTAGAAACACTTTGCTAACTTGGTGCTGACCCTTTTCCAGAATACCCTCATCAGACTCCAAGATCCATGAACGGCCACGCCCTGACCCCTCCTGCCCTTCGCGAACCGGAAGATATCTCCACACTTCTTCATAATCCGTCATCGGCGCTCCGGGTACATCGGACCGAGCCATGGTCCCAGTCTCTAGGTCATCTCCATTTGGAAGCGGGATGAATGGACAAGGGTTGCTCACGTTGAAATTGTGGTGGGAATCAATCTCATGGGTAAACACCACGCGCCCTGTGGCAAGTCAGTCATTTATTGTGCGATATCCCACCGACAGTTAGAAAGATTGAGTGAGATCGTACGTGGGTCCTTGCTTTCCTGGATACATTCTCCCGCGAGCGCCCAATCGATTTCGCCGGTTTGTTTATCGACTCGTAAATCGACGTACCATTCGCCAACTGTTATCACCAGTGTGTCGGTGGTTTCGAAGGGTGCCTCTGATGCCCATTGCATTGAGATGCGTGTCGTCAGGCTCGATTCCAAAGCTGGCACAGATAACTTTGACATTTTGGTGGCGATGATTCTTCAAGATGTCTGCTCTGAAGAACGGTCGGGGGAGGTTTTGGCAGGTCAAGGGTGGTATAATCTACATGATTCAATTGGACATATAAATACTACAAATCGAATATGCTAATATATCTTGGACTCCAAAGTGCCGTTCTCCACAATCTCCAACTTCCAAGAAATCTGACCCCGCGCTACCCAAGTCTCGCTGCCGGTTGCCCTTTTCGCAGACTGAGATAGTGACTCACATATTAATTCACTATAAAGGCAATAGAAACATCCTTGATATATTACGAAATACAATTCTACCTGGACCCATCTGTGTGACAAACTGAACAATGACTTGGATTCTGATCGCTGCTCTCATAGTAGCCGTTCTTGTCTACCAACTCTCCATTTTCACTTTGTTCAGCCCTCTTGCACGAATCCCCGGTCCAAAGACTTTCGCCTTGACCAAGTTCAAATTGGCCTATGAGGACTACAAAGGAACTCGCACGCGAAAGATCAATGCTCTACATCAGCAATATGGACCCGTTGTTCGTATTGGCCCCAGTGAGGTGACGTTTAACAGCACCTCGGCCTTGCGTGCGATCTACGGTGCCGGAAGTGGCTTTGAGCGAACTGGCTTCTACCATATGTTTGAGGCTTACGGTCGAAAGAACATGTTTTCGTTCGCTACTGCGAAGCAACATGGAGAAAGGAAGAAGCTGTTTGCTCATGCCTACGCCAAATCTGTGATGCTCAAAGGGCAAAATGCAGAAATAGTCGAGCAGAAAGTCAAGTTGTATATGGACCTTTTGCAACGAGATGGGGGAAAAGCGAGATATTTTCTACCTTGCATTATTTCTCCCTGGACACAATCACCGAGTTTCTCTACGGATCTTTCGGCAAAACTGGATGTCTCGAGGGACTGGGGCAAGATCGCGCGCTCATCGGAGATATCATCGACACTGCGCGCCGCAAGCTATCGTGGTATGCAGTTCATTTCCCTCACTTCACAGAATGGCTTTACTCGAGGACCGGGGTTAGTGGCTGTATTGCGAAATGGCTTTACCCGATGCAACTGCCAACGACTTACAGCGGCATCAGACTTCACGCGATGAAAGCCACTCAGACATATGCCAGTGCTTCTGACAGCGAGAAAGCGACCACATCAGCCCTGATATCCAGACTGTGGAACCACCACCATTCCCAAAAGACAAATGGAATAGATGATCTCGATATTGCATCAGAATGTGCAGACCATCTTCTGGCAGGCATTGATACCACCAGCGACACACTGATGTTTCTGATTTGGGCTCTTTCCCGGCCGGAAAACAAGGAGTTCCAAGACAAGCTCATTGAGGAAGTCTGCAATATCCCCGACGAGTCGCTCAATTCGAATGGTATCCCCAAAGTAGAAAGTAGCGACAAGCTCTCTTACCTCGATGCAGTTATCAAGGAGACACTCCGGCTCTACGCACCTCTTCCTGGGTCAGAGCCACGTTCACTACCCACGACAGCCACAATCGATGGCTACACGATTCCGCCCCGGACGGTGGTTTCTATATCCCCATATGCGCTCCATCGTAACGCTGAGGTTTTCAAAAGTCCCACAAAATTCAATCCCGATCGCTGGTTGGATCCCTCTGAAAACTTGGCAGATATGAAGAAATGGTTCTGGGCATTTTCCAGCGGAGGAAGGATGTGTATTGGCATGCAGTATGTTTCTTATTCTCCATAAGGATGACTTCTGGCTTTGGTCATGAGAGATGGCTAACAAGAAACAGTCTGGCAATGGCAGAAATGACTACTTTGGTCGCAGCCATTTATCGAAAATATAGAACCACACCAATGGGAGATTTCGGTACCGTCTCTCCTGGCATTACAGGCCGCTATGAGGTGTTCTATGATGATACTTGTAGTCGAATGCGGGTATGTTCAGCTAAAATGTTTCCCTCGAAGATTCGCTAATCATCGAAACAGGAACACGAGTGTCAGGTTGAGTTCACGCCACATTAACCAACTAAAGTAAAGAGTGTAGTGTCCATGTGTTTTGATTTGAACGATGTCGCATCAGCTTGGGGTTTCACAGATTGCATGATACTTTAGCCCTATACTTTATCAATTGGATTTAAAAGAATTACATACCAGTTTCTAATCTCAATAAATTTGTTTCTTCTATGGTATTGCCAATAGTCAATAGTATCTCCACATGGCCCATATGGAAGGTGTCTGCGAACGCTTGGCGCCATGGGCTACGGCAAGGGCTACTACCTAGATGGGCTGCTACAAAACTTATCTGATACAACACAAACAGACCCAATGAGATAAAATGAATTTCTTGTAGAGTGAAGAGAAAGATCAACTGCTCACCGGATACCGTCGGCGCCAATAAAACCGATGCAACACCTTAGCAATATCCGGTCGCTCATCCTTCAAAGCATGCTTTTCAGCATGCTCCTGTGCCTGTTTCAACGCCCGATCTACTTCACACAAATCCAACCCTCTCTCATCAAACACCCGTAGAATCAGCTTAACAGCACCCACATGCTTCTCCCTCGCCGCAACCGAAAACACCGTCTCCGCCTCACAAACAGCCAGCGGATCCGCCCTCGCTCCAAGAGCCGTCGCATAGCGTCCTCGTGACCATCACACGCAGCCTCGAACAATGCAGTACAGCCCACCAGATCAGTATCATCGATTCCACCCCTGTTCTGCAAGAGGAAATCAAGGAAGCCCTCAGGATCCCCACTAAACACTACTACTATTACATGATATGAAAAGACTAAACCTACATAATATACCTAATCTATGCGCAGTTAACGTTGGGGTAAGTCAAATTCACCTGCAACGATCTTAGCCCCGGTAACGGCCCCGCAGTCACTATCTTGGCGTCAAGCAAGAGTCCCCGCATGATAGTTGTGGAAAGAGTCTGCGAGACAGCATTGCTCATTGATCGGATTAATAGAATTTGTAGAGATGTTTTATCTGGTAATGAGATAGTGCGCAGCTGGCTTGTGTAGAACTAAGGCTATAAAGAGCAATGGCTACCCCAATTCAACCTTTGATGTAGAACTTGTCAAACTTGTCGAACAATCTTCAAAATGCGCTTCACAACTTCTACATTATCTTTTCTTTTGCAGGGCGCCATTGCTTTGAATGTCGGCCCAGAATATAGTCACCCGATAGAAGGTGAGTCACGCAAGACGAACCCGAAATCAGCATACTAAACAGACAATAGATCTCGACGTCGATCTTCCATTTTCTCAGCCGGTCACATTCGCCCACTTGGAATGGCAAAGATGTCTTGCAGCATCTCATAATAAGGTATCTTGTCAAAGCACCTCTTTACACAATGATTCTATTGAGACCTAACCTGGCCAAAAGCCTCTCGACATCGCCATTCTTGGCTTCCCCTACGACACCTCAACATCATACCGCCCCGGTGCAAGATTTGGCCCTCGAGGCATCCGCGCAGGATCGGCACGGGAGAAGAAAGGTCGAAGCTATAATACCGTGTGGGGGGTGGACCCATATGACGAGGGACTTGAAATTGTGAGTACAGCGCATTCACAACTATGGAATGCAATGTATGGATCGCTAATCCATAACCAGATTGACTGTGGAGATATTCCCATCACCCCATTCGATGCCGCGCATGCCTTCAAGCAAATGGAACAGGGTTACAGACAGGTTCTCTACCACCCGACATCCGAGGGAAGCTCATGGGAACACCCGCGAATTGTGAGCTTGGGTGGAGATCACTCGATTGTCTTGCCTATCTTGCGGTCATTGAAACATGTGTATGGGCCGATCTCTGTTATTCACTTAGACTCGCACCTCGACACTTGGGATCCTTATGAGGGTTACACTGGAATCGCGTCCAACCAGTCGGCAATTACACATGGAACTTTCTTCTGGCATGCGAGTCGTGAGGGCTGTATTGCCAAGGGGACGAGTGTGCATGGAGGTCTAAGAACGAAACTTTTTGTGAGTTGTGGTTTGTCTCTTGTCGGGAATGAATACTAATCAAAATTATCAACAGAGTCCTAAAGATTACGAGATCGACCAGAATGTTGGATTTACGATTATCGAGGCCCATGAGATTGACGATATTGGCATGTCCGGGATTATTGAGAAGGTCCGGAGTGTTGTCGGGGATACCCCGACTTATCTTTCCATTGATATTGACGGTAAGACTGCCTTTTCCCCATTCAAGGCACATCAGAAATTAATTTATTCAATCAGTTCTCGATCCGAGCATTGCCCCTGCGACCGGAACTCCCGAATCAGGTGGTTGGACCACTCGTGAATTAAAGCGTTTCATTAAAGGCCTTGAGGGTGTGAATCTTGTTGGCGCCGATGTGGTTGAAGTCAGCCCGCCATATGACACTGTTGCTGAGACTACTTCGATCGCTGCTGCGGATTTGATTGTTGATATTCTAGCATCTATGGCGAAGTTGAAGACAGGCCCTAAGGCAAAGGCGCCAACTTCAAAGGATGAGTTGTGAGAAGGGCCTGACACATGTTACAAACTTTGAGATTTAAACTATGTATGAATCACGCTATATGAGACTTTCAAATGGGCAAAACTAACTTGCCTGATTGTTTGAGGGCATCTCTCCAGTTAACCACATTCTCGTCTGAATTCATGATACTCCAAATTTCCTGTATAACTTTCCATTGCCTTTTGAAATTGCCCATTGAGTATCCCTGGACTCGCTCCCACCATTCAACCCAAGGCTGTCGATCAGTTGCCTCACACGCAGCGATAAATGCTGGCCAGGACATAGGAGCTGCGCGTTTTTCGCCACATGAGTATACGTCTTTGAGGTCTTCTGCCAGCGAAAGGTTCTTCCAGATTGCTTGTACCCGCTGCTGTAGGTCCACCGGGCTGGAGTTCTCTATTGCTCGATAATAAAATATTGCGATCGCACTATGAAATGCTAGGGCCTGGAAACGTACTATCTCAAGCATCATTGGCTTCTCCAGTGCAATGAGATGGAAAGACTCGGAGTCTATATCCCACGAAAATATTTCATCGTGCAATGCCGAACATGCCTCGAGCAGAATCGTTGGCATTTCGCTATCCTGGTAGAAGGCGAGATACTCGGCCACCTGGCATGCCTTTTGTAACAGATTTCCCAGATATGAGGTGATCCCATACATGTATTGGATGTTTGTGTCGTCGTCGTGGAAGTAAGGCTGTTCAAAGAATGGACCTTCTGCTGTCCAGGGCCTAGGTTCTAGCTCGTGTGCTGTCGTTCGAGCCAGAAGACTTAGAAAATGGCAAATACTGCTAACCTGCCGACTGGAGTCATCCAGCGCACCGGAGACATGCTCAGGTCTTTGCAGCTGGCGACAACCCTTCAGGTGGATTGGGAAATCCGAATCTTCTCCCGTCATGGTCTAATTTGTTAGATTCAATAATATTCCATAACATGGAATGAAGGCCACCTACATCAATCGTAACTAAGGAGAGCATTGCCGTGAGGTAGACGGTATATTGCTGGGAGTTATTGGGTGCTACGAGTGCAAACTTGAGTGCCCGTAAAGCTTTGGCCCGGTGCTGGAGACCAAGGTTGTGGTATTCTCTTGAGCCACCCATGACGTTCCGGAGGTGGAATGCAGCCGATGATAATATACTGTGGAATAGTGAGATTGAGACACCCGAGGAAGGCGCCGCATTTTGAACAAGGCATAAGTCAGGGCAGCCCTCGAGAGCGAATGGGAGATATGTTGTGCGCCAAGGGTTCCTTGGGTGGAAGACTGGTTGTAGGAGCTCGGCGACATGATTTTTGTAGTGATACATGAGCGTGGATATTTTGTGGTCTTTGAATAGAGGGATTGAAAGCTCGATATGCGGTGATGGATATATTGTGAGCGACCTTTGTCTTGAGTATGATAAAGTTGGAGAATTTGGTGTATCCATCATGGCTATCACGGATTCCCAGTTTGAGGAGAAATCCGTTTCGCGGATTGCTGCATTAGGAATGACATTATCATTCGGAATTATTTCAAAAATTTCGCTAGACAAATCGATTGGGTCGAATTGACTAGGAGTGATCTCAGAAGTACAGTCCTGGGTCTGATGAGTTTCATCCAATGAAGCGCGGGGTTCGAGATATTCATTGTCGCCAGGTTCCCATTTGGAGAATATTGCAAAGGGTCCTATACTGACGGTGCGCGATGGCGTTGAAATTTTGTCAAGAGAAGAGATAATTCGGTTGATCTCGTCATCCGAAATGCTAGGAGAAGTAGATCGTTCTAATGAAGAACTGAATCAGCAAATGTGCCTTTGAAAGAGGTCCAAGACTCACCTAGTCTCATCTGTCTGCGTCTTAGGCCTTGAAAATCTCGCTTCTTATCTGTCATCCAGCACAGATTCACGCCGTAGCCGGCGCATTCCAGGCCGGATTTCTGGCAGACTCCACATCCATTTTTCTGGCGCTCATCGCATTTGACCTTCCGAGACCTGCAGGTCCAGCATCTGTTCTTGTCAGCTTCAAGAGTATATGGAATCTTGAATACGCTTGATGTATTACCCTGTGAATGTCACCGACTTCTGCTTTGCCTGACGAAGACGCTTGGTTTGCTTTCTAGGAGCTGTCACTGGGCCACCCATGATCTCATTGATATACGGCTGGTTATCAATCTGAGCAATGACAGTCATCTTTGGTGGTCGCAAGGGGGGACTATCAAACAGACCAGTATAACGTGCAATTGGAGTAACGACAAGGGAAGAGGTCGAGACCTCAATGTCAAGCTCAACGGTACTTCTCAATAGTGGAGCTAGCTTGAGATACGTGCGGGGTCAGTTGGGACCAATAGTTACAACTAATAGCCGAGGAGATGTGCCAGTTTTTCAGGAATATCTACTCTGAACTCGAATGCGGGGTTCTAAATGTTTTGATTCCATGACATAACATATTCGGGGATGAAGCCTTATCAACGTCGGGATATGGATCTTATCGATACATCTCATCTTATCTTATCCTTTCTGGATAAGTGGGTCTGCTCGGCAATTTGAAAAGGGAAGGAGCCAGCGAGAGGTAAACTTGGACATGACTTGGACACTATGTACAAGGATGTGTATCTAGCCTGGAGATCATTAATTCTTATTCTTAATTTAGGTATTATCAATAACTGCATAAATGCTGCACAAGAAAAGCGTGGTATTTCATTCGCTAGTTCCTACGACACATCAGGTACTGTTTATAGAAGATTCGCTTTAGGATTTAACAAGGCTAGCCTGCGGCAGCGGGCAGCAATAAATCCAAAACTTTAATAATTCGCAGCCGCGTGGAGGTTGAGGCTACCTGTAGGGCTATGTAGCTGTGGACCGGACCCAAAATTCCCGTGCGAAAAAACGGGTGGACCTGTCGGGACGGAAGAGAAACATCCCTACATACCGGGTTCTCAAATACCCGATTTCCCCTGATCAAATCCTGACAGTCATTGGAAACAAGAAGTCCGTGCATTTCTCGTATAGCCAAAACGCAAAACGATCATGATCTTCACGATTGCGGGCCCAACCAGAAGCGTTAAATCCGATGACTCAGCGGATGATTGTACCTAGGTATCGGAGCTCCCGCTGAGTAACCCGGATATCTGATACCCGACCAGATCTATAAGTGTAGATCGAAAAGTAAAAAAAGTATAAATCCCTGTCAAAGTAGCATGTACGGATCATTCCTGCGGTGTATATCTTCCCAAAATCCTTTTCACATCCCTCCCCAATGGCCCCGAAACTATTCAAAGTCGTCATCGTCGGCGGCGGCCCTGTCGGTCTAACCGCCGCACACGCCCTTCACCATGCAGGCATTGACTTCGTGGTCCTTGAATCTAGGAACTCAGTAGTTTTGGATCAAGGTGCCAGTCTCGTTCTGTCTCCACCTAGTCTCAGAGTCATGCATCAGTTGGGGATTTTTGAGCGACTATCTGAGATAGGAGGGGAATTGCAACACACCCAATCAATGACGCAAGATGGATATCGATTTGTGAACTCTAAAGGTATTTTCGAAGTTATGAGGAAAAAGTAAGCCTTTCCCGCGCTACCTGTTGCCTTTTGTGATGAAGCGCCGTTCTACCCAGCGGTTCCCGTCTATTTGTGAAAGACAAGACTAACGGTATTCACCAACCAGCCACGGCTCCGCACCAGTCGCTTTTCACCGCGCCCAACTCATCGAGACTTTATTCGAGACTTTACCCACAACAGCCAAGGCCCGCTACCTTCTAAACAAGGAAGTAGCTTCCATTGACTCCAGCGAGACCGGCGTGCGGGTAACTTGCACCGACGGAAGCACATACGACGGAAGTATGGTGATAGGAGCAGACGGTGTACACAGCAAGACGCGCCGCTTAATGCGCGAGCAAGCGTTGAAAGAGAACCGCCAACGAGACTGGGACGAAGAAACACCCTTCCCGGCTCTGTATAGGTGCATGTGGTGCAGCTTTCCTCGGCCCGGCAACTGTGGACAGGCGACTGATACACAGTCCCGGGATATGTCGACCATGTTCTTAGCTGGCCGGGAGCGGGGGTGGATATTCCTTTATGAGCGATTACCTGAGTCGACGACCTCGCGAGTGAAATATACCGAGGAAGATCGAGCAGCGTTTGCGGCGAGATTTGCGGATTTCCCTGTGACCGAGAAATTGAAGGTCAAAGATGTGTACGCGACGCGACTTACTGAAGGAATGGCGAATTTGGAAGAAGGGATCCTCAAACATTGGAGTTGGGGACGGATTGTTTTGGCGGGCGATGCTTGTCATAAGTATACGCCTAATGCGGGGCGTGGGCTTAACAATGGGATTCAGGATGTGGTGGCTCTATGCAATGGACTTCATGAGATGCTTGATACGAGTTCTGAAGCTGATTTACCGGATCAACTCACCCTGGACAAGATGTTCGCAGAGTATCAGAACACCCGATCCGCTCCTGTCAAGGCTGATGGGAATCAGTCGTTTTACATCTCCCGCATGCATGCGTGGGCGAATCAGTTCTGTTACTTTATGAGTCGTTATGTCATGTCACAGGAGTGGTTGTTGACTTGGGCGCTGACCACACTCGCCAGCAAGCAGATTCGGAAATCGCTGGTTTTGAATTATATTCATGTCGACGAACCGTTTTTAGCATCGCTTGAGTGGGAATATCCATTGCGGCAGAAGGTGGAGTAGACACGAAGTTCAGTCAAGCCTGCCACTGCTGAACCATGTCTCAAATGGGCAAGAAAGCATATTCCTAGCTAGTAATTGCATCTAATCAAGCAACGTCATAGATCTATTAGGTACAAATATAATCCCCTCTTCAATGTGTGCCCTTTTGTTATACTCTTACGTTTAAATGAACCTGATCAACTTTTATAGAATCAAAGATGTAGGATAAGATGACCTCATTATAGATATACTTTGATTGGCTGATAAGCACATGGCTCGCTGGCTGTTGCCTCATTTAAGATAAGCATAAACATGCCATTCCCTCTACATATATAAATATCTAGTAGACCCGACGAAGATATAACACAAAAACACTCCAACTTGAGTATCCAGATAGATCCTACTTAATGCATCTTGCTATCCCTCCCCATCCTGTTCGAAATCCTGAAAAGGGCTTCAAAACACGCCCCAATGAGTCAGTCTCAACAAATGAGAACGAATCTATACAGACCTCTTCTGAAAGCTCGTTAAAAAGGTCATTTCGGAGATCCGTTATCAATGGTAAGTCATGCATGGGTCATTTCTCTACCCGCGCTTACAATATTACAGCCTTTGCTTCTCGCACCAGAACGTAACGACAGCGGTACCTGGCCAAACCAACATGGTCTTTGATTGATTGATTTCCTGTTTTTTTGTTATATATCGGGCCTGGTACCATACCCTATTCCTCCCTCACTCTTGTGGCCTTTTTATTGGTATCTGTTTCGACAAGTTGCTATTATGTTCCTATTTAAACTACGATCTTCTCTATTTCAAACAAGATCTATGTTCCACGATTAGTGATTGGTAGTGTTTCCATCTTCAATAATGAACTTACCTTCTCAATATATCGCAGGCTGACTAGAATCCCGTCCTCGTCCTCGAATTCACTTCCATCCTGGAAAATCGGACTGTCGGAGTCGAGGTAAGTCAAACAGTTAATGACTGTATCTGTATAGATTCTACCGACTATCCGGGGAAAGTGCGATTCAGCCAAGTCAATAAGAGTAGACTTGATTCCCGCTGCCACCTTCCGCTTGTTTTTGGCAGTCAACATATTCGTGATTAGAAGCGGAGGGGCTTTACAATCTCATACCACGACTTGCAGACCAACAAGCAGCCGGCTTCCTGTTTGCGAAGCTGATTGCTGCCTATAAAACGAATGTCCATGCATAGAATCTCGACTAGTATGTTTTGCAGTGTCATTGGAGGAATATGTTGAGAAGCAGAGAACTGTACACCGAGGTTCAGGAGAATCAAGACAAACAGTGCAAACAGCCCAAATTAGCGCTGGCCTGGCTATGTATACAGGCCAGCATATAACCCCCCTGTTTTATCTGTGTTCTCAAATCTTTGTCTGAAATTCCCTCTAATTCCATAGATTCAAAATCACGAATTTCTTCTACCAGAATGTTTTGGGTGCAATACAACACTTATTTATAACGACCAAGGCTTGATAATTATGAGTGGTGTATAGGCGATGTACAGACGGCTGACCTAGAACCCGGCCATTATTCCATCCATGCGTTGTTCTCAGTGCTCTCTCTCACCAACATTTTCCTCAAATTTCCTACTGCAAGTCCCGTTCTTTCCTCGACCCCCTTTTGCGAAGCTCAGGTAGAAATCAAAATATTTTTCTTGAAATGAGTTCTATCGATAAACACTGGACTTCATTCCAGAACATGAACACTGAGAGCGACCATGCGAAGAAGATACAAACAGTCCTCGAAACGGCAAATTTCACTCACCTCTGCTCTGAAGCCACCAAGATTCGCCAACGAGAAAAATCCTCAGATGTGCTGACCTGCTCTGTAAACACGGCAAAGTTCACCAGCGGAACATACAACCTTGTGGTTGCGCTGACCTTTTCGGACACAACTCAATGGATGGCGAGAATCATGCTGCCACAAGACTACGACGATGAAAATGTGGTGACATCACTTTTGAGTGAAATTGCTTCGATGAACTTTGTTCGCTCCAAAACGACCATACCTGTACCCCGCATCTTTGGGCACAATGTCACGAAGAATGACTTCGGCTATCCCTATTTGTTGATGGAAGCCCTCCCAGGAACCGTTCTAGAGAACCGAATGGCTCTCTCGATACCTGCTACGCATAAGAAGAAATTCGCTGCTCAACTGGCCCGCTATGTCTATGAACTGAGCACTCTCCGATTTAGCAAGATCGGTTGTCTCTCGTACTCCCAGTCCGGCGAGCTTGAAGTCTCACCACTCCAAATCTCAGGCTCTTGGGTCGAACCTTTGTCTACCTCGTTGGAATACTTCTATCGATTCCGCAAAGGCCAAACAAGGGAAATCCACGAAGAACACAAAGGCGAGGCAGACTGGGAAGCAGCGGCTTGGTTCCTTGAAAAATCGTTGACTTCTATGGTAACGGAAGAGCATTGATATGGCCCGTTCCCATTGTGTCATCTGGATTTTCACTACAACAATATGCTCGTTGATGAAGACTACAATATCACTGCTATTCTCGACTGGAGCAATGTCCAGACTGTGCCGCTAGAGCGTTTTGCCGTGACTCCGGAATTCATAGCCCCTCCTGCTGCACCAAAGGAGTATAAACAAGCGGTATTTGAATTCCGGGATATTTTTGTTGATGCGTTGGCAAGCATTGAACGGGAGAGCGGAGACTTGTCGTCTGATGGGGGAATGTCATTATCCCGTCTGTTTGCATCCCCTTTAACGGAGGTCGTGTTTCGATGTACTTGTAGCCCTGCACGGAGAGCTATTTTCGATGCCCAGCTCACCCTTCTTTTAACTTATGGCAGAGATGCCAAATGGGAAGATTTCAAGAAATTCTTCAATGAGCATTTGGCATAAGTTACATTATATGGCTTTATTACTCGATGGTAAAAGGATGTTACCACCTTCCTTGGACCTTGACTCGCCAGTTGGGGAAAGTGCATTGGCCGAATTTCAAAATAGGAAACTACAAGAATATCAGAGATGCTATATAGAATACTATGACTTATCTCTTTCTCGCCAGCCAGAAAATCAGAGGCCTACGCAAACCAGAATACCATAGAATAAGTAAAGGGTGTCAAAAACAACTGGTATTGATAGCTGTTGAAGCTGGCGAAAGCCGAATGCAAACTATTGACATCATATGCCGATAAATCACAATTCCCATGAGAGAATGCAACGATACATGACAATGGAATTCTTAAAGAAGGGTAGAAGGAGTAATATCCGGTGACAGGTTAGTTTGTTTCGCCCGATCAAGAACCGGGACTGTGACAGCGCCCTTGGCAGCGTCGGCTGCCTGATCACTGAAGGCCTCAGGATTGGGCGATGTGGCCGGTGTGCGTTCGCCCTTGCCCTGGCGCTGGATGAGGCCGTTGGTGATGCCGAGCACGGAGTCGACGATGACGGCGTCGATGCCTTCGGCGACTTGGTACTATACGGATAACATGGTAAGCCGGTTGTTTGGGATTTCTGGGGAGGTGAAAATGGAATGGAAAAAAAATACTTACGTCGACGTTGTTTCCGTCATTGTTGAGCGCTCCGTAAGAGACACACACAAGACCGGACTCCTTCACAATACGGACCAGCCGCGGGCAGAGGACTAGTGGTTCAGCCTGGGTGACAATTCCAAGGAGATTCCACCGCGAGGCGAACCGAACGGCCTCCTGCAAGCTGCTGGCGCGGATGTCACCTACCGGGGAGGCGCCCGCGTCGCTTAGGAAAAGGACGGGGATGGAAGGCTGCTTGAAAGACAACAGCAGACAGATATCCGGGTTGAAGCTGGAGAACAACATGTCGCGGCCGCCTCCCAGGTCGTAGACCGTTGTCAGGATAGTGTCGACGAAGGAATTCAGTTCTATTGCGTATGTGTCCATTTCTTCCTCCTCGCTCTCGTGGAGCATGGGATATTCTGGCGACCTTGGTTAGATCGACGGAATAGCTGTTCTTTAGGAAGCGTTAATAACTCACTTAGTTCGATGTTAAAACCAACAGGTTTCGGGATCTTCGTGAATAATTCCTCCAACGTGGCGAATGGTGCCTGGATGTGCTCGCCGCGGGTGTTGCCCTTGAATCCCTTCTTCTTGAAGTCGCGTGTGTGCTTGATCTTCTCGGTCAATTCGGCGGGGTCGTACTCGGAGCCGCCGACCGACATTGAGCGCTGGCGGGGACCAAGCTCAGATTCCTTGCCGTCGACTTTCACGGATCCGGGCAAGGCATGACGGTAACGTCCAACGCCCAACTCGAGGAATTGATCGAGTGTCATGGTATGGACGGGCGCATCGATACCCGTCTCGCTGACCAGGAAGTCGTGGTATATGACAGGCACGTGGTCTTTCGTGAGCTGTACATCGAACTCAACATATGAGGCGCCCAGATTGGCCGCAGCGATGAAGGACTCCACGGTATTTTCGCCCAACTGTAATGAATTGCGGCCGGCCATGTTCTTACCCAGCCCACGGTGTCCAATGACCATGGTTGAGCTCATCGAGCGCCAGTAGGTCTGGTTTCCAGCGATAGACATTTTCGGGTGCTTGAAGGGGGTGATGACGAGAAAGTTGAAAGTCACAGAACCAATCACCTCAAGGGTATTCGCGGCAACAATGGGAACAGTGGAATCACCTTTGAGGTTGATTCGGTGTGACCCCACAGTAGGTTTGATGCTAGAAAGCAGAGCGACACCCCGGCCAACGATCTTCTCCTTCGATCCTGCGTAGGTGGGGACAAGGTCGAAAAGTAGACGCACCTTGCTAGGATCGGTAGTGTGGAAGACAATTGGCTCGGTGGAGATATTGTCCTGCACGGGCAAGTCAATCACCTCCGGCTCACCGTGTGCACCGCTAGCTGTTATCACCATCGACAAAGACGTGTCAAGCTGGGTGACGTGTGCATTCTCCAGCGGAATGCGGTCGAGGCTGACAGTCTCAAGCGGCTTGCGCATGTCCATAGTTCCCAGACTGACCAAGATCATGCTCTCATCGGTGAGATACCTGTGTCCAAAGGTCTTAATAGGTTCAGTGGTCCGTACGCCGGAACCCCCAGAAGTTGGGCCTGGCGCATTCGACCGGCGATCAGTGAGGGACGACTGACTCGGAGGCGAGGAGGACTCGGAACCAGGAAGGGTTGGAGTAGACGACGAAAAATCGAGCTCAGTGGCAGGAGGGCCAGGGCTGACTTCTTCCAAGCACCGGGCAATGTCAAGATGGCCTCGAAGCGCCGCGTGCTCCTTAGCCGTCCAACCAGAGGAATCGAAACGCTCCACGTCTGCACCAGCGGAAACCAGCATTTTAGCCACACCCAAACATCCATCCACACAGGCAATGAAGAGCGGAGTCCAGCCATATGTGTTTTCGGCTAATTCTGTGTCTGCCTTCTGGTCGTCGCTGCCATCCAGCAGAATTTGTGCACACTCGTCATGGCAAAATCGGGCGGCAACATGCAATGCGGTTTCTCCCTGTTCATCCTGGTAATTGATATCCACGCCGGCATCCACCAGAAGCTGGACAATATCAATGAAGTTGGCCTTGGTCGCTAGTGCCAATACTGCACTAGACTTGGAGACCTGTTTTCTTATGATGCTCCGTTCCGGCGAGGGATCATTCTCCTTTTCGGCATCCAAGAGACACCGGGTTGTTTTTGGGTGGCCACCTACAACACTCAAATGGAGCGGGGCCGAGCCATCATTGTCCTGCCAGAGCGGACCGTCGATCCCATCACTGACATCGAACATGCCCCATTCTATGAGATGTTCAATGATCACTTCACACACGACCTTGAAACCATATTGTGCCGCGTAGTGCAATGGAGTGCGTCCAGAGAGGTCTTTGGCCATCAAAGACTCACGCTGATCAAGGCGCAGGGTGTCCAATAGGAACTGGAAGTGAGCAACAGCAGAATCATCACGAGCCAGCTGCTGGGGCATGTGCTCCTCTTTGACCACAGGACGCGGCGGTTGGAGGGTCGGAGGCGCCGCTGGCGTGATGAAGCGGGTAGTTTCCGGGGGAAGTTAAGCACCATCGACGCCGCTGGCTCGGAGTCAGTCGTGGGCTGCTCACGACCAATTGAGATGACCAGACGGTGGAGGCAGTTACGTCTGTTGATATCATCATCTTCTTCTAGGGTGTCTACCCGGGTCAGGAGAAGAGTCAGAACAGCCCGGGAACGATGAAGGATAGAGCGCTGGATCAGGGTTCTGAGGACCCTAGAATAAACCGTCTCTCCCGCTTCATCTGCGGTAGCCTTCAAGGTCTCGAGTAATTCGAGCAGGACATGAGTGTCATCTTTGCGCAGTGCGTCATCCACGGCAGTGACAATGCTGGTAGGGAGGTTGAGATAAGGCCGAGTTGAGCCACGCTTCAATGAAAGAGTAGAATGAGTGGAGCTTGCGTCATCGGACGCCTTGTCGTCCGCCTTGGACTGGTCGGTAATTATGGCCATCCAAGCATTAATGCGATCCTGAGACTGGAAGACGCGTTCATTGGAGGCGAACGGAGTGGGATCGACCTTGGTCTCTAGATAACGCTTCTGAGCCTGCGCACCCACCTTCTTGTCCAACTTTTTGGTGATCTTGACGAAGCCACGTCGATTGACTTCACCATACCATTGTAAGCGGCGCAAGTGGTACCGCAGATCCAAAAGTGCTTCGCGCAGGTCATGGCAATCCTCGGGCTCGAGAGCATGGCGACCCTCCATGGAATAACCATAGCGCTCCTCGAGCAGCTTCAAACGGCGGGCGAACTCGGAATATTTCTTGTTGTAGAAATAATCGACATCTTCAACATTTCGGTCGAGGTTATAGAAGAAACCTATAAGCACCAACACAAACGCCTGGTTAGAAGGGCGCTCAATGGTTTAAAAAATAATAAATTCAAGCCAATGAAGCACCAAACTTACCAGCCAAATCCGCATCTTGTCCCGCTTTGATCTGCTCAGCAGCAGACTTGATAAGCTTCTTCAGGGCCTTGTACTTGATGTAGGAGCCGCTCCACTCGGGAACCGTGAATTGCGACAAATTGCGGCCGAATTTCATACTGGCGAGACCAATAATTCCACTAGAATTCAGTTCACAGCCACAATCCTTTCAAAATCCACCACGCTTTATCTGCAATTTCCAACTGTGTTCGGGGTTTCCAATCGGAGGGAATTCGCGGCGAGTTCAACCTGAGTATCACGAGGAAGCGATCAGGTGAGCGGGCGAACGCAGGCAATGGAGGAAATGAGCCACGCCATTGAGATGTGTATGTGAGGGAATAGGGAGAAAGTGGGAAGGTAAAAGGGAGGTAGAAAGACAAACAAGACAAAGCTCAAAGGTGCAGCTTGACTGTACCTGTCTGAGAATGTCGGGGATATGGAAGGGATACTTTGCACACCTAGAGAGAGAGGATGAGGATAGGTCGAGAGGAGAAGAACTAAAGAGCGTGGGGCCAAGAAGTTGTGAAAGAAGGGAGCGCACAGGGGGTGTTCAGTTTAGAGGAAGGCGAACCGGTTAGAGGTGTGCGCGCTGGACTGAAGATGATTTGTCGACCCACGGGGGAGTTCTCCACGGTACAGTCTTATATATAAAATCCGCCAAGCTAACCTCGGAAGCGATGTACATCATATATTAAGGTACTCCGTACCTAGGTACTTTCCAGCGCTATATTTCAGATTTGCGGTGTGGCTTCCGGAAGCTCACGAAATTTTGTGGATTTTCTGTCCCACGTCATACGAATGAGAGAGGATCCCACCTGGCCCCCACATGCACCTCACGGGATCGGCATCTACTCATTGTCCGACCCCAGCTCCCCCAATTCAGAGAGGTGTTCTGTGACTTTCAAGAGACAAAGGGATCAAATAACTGGAATGTACGGAGTACATAGTAGTATCTAGGAATGTCGGTGAACTTCCTAGAAGCTTGAATGGTTGAAAGTTCAAAGAATGCAATACGGGGAGACCCCGTGACCTCCAGGGCTACGCTATAGAACTATAGAAGCGCCACAGGCTTGGTGACACTAGTTGGGAATCATATTGATAGTCAGGTGCTCAAGTCGGAAGCTGGGGGGTAAGACTGAGCCATTCATAATTCTAAGTCAAAATGCCAGCATGCAACCTATTGCACTCTGTGCGCCGAATTCCATAGATTGGACGCCTCCCTTGGGCGTCTTAAGAAAAAAAAGCAATCGCTAAATCCGTCGCTGTGCTCATGATCAGGAGATCATCTCAGAAACTCATTAAAAAAGCATGAAAAAAAATGAAAAAAAAAACCCCCAAAAACTCCACTGGATCAGCCAGTCCATCCCAAAGTCACATGCAAATGGAAAACGTAAAAAAAAAGAGTCTGCTCGAAGATGAAGGACATTGAACGGTCATGCGTGCTATTAAATCAGCGGCTTCAGAGCCTCTACCCCAGTCTGTAGCACCGCTTGGTTCTTTGTCTTCTTGAGACACGCAGTGAGAACATCAATTCCTCCTGCGGCACGAACGGCAGCTTTGGCGCGGGTTCCGATGTCACCTGTTGCGATGAGAGTGAAGTTGCGCACACAGACCACACCTCGGTGAACCAAGGCATCGTCATCCTCCTGGCACAACCCCAATAGCAGTTCAACTCCCCGTGGTCGGTCCAGGACAGCTGCTATGGCGGCATCGAATTCCGTCAACATCGCAAGAGCTCCGCCGGCAGCCCGTCGCGTCGGAGTGTCATCGGCATCAGTCAGAGCCAACAGAATGTGAAGGCGCTGGGCCGCTTGCTTGGAGCCATCCGCGAACTTGATAATACCAGACTCGCAGGTCATCAGGTTACAGACCAGTTCACAGGCAGCTCGTTGAACCCGAGCATTACTAGACAAAAGGAGATCTTCCACTGCAGACCAGCCTTCCCGGACCGTGAGTTCGGGTGCGGAGTCGTCATGTGGGTACGAAGCGAGGTTCGTCAGAGCTAGGAGACTTTCAAACACTGGGAGTAGGTCACGAGGTTGGTCCGCGGAGAACGAGGCAGTTTCGGGCGATGAAAGTAGAGAGAGAAGGGGACGGACAGCGGATGTAACCTGAGGAAATCCGGATGATGGGAAAACATGCGAAGGATCAACCGAGATGAGGATGCGAGCCAGCGCATGGGATGCGATGCGTGTCGTTTCGTTCGTCACGGGGCCAGAGCTACTCTGCTTCGGGGCTGCAAGGGCGAGTAAAAGCTTTACCGCGCCTTGCTGGGCCAGTGTTCCACGGGACTTTTGAGGCCTTGTCAAGGATTGTAGAATCTTTGCTGTGAGCTCATTGGTGGAAGGCAAGGAGATTCGTCCGCACTCAACGAGCAGAGTCATGATGCCTGCATCGATAACGGCGGCACAGCGTGCCAGGACAGCTTCCTCTTCATCTCGAATATCTATTTCTGGTGCTGCCTTCACCTTTCCGGTAGACGGGTCCGCGTAGTCCTTCAGTTGCGCCATCTTCTTTTGCTCTTCGGATAGGTTGGGTAAGAATTTGGTGAGGTTTAAAGCGACCATCAAGCCGCCATAAAGCACGGATGAGTCGCTGGTGTTTTGTTTCATAGCCGCAATAAAGTTTCGTAGGAAAACCGGATCATTGGCAAGTTGATCCTTGACGGACGGCTTCACCGAAGTATAAGCCAATCCTTCGATTGCGTGGGAGTTGTGTTCAACCTTTTGTTCAGACATCAGTCCCATGAATCGATGAACTAGTTCAGACTCGCTGTCTTGTTCCAAAACCTTACCGTTGCCAGTCGAGGGTTTCTCGGGCTCGGATGCCCGAATCTTTGCCAGGGCCACTGCGGCTAATTCCGAGCTGTCATCACTTCCATTGGTCAGGATATGTGACAACCATTCCCCAAATTTCTTTGAAACAATCTCGCGTGATGGACGATTAATGCAAGCCGCATTAAGAAGTTCCAACACGGGAAGTTCCACCTTCTTGCTCTTGGTCTCTCGCGATGTCATTGGGAGGAGGAAGGCCATGAACTCTTCCGACATGAAGAGATTTGCAGCTGCAGAGGGAGCCACGGGGAAGATGGCAGCCACCGCAGAGAAAGCAACGATGAGATCGTCGACACGGCCTTTGCCAAGAATGGACATGATCAATGTCAAAAGCTTCTTCTCGCCCGTCTCCTTGGCGACCTCGAGATATTTCGCAGTAGCCAAGGTCGCCTGGCTCCGTACTTCTAGGGGCAACCGATTGTCCAAGGATGAGAGGATCACTTCAAGCCCTTCATCGTCGATCAAATGTTCGAGTTCAACGGCGTGAACAGCGAGTAATCGAGTAATTCCCTTTAAAGAGCGACCATCGAGATCATGACCAGATTCCATCAACTTGGCAATGAAAAGCTGGAACAGTTCACTTTCGCAGTGGGATCGTGTTTCCTCCGATGTCCACACAGTGGGGTCCAACACCACCGTATCCAGACACACCGCTGCTCCATCACCCCGATCATATATCTCATCGAAGAATGCTGTGACAGAAGTCTGGAGCTGTGTAGAGAAGTACTGTCGGACACTTTGGTTCTGTCGCACCAACCCAGATATGATCTCATCCTGTGTCGTCGATAGAGAGTGCGGGCGCTGTGCGAGCAACAATTTGAGGCATTCCAAGGCGACAGTTTCCGGGGATTTCAGGCCATCGGTCCGGAGATAAATAGCAGCTTCTTTGCCCGCATGTTCATCATTCTGTGTGGTGTATCGGCGGCAAAGCTCGAGAAGCTGGTGACCGTCTTTGTCTTCGTGCTGAACCTTCAGGAAGGCGGCTTTCACTTGAGGATTTTCGGGGGCGATTGAAAGGGCTTCTCTGAGATTGCGGGAAGCAGCCTATTGAGTGAGCTGGATATCAGTATTCCGCTAGCTTACACTGAGGGGTAATTAGAAAGTAGATCACCTACCTCTCGGTGGCCCGCGTCGACCAGTTCGACAGCCTCTCGGGCCAGGTGTACAGCGCGTTCTTCGCCCGTTGCTTGAACCATTGCAGGGTTGCGCGAGAGAAGTCCAGAAATAAAGACACCAGTTGTGGTTCAATGTTGGAAGTTACAGTGAATGGGAGAAGCTTTTTTTTTTCCTGGGTGAGGGGAGGGCGGAGCGGAGAGAGAGAGAGAGCGATAAGGTGGGAACAGGACAACCGCTTTTTATGGGGAAAGGGAAAAAGGAGGTCTTGGAAGAAGAAAAATGTTAAAGAATATTATATTTTATTTTTGTTTCGGTTTGCCGCGTTGGCCTGTTTGAATTCCAAAAATGACACCATATACCTTTTTCCCCCGGTCCGTCTGAGATGTACATGGTAATATACCGGATCTTACAGTTCCACGCCGCATTTCCTTCACGAATCGCCATTATCAATTGGTCCGATAAGACACCAACCACATCGACGAACACCATCACGTTGTCGATAAGCATCCATATTGTACATGTATACATATGTGCTCAGCTTAGTCCTTTGGTTATTCTTGTGTTACAACCTCGGATGTCATCTTCCAAGATCTCCGAAGACATATGCGGACTCCGGTCTTGCCAGACTCCTATACATATGCTGTAGTACAATATAGAAAGGAATCTTGGAACCCACTAGAGACGTACATCACATACAATAGTTTCATCTTGGCGCGTTCAAGGGATATGCCAAGAGAGACCATGTCCTGTCTTTCAAATCAACCGAAAACAGAACACCTCTCAACAAATGATGCTCATAAATTCGAGGTACTTTCAGTCACCCAAGGCTTCACGGTGTGGGAGTCAATCTGATTGGAGTGTTGGCTCCCGGGCTAGGTTCCAAATTGCTTGTGAGTCAGTTGAAGATCCCGAAGATCTAAATCAGTGCTAGGATGTAAAACATATGAAATTCAAGGACGTGTATTGGAGATAGTTATAGTTAACTAGTTAGTTATAGTTATTGGAAACACATGGAGGAAACAGCCTGGAGCTATAGCAACTGTTATCACCCCGTGACTGGCTTATCGCTTCAAGATCCTCAACTGACAATGCCGCGTGCTGCTAGATAGAGCTTGGACTTCAAAAATACATCTGTCTGGCTGTATATGCAGTACCCTCGGGATTCCAGTCTAACCAGCCTGGCATCAGTCTGAGACAGCTCACAATAATGAACACCAGCCTCGACTGATCACTGACCCCTCATTTCAACACAATGAATTCCGTGGATGCTTCGGAGCATTATGAGTTAGGAGCTACGGGTCTGTATTCTCTGCTCTCTGCAAGAGGTGAACAACTAGCTAACTAGATCGCCATTTAGACCTCTCCCCATCCCTGCTCACCATAGTCATCGACACGAACCCACACGCCTGGGCCATCCTCGAAGACTCCCTCCCGCTCTCCAAAGCAATCGCCAACATCCTAGTCTTCATCAACGCCCACCTAGCCTGCAATTATGCCAATGAAGTCGCGGTGGTCGCATCGCACAGCCAAAAAGCAGCATGGCTCTACCCATCCCACAATGAGCCCCGAAAGCACTCCGCCGATCGCGACGGCGACGTCTCAATGAACGGCGCAAGCGACACCTCAACCCCGGAAACGAATAAATACCGCCCCTTCCGCATCGTCGAAGAACAAGTTACCCGCAACCTCAAAGAACTAATGGACTCGACGACCGGCGACGATCTACGCGGCAACATGTCCACGATGCTAGCGGGCGCGCTAACCCTCGCCCTGAGCCACACCAACCGACGCACGCTTGCCTGGGCGGAGGAGCACGGCGGCGCCAACGCCGAAGACGCAGCGGCCGATGGCAACAGCGGGGGTGGGAGCACATCCGCGAACCGATACTCAGCCTCGAACGAGGACGAGCGGCTGCAGAGCCGCATCTTGGTCATTTCTGTGAGCGGGTCTACCGACGCTGCACACCAGTATATCCCTGTCATGAACAGCATCTTTGCCTGCCAGCGCTTGAATATCCCCATCGATGTGTGCAAGCTGAGTGGCGATGCGGTCTTTTTGCAGCAGGCGTCTGATGCTACCAAGGGCGTTTATATGGCTCTCGCGGAGCCGCGAGGCTTGCTGCAGTATCTGATGATGGCTTTTTTGCCGGATCAGCGCTCGCGCCGCCATTTGGTTCTTCCTACGCGGGTGGATGTCGATTTCCGGGCTGCTTGCTTTTGTCATCGCCGTGTGGTTGATGTTGGCTTTGTGTGCTCCATTTGTCTCAGTATCTTCTGTGAGCCGCCTCCTGGTAGTGACTGCATGACTTGTGGCACGCATCTGGATATCGGAGATAATGCCAAGCCTGCTCTGTTGCCAAGGAAAAAGAAGAAGAAGAAGCGTGTTAATGGGGCATCCGGAACTGGGACGCCCATGTCGACGCCTACGCCGGGTCCTTGATATCTCTTCCACGGAAGATCATATCGTTAGGGGAAAAATAACCATATGGTGGGACCTGACTCTATCAAGTCCGGGCCGGCATTACTCCTGGAACACACACTCCCTTGATGCTACAAGCAACACTACATGTAGCTGGTTTACAAGGAAATAATTTGGGACAGCTCTCATTTTACTAGTGTGAAACGAATAGGTACACACAGGGAGGAACGCCGGGACTTGTTGAACATACTCTGATCACATTATTGGTGCCCGGTCTCAAAGGAGGAGACTGTCCAGGGACAGCGAGGAAGAGACATTGAAGCAATCGCTCGTCTTGTCATCCTGTCACCATGGAAGTGAAACACCGGTGTTGCAAGGCCAAGAAACACAAAGGGGGATTGGGTATACCAACGCAGACAACGCAAAGGGAAAGGGATGGACTGAAGCAGATACAGTTGGTTGTGGGCGAAAACTGCCTCGTCCATCGATGAGTAACAACAGACCAGAAATCGGCAGAGCAAAGAGGCTTCGCTGCAACCTAGTTGTAGTTCTCATCCAGGATGCATTGCAATTCTGATTAAATTATCCGTGTCAGCACTCACAGCTTATATCTTTAACTTGATGATAAAACTTACAATAATTTGGAAATCTGATTCGGCAACCTCCCTGGGCAATGTGTCCTCGCGAGCCTCGCGACATTAGACAAGACGGTCTGTTCGAATTGCTAGACATAGAGGCAATGGCCTGTGACATATGTTTAGCAACCAGCCTGCACAGCGACAATAATGAAAGACTCACGAAAGAATCGGTGTTGTGAGCAAAGTAGAGTTCGATGCCGGAATTGTTTTTCTTCACAATGACCACTCCGAGGGCCCCAAAGAGAATGCTGTTACTCACGGCAGTGTGTTCTAATAGACAAAAGCAAACAAGTGTTAGTGTTTGGAAAATCTCAGTAGTGAAATAAAAAGAAGTGAAATAAAAAGAAAAGAAAACGCACCGTTAAACTCCCTTTTCATCCACGACTTGAGGGCTTCTTCCTCCATCACCTGGGTAAAAACGCCGTTGTCGCCCATCTTCTGGCTGTAATACATCCTTTGCGCGCAGGTGCTTGCCGCCAGTGTTGAGGCGATGAGCTCTCCGGTCCCAGACGTAACGACTGCACATGTGGTTCCATCCGGATCAGTTGGGTCTTGCGGAATAATATGGGTGCCAATGCCAATTAGGGCAGCAGGTCCAATTCGACCTCGATGCTTCATGCCAATGCCACCAGAAGAAGATCCTGCTGCAATGTTTCCATACTTGTCAACGGCAATCGCGCCAACGGTATCTGTGATCGTATCCTCCTCGTCTTGTTCACTATCGGCGGCATCGGGGCTGCCATCCCGAGATGAGGATACAGGTGAGACAGGCCGCACAGGTAGACGCGAATTTGCGAGCTTGGCCTTTTTCTGAGTTTGATGTTCCAGAGACACTCCTGGGCGCCCCTTCACATCTGCGAGAAGGCTTGGATCGGATAGGATTCTAATTTCCTCGTCTGCTGCATGGGTGGCAGGATGAGCTACGGGTTGAACTGGTTGAGAAGCACGCTCGAGACGTTCAAGGCGAGCGTCAAGGGGAGTCATGGGACGGCGAATCCAGGGATCGATCACCTCGCTGCGGGTTTCATTTTCATAATCATCGACTTCTTGGGCCCATACCTGATAACGCTCTAGAGCGACGGGCGAGATCAAGGCTTCCTCGGGCATGATCACCATGCCATGCTCCCATGCAAAGTCCTTGGCACCTTCTCCGACCAAGAAGTTTGGGGGCACCCTTGACATGCCCATCTGCACATTGGACTTGTCATAAATCTTCCGAGCAAGCATGATCGGGTTCCTGATGTCTAGCAGGCTCACATATTAGGCAAGTCTTTATGAGAAAGAGACACAATAAACTTACTGGGCACAGCTCCAACCGCTCCACTTAGCCCGTGATGGTCGACAATCGAGGCATCGCCTTCAACCACCCCTTTTGCGTTTAAGTTGCTCCCAAACCCTGCATTTGTAATCGGGTTATCTTCAAGCACCATCAGGGCTGCTTCGACGGCGTCAATGGCGGTGCCACCACTCTTTAAGAATGCCATGGCCTTGAGCGCAGCTCTAATTCAATTCACTTGTTAGACTGTGTAACCATTGAATATACCAAAGACTGAGACTGACACTTCACAGGCCCTCAAATGCTTGTCCTCATTCTCGTGGCTGTGGAAGCCCGCTCCGGCATGAATGAATATGGCACAAACGCCATCATTCCCGGACGTTTGCGACATATCAAGAGACGACAAGTGCAATTTAGGGATCGACCACGGAATTGTGCACGATTGATCGAGGTATTAGGTTGGGATCAAAAAAGGATTCCTCGCATGAAATCTCGAATCTCGACGCAAGAGAAGCGTCGTCGATTGGGCCCAAATATCAAAGATGATATATCGAATCAGGTACGTTGGTAATACGCAGTTTGCCACGAGATCAGGCTGAAGTGAAGATATGAATGCGGCGCGTGAACTGGCAAATCTTGGACGCGTCTGTGATGCACTCGCAGATTGTTGATCAAAATGCGGTAGCTCTTTGTGAGTTCTGCACTTCAAATTGAAACGAGTGACCGCCTAATAAAGAACCACTGGAAACCAATGCTCTAATACTATGGCAGACTTCGGCACGGGGAGTGAAGCGAGAGAAGACAAGAGCCTACGGCGAGACCCTCCGTGTCGAGGTGAGAAAAGAATACACAAGATGCAGGGCAGCAAATACACGCCCCGCAAGCATCAGAAATGATAATGGTGGAATAATAAAAGACTGAGGAAGAAGGAGACTGTTAGGGATTGAAGATGTGCGAATGGTCAGTAAGAAAATATTGCAGATTTATGGAAGCTCTCATAGCACTGGTCGTTCTTGCCATTTTGGTCAAGTTTCACTTTTCAACTGAAAGTAGGCGGTAAAATAGGCATCACCAAGGCGGCATCTCTTAAGTGGTTGCTTGCTTTCTTATATACAAAGTAGGAGAGGCCTGAGGAGCTTTTGATACTTCCCGGCACATGATGTTGACGTGTGACCCTTAGGTAATCTGACCTCCGGGCACTGCATCTCCCCCCGCCTTGTCTGCCTGTCCTCTTGGTCTCTTGAAGTCAGGGCGATTTCGGCTACCAATTGAGATTCAGCCGATTCCCTAATTATTGCCTCGTTCTATACATCGCCTACTCTTCTTTCAACTCCTCATTGCATCGTGATCGTCCCCAAGCCAAACCACCCGCCATGGCGTCCCAAACCCCAGCCGTTGTCATGGACAAGTAAGTTCACAGCTGCAAGGATCAAAATAATATTCGGTGCTGACTCTATACTTTTCTCTAGCGGAACTGGCTATTCCAAGCTTGGTATGTGCTGTCTGTAGTGGTTAGGGAGCTCGCGATCACAGATTAGGCTGACATGCTACCTCCGCTATTCCAGGTTTCGCCGGTAACGACTCCCCCTCATTTGTATTTCCGACCGCAATTGCAACCAAGGCTGGTGCTGGAAGTGCTGGAAGCTCGGGAGGCCGGCCCCCAGTCGCAAACAAGCCCTCGTTCCTAGGCGCTGGCAGTGGTAGCTCCAACTTGTCTGCAAAGCGTGGCACGGAAGACCTGGATTTCTTTATCGGCGATGAAGCGCTGGCTGCGGGCAGTGGCCCAGGATATGGCGTTAACTATCCGATCCGACACGGACAGATCGAGAACTGGGACCACATGGAAAGATTCTGGTCGAACTCAATCTTCAAATATCTGCGCGTGGAGCCCGAGGACCACTACTTCCTACTCACCGAACCTGTAAGGCGACCGCGCATGCTGCCAGCGGGCTGTGTTTAACATGATGAGACCTGACATTTCTGTATTATAGCCTCTGAACCCTCCCGAGAACCGCGAGAACACCGCCGAAATCATGTTCGAGTCGTTCAACTGCGCCGGTCTTTACATTGCCGTGCAAGCAGTTCTCGCCCTTGCCGCATCATGGACATCCTCCAAGGTCACGGACCGATCCCTGACTGGAACTGTGATCGACTCGGGTGACGGTGTTACCCACGTTATCCCCGTCGCCGAGGGCTACGTCATCGGGTCCTCTATCAAGAGTATCCCGGTTGCCGGACGAGACATCACATATTTCGTGCAGAGCTTGCTACGTGACCGTGGAGAGCCCGACAGCAGCTTAAAGACAGCAGAGAAAGTGAAGGAAGAGTACTGTTACGTCAGCCCCGATATTGTCAAGGAGTTCGCACGTTACGACCGCGAGCCTGATCGCTTCCTGAAGCACACCGTCACTGCGCCGAACGGGCGGAGTGTAAACATCGACATTGGATACGAACGTTTCCTCGCCCCGGAGATCTTCTTCAACCCCGAAATCTACTCGTCCGACTTCCTCACCCCGCTTCCCAATGTTGTTGACGGCGTCATCCAGTCCTCCCCCATTGATGTCCGGAGAGGTCTCTATAAGAACATTGTGCTTTCTGGTGGTTCTACTCTGTACAAGGACTTTGGCCGTCGTCTACAGCGTGACATTCGTCACTTGGTGGATGCACGAATCCGTGCCTCCGAAGCCCGTAGCGGTGGCGCACGGAGTGGTGGTCTCGATGTCGCTGTTGTCACCCACAAGCGCCAGCGCCACGGCCCCCTGGTTCGGAGGCAGTCTGCTGGGCCAGACGCCTGAGTTCCGCAGCTACTGCCACACCAAGGCGGAGTATGACGAGATTGGTCCCAGCATTGTGCGGCGGTTTGCGCTGCTTGGTGGCCCGGGAAGCTCGTAGGGGGAAATGAGTGAACCTTATCATTAGATACTTGTCAATCGATGTAGCTCAGCCTTTTGTTCATAGTTCGTTGTTTTATCTCTTTTCTTTCTTCCTTCGGTGGTGCTCTCTATTTTCTTTTTACCCAAAACGGCTTGGTGCCGGTGTTCATCGGCATTTTCTACAGTGGACTCAAAGCCAATTTACAACGTAGAGCAAATTGGCAGTCTATAGCCTGAATAGCTTGAAACAAAATCCAAAATGAAAATGAAAATGTATTAAACAGCGTACATATCCACTATCGCGATCATGCTTTTTTGGACTTTCCTCCCAAAACGCCACAAGTATGCAATATCAGACAAATATATAGCCTACAGAGGATCTATTACTTTTCGGGCATTCCATCACTCAAACAGTCTCAGTCTGAGGGAAAGAGGTGCGGTTCAAAATAGCCACACCCTCCACATGACCGGTCTGAGGGAAGAAATCAAAGCCACGGACGCTCTCAATCTCATAGCGAACATTCTGCTTCTCATCACCCTGCACCATAACAGCAACGTCACGAGCCTGGGTATGGACGTTACAGCTGACATAGACAACACGACGCGGCTTGAAATCAAGCATCTGGCGCAAGAAGTCTTCTGAACAACCCTTGCGAGGCGGGTCGATAACCAACAATGTCTGATCTGCTGGGTATGGAACGTCCTTGAAGAGAGTGGCGGCGTCCGCAGCAGCGAAGCCTGTGTTGGGAAGGTTGTTTGCACGAGCATTCTCACGTGCTGAAACGATGGAATCGCCTCCAATATCGACACCAAGACTGGACTTGAACAATGGGGAGAGGGTAATTGTGAACAGGCCCGAGCCGGAATACGCGTCTAAGAGGTACTTGATTGGCTTTGCGTCTTGGTCGTTGCCTGCGGGAATGGCTTGCGAGCGGATGTACTCTGTGAAGCCGGACAAAATGGAGTTGTTGTTTTGGAAGAAGGCACCTGCTTTGTTGCTGAAGATATAGTCGTCGACGTACTCAAAGGACGTGGCGTTGTTGTCTGTGACGCAACGCTTTTCTTCAATGTAGTTTTCGCGCTCAATGCGGATCACATCGCCCGTGTCTGCGTTGGGAGTGGCGGGAATCCCGCCGACACTAGGAGCCTCTCCTTCGGCAATAGGCGCGGCATCTTTGGGAATTCGTGCAGTAGACTCCCGCATCAGGAGAGTGGCACCTCGCTTGTAAGAACGGATGTTCTCCGCAACTCGCTTCCTCTCACTGGTGAGTCCGCGACGCACAATATCTGTTCCCAGGGGACAATCTTCGATGTCCATATCCAGTCGTCGGTTCTTGTATGTGAATCCAATCGGGGGGACCTGCGGTTCTTCGCCGTCCTGCTTAGAACCTTTGCCGGCGCCACCATGTGCGAAATGAGGCGTGAGTTTTGTGCGATATCCAAATTGCATTGGCGAAGCAAAGGTTTCTCCAATGGTAGGAATAAGCTCTGGGATCAACCCAGAGAAATTGGCGTAGGCTTTCTCCACGATGCGCCGTTTGTGAGCAAGCTGGTCCTCGTAGGACATCATCTGAAGCTGACACCCCGAACACTCCCCGAAGTATTTGCATCCAATCAGCGCATCGTTTCTCTGAGGACCCGGTTCGATCACTTTGACAAAATCGGTCAAGCTGTATGACAATGGCTCGAAATGCTTGACCAACTTGACCCGCACGGTGTCTCCGGGGACCGTGAACGGAACAACATAGACATATTTCCCATTCTCGGCGAGCGCTAGACCATCGCCTGTTGAGGAAAGCTCGACAATCTTGACATCAATCTCGGTGAACTTCTCGGGGAGGGAGAAAGACTCGCTGTCGCCGTTGGTTTCAGCCTGCTCGGTCTCGTTGCGCTTGAGAAGTTGGTTGATGTCGCAAAGCAGAACCTCATCATGCCCACTGCTCTTGTTGTTCTTGTCGACCTTCGCCTTCTTGCGCTTGCCGTCGAAGTGTTTCTTGGGACCGTTCTGCATCATTGCGGGGACTGGCGCATTCGTTGAACGGCGTTGATAATATAATTTGGAGGCTGGCCGCACTTGAAGAGCCGTTATTGTCTGATAAGACAGAGAAGAAGTCAAGCGCCTAAGAGATGACCGTATTGCAAACATATAAGTTATGAAGCGACAGCGAAATAATTTCTGGAATGAAAATCATCAAATGGGAAATTTATTAGAAACGCATCTAACGCGTCGTTGATTGGTTGGAGACTGACCGCCCGCAAGAAAGAAATTCATCCCGACGCTTCACCTCCGACTGGCCTCTTTTGCCTTTGCGTCCCCCAATTGTCTCCGCATTTCGCCTTTTTCTTTATTTTTAAAGCTCTTAACCGGCCTACTGTTGGCTGGTGGGCTCATTGCACCGTCACTATGAACATCACACGGCCAGCACGATGCCTTTTATGCAGCTTCACCCGTGCTGCTGGCCCAAGCACGCGAGTCCCTCGACGCCAATTCCATCCTACTCCCGCGACTCTCTCGAAC